AATCTCAAAACCATAAGGTACAGTGTATTCAGTTGCATAAAGGAGGCCCAAGCAGGATTTGCATGAAAATGGAATTTCTTGGTGGAAAAATCAGAAATAGAGAGCTTTATCTGCCCAGTCTCAAAAGGCAAAATGCTCAAAACTGTCTACAGGTCACAATTGCGGTCACACAAAATTTGGTGACATTATTCATATTCTGTACTTCCTGGTTGGAGAGCTGAAGAGAAAAAGAAAATTATCCCATACTGCCAATAATATTGTGTACAATAGTAAAGGTAAAGGTTTTCCCCTGACATTAAATCCACTTGTGTCCGACTCTGGGGGTTCGTGCTCATCTCCATTTTTAAGCCAAAGAGCCGGTGTTGTCTGAAGACATCTCCAAGGTCATGTGGCCGGCATGACTGCATGGAGCGCCATTACCTTCCTGCTGGAGCAGTATCTATTGATTGACTCACATTTGCATGTTTTCGAACTGCTAGGTTGGCAGAAGCTGGGGCAAACAGTGGGAGCTCATGCCTCTCCCCGGATTTGAACCTGCGATTGTTCGGTTAGCAAGTTTAGCAGCTCAGCGGTTTAACCCACTGTGCAACCAGGGGCTCCTAGATTTGATCAAAATGATATGTCTCTCTCGTTTGTATTTTTTTAAAAACAGTATAAAAAGGCATGGCTGAGAGTTTCTACCATCTCATTTGTACAAGGAAAAATACATTTCTGATACAGAATCCTTTCATAGATCCAATTAAACCAGTGGTTCCCACCCTTTTTGTGACCAGAGACCACTCTCCAACATTAGTACCAAAAGGATTACAAATCGGTTTTTGGGTCAACTTTAGATTTAGTTTGGTTATTTGGAGTGCTGATTCAGAAAATTGGATTGAATAGACAACATGAGCTCTAGTTTCTGATACAGAACATATGCTATCCAGTAGTCACCATCTGCTCGCCCACAGAAAATTATATTTAATAATCTAGAGGTGATATGGTAGTAGTAATCTTTTGTGGGTAGTCAGCCTCTCTGCTCCCGACATCCCTGTTGCCTTGGCACTATAAGAGGGTTTCACTCTCGTTGCTACGTGTTTTTGATGCAACGACATAGTAATGGTGAGGTGGCGGACCATATTTTTGTTCTTTCGGGCCACTGGTGGTCCATGGACCACATGTTGGGAACCACTGAATTAAACAGAAGGTAGAACATTGTGCTTGTGCTAATGGAAGTCCTTTTCGTACACCAGAGCAGGAACACTTCTGACCTCAAACGCCACACCAGCTTGGTAAAATCAGCAAGCAGTTTATTGAAGAATATATGTAGGCAAAACAGTAAAATTAGCAAAACAATAAAGTTCCCAAAACAAAGGATAGTCAGTGAGCTTCAAGGTAAAATAAGATCAATTGGAACAACAATCCATGAAACAAGGCACTATGAAAAATCCAAGACACAAATCAAGAGCTTGGCAAAAACTTGATACATGTAACTAAGAACACATGAAAGCAAGACCATCATGAAATTCCAATGTTGCCCCAACTGAGGCAATTATTTCCCATGAATTAATATAAGGCTTTTCCAGATCCCAAAACTGAAAGGAAAGCATTTCTCTTGACTTTACCACCAGGTAAAGGTTTCTTATCTCTCTTTTCCTGTAAACGTACTGATCTTCTTTATGCCTGAGCACTCTGTGTAGGTAGAAAGCTTTGTTTTCTACCTACACGCTCATTAACTTGACTTTTGTTAACATCTGCACCTGACAAATCATCTTCAGACAGTTGCTCTTAGAACGACTGTGAAGGGCCTCTCTCAGGAATGTGACCTTGTGAATATTCCTGAGCCAGCTCAAGCCACTCAATTGAGCTTAACTCAGGCCCAGGCAAACCTTCATCCCCATTACCAACAGACCCAGGCCCACCATGAGGAACATCGTCCCCATTCCCATCAGGAACATCAGACAGAATCACAGGCAGAACAGGCAGACATACAACAGTGCTTTCCTATATTTTGAAATGGGTTAAATCTGCCAAATAATTAGAACAGCCAAAAGTAATTCCAAGAATGGGGTATTTAATTCTGTATATCTCCAATATTCATTGTGTGATGACTGATTTAGTATTACTGTAGCCTAGTTCTGTGAAAGAACTCATCTGTTTTATCAAGAAGCCATCAGTTCCCCATAACTGCCCCCAGTCAATATTTCTGCTGAAGCATTTTGAGATGTTGAAATTTTTAAACAGTTTCCAAAGGCAGCTCCACAACAATAACCCAAACAAGATGTAGTCAAGGCACAGTAGCCAAACCTGACATCTCAAGAGACAGGCACAGATGGCATACCAGTCTTAGCTGTGCAAATAGCTGGCTTCTGTTGAAACATGAACATCATTGCTCAGAATTGGACATCTAGGGAGAGCATCCAAGCTGGGAACCTGAGATTTTAGGGAGGTTGTAACCCCATTCAGCACAGGGGGAGCCCCCATTCCCAGATCTGCCTTTTGATGGACTAGGAGCACCTCTGAGTTGTCTGGAATCAGATGGAAAAGAGGGATAAAGTTGAGTGTCATCAGTGTATTGATGTTGTCCAACTTCATGGCATTATTACACATTATTGTATTTCCCAGCGAATCATATCATCTGATGATAGAAATCTCATCTTTGAATTGCTTCCTATGCTGTTGGAGAGCTAGAGTAGATAATATGCTGATATATTTAGAAGAGATGCTCCCTCAAGTGATGAGCAACATCTGTTTGTCACTGAACAGATTGTTCCTTCCTTGTCTATCTTACTTTTAGCATGCATTGTTTGTAATGGGCGCAGAGCTTTGTTACAACCCTTTGAACCCCTAGCAAATATGGCCAGTTGGGAATTGTAGTCTAACAGAGTATCCTTTCCAAGCTTTTTATACTCAAGATTGCAGCTCAAGTTTCTAGTTGAGCCTGGGAGTTTTGCCAACTGTTACATATTTAGATTTTCTGTGCAGGAGCTTACCAGGACAAGTTAGTATGTTTTCTGCTTCTGGGCTGTTGGAAGGAGATTTTTCTCATGGATACCCAAGGACCATTTGAATCTTTCTCAAAGGACATTGTGTAAGTCAATGCAACTGTTCACATGACTGTATATATGTTGCTCCACATAGCAAAGACTTATTCTTTACTCATCATCTGTGTGGCATATCTTTTGTCTAGCAAGACAATGTGTGGATTGGTAAAGATGTGAACTACACGTGATTTTCATTTTGCCATAACATTTACCTCTCAGAAGGGAAATTCACTGCAGAAAGAGTTGTTATCATAGGAGAAAGGTGTCTCCATTGAAGCTTTAGGATCAATCTTTGTTTCCACAACAAGCCACATTTTTCAAACTCCGATTCTCACAGGGACAAAAAGGGAGGTGAAAACGTCTGAAACAAACACCACAGGGGATGTTTACCCTTCCCAATTCTTGTCTAAAGCTAATGTATATATGTGTGTGTGTATGTATGTTTATATATAGAGAGGGGGCAGGTTGGTGTTATACTTTAAAAAGTGCCTGTTCCAACTTACAAACTCATCTTAAGAACAAATCTACAGAACCTATCTTGTTCGTAACTTGGGGACTACCTGTATTTACATTGTCTGCTTACGTAACTGGCATTGGGGCATTTACTTATTAATTCATCTATTTATTTACTTGCCATTGTGTCATCTTTTCCCCTGAATATATAAAGAGAACCGTGTTTGTAATTGGATAGCCTTGTGCAACCTGTTCTCATTGCCAATTTGTCTGGATAACTTTCTGGGGTCTTTGCAGGCAACAGCATTCCTGGGAGGGTCACGCAATTGCAAGAAATGTGTCACCCATTCATCATTTGAGATATGAAAGATAACTATTGTACTGTTATAGTGTGGCAACAGCATTAGGGGATCACGTCAGTCACAAAAGACGAAAGCAAAATAAATATTTTCTGCAGTGCCTGGAATTAAACAGTTCATAGCTTACTAGATAATTTGGAAAAGTTACTTTTGAGGTTATAACTTTTTAGAAAAGCATGACCTTTTAGAGAGCATTGCCTTTTACAGAAGAGCCAAAAACCCGTTTGAGTAGAATCTTCTCAAGTGGTATACAACCAAATGTAATTATGCAAGGCAATTTGCTTCAGTTGTTAGACTGAACAACCTGTTGCCTATGATTTGTTAGGAAACAGACAATATGCCAGTACATAAAAATAACAGAGATTCAGAAGTGTTTTTCAGTGCCCAAAAATATATATCTACTCTTCCATCAAAAAACTTGCTTTATAGTATGCAGTCATGAGACAAAATAAGTAGACTTTGGTAAAAATAACATATTTGGTTTCCTCATGACTTTCATGCATTCAGCATACACGGATACACATTTTATCAACCAGTTACATATATATTTGATATAGTTTCTGTGCCATCCGGTTAGAACATCTCTTTTAAAATTAGCAGCAGGCAAGTTGTTTGGTTTAACTGATGGGTTTATGGACCGTAATAAATGTTGTTGTTTTTGTGTTTGCAAGTCTGTGACCTGAGCAGTCCCAAGTCTAAAGAAGTCTGTGCTCTGTGCTTGTCCCAGAGCGGATCATGTGGTCTGCAGGAAAACATAGAGCAGGGAAAGAAAGCTGTATACCTGAACATACACATAAGTAAGCAACATGATTATAAACAAAGAAATTACTAGAGGAGGCTTGAAGTAGGTTGTAATTTCCAACCTAACTCCATAACTGCTCCACGGGTTATGTTGGCTGGGAAATTTTGAAAGTAGGCCAAAAAGTAAACATTCCAAAAAAGTACTCCGTTTCTTGGCTTTATCACTGCCACTGGAGTAATATGTCACTGTGCTGCTGGGCTGGTGAGGCTAACTAAAAGCCCTAGATTGTGATTATTTTCTATTTTGACCTTACACAAATAGTCCTACCTGTCTCTTTGTTCTGAATTGATAAGCCTTCTTTGGTTTGTTGCCACACCAGAGGATAACAACACTTGACAGGAATTGTTTGTGTTGTGTTGACAGGGATGCTACAAAACGGAAAGAAGTTTGATTCCTCCAGAGATCGAAACAAGCCCTTCAGGTTCAAGATTGGCAGACAAGAAGTCATTAAAGGATTTGAGGAGGGAGCTGCGCAGGTACAAGGGATTATGCTTGTCTATTTCCACCGTAGCCAATGTGATAACGGATGGACAGCGGTGTAGTGGATGAAAGGGAAATTGTAGGGTCATATCCAGATGTGGTCATCCCTAGATTAAACCCAATGAAAGAATTGTGTGCTGTGCTGAAAAGAATATCAGTAGATTTGCAAGTGCATTTTTAAAAACAACCCATCATTTTGGGAAGTAGGCAACATTTTACGTGCTAAACACAATTTCTAATAATAGCAAGAATCCTGTTGGGGAATTACGTATATGTGAGCAGCGTAGTTGTATTGCTACTCAGTGAATCCCATCCTGATCGTCCAGTTCCCACTTAACTATGAAGCAGCCACTGGAATCAATGGGGTCACATTTCCATCAATAGAGTGGAGATTGAGGTGGTGGTGCTGATAAGTTCTCCAGGATCCCAGGTGCTATGTATGGCTGATAAATATGAAATAGTCATGATCCTAGGCTATATATTCATAACTGACCAACAGGACTCTAGTCACTGATAATGAAGCAGCCTTTAATGAAACTTCCCGTATATTGGCAGTATATAGCACAATTGTTTACTTGGAAATTAGTTCCACCCACACTGTTCAGTGGTGCTTATTCCCAATTAAAGGTGCATCTTCAGTGTAGAATTAATGCATCTTCATACTACTTTGAATGGTATGCCTCAGTGCTGTGGAATAATGGAGTTCTAACTACTCATTGGGGAAGACTTGTGGAGTCCAGGATGACACCCAGCAAATGGGATACAAGTTCTTTAGCCTTCTCTACCCAAGTACTGATGTGGTGCCTCGCCAAACTATAACTTCCAGGTTCCATAGCATTGTTGAAGTCATATCAAACTGCATCAATTCAATGTAAATGCACACTGTTTGTATGAGAACCCATTATTGCTGGTGCACCATTCCTACAATACTCAACACAGCATAAAAGTCTTATGAATAATTCAGTACCTCGGTTGCCTATCTGCTTGCACCACCTAGTGGTCTGTTGCATTGGGAAGTAGACAATATTGTGATTTACACAAGTACAGCAGGTGGGTACAACTGTACTGTGACTTCCTTGGCATTCTAAGCATGTAAACATATCAGTGAGGTATAGTAACAACTACATCATTTCAACAAACTGTTTTAGTATTATAGAGTTGCCAAGTACGTTATTATCAACAATAGTCCCTTTTCTCGATACATTACAGGCAGTTATCAAGTTACAAACATCTGACTTACATACGATTCATTGTTAAAAGCAAGGGTGAGACAACAGGAAGTGAAAGAAATCTATCCCTTGGAAGGGAAATCCATTCCTATAAAAGTTATCCTGGGGGGAAAGTGTCCTGAAGTTTTCTCACCAATCCTTGTTTCCACAACAAGCCATTTTTTTTTTCAAAATCCCATAATACAGGGACAGAAGGTGAGATGAAATCTTCTGAACAGGGGCAGAGACAGCAAAACGAACACTACAGAAGTGTTAACCCTTTCCTATATACACAGTTTCCCTGAAAATAAGACATCATCTGAAAATAAGACCTAGTAGAGTTTTTGCTGAATTTCTAAATATAAGACCTCCTCTGAAAGTAAGACCTAGCCAAGTTTGTGTTTGGAAGCATGCTCCCCCTGGTGGCCAGAAGTTGCAGTACCATCCCTGCTGTACAAGTGGTCCAGGAACTTCTTTGGGAGATCGTAACAGTCTCCAGACAGTGTGTGGGAGCCAGGTACTTTACAGCCCTTATTTTTTGTGACAACTACTGTACAGTATATAATAAATGTTCATTTTAAAAAATCAACAATAGATATGAATTCTTCTTCATGGAAAAATAAGACACCTGCTGAAAATAAGACTTGGTGCATCTTTGGGAGCAAAAATTAATATAAGACACTGTCTTATTTTCGGGGAAACGGTATATTTGGCTGGAGTTACACTTTAAAATGCACCTGTTCTGATTTATATACAAATTCAGCTTAAGATCAGACCCAGAGCACCTATCTTGTCCGTAACTTGAGAGCTGCCTGTACTGTTGAGTCCTGTATTCTTTCTGTGTTGTTTGGACCCAATAGCTTTGACCCATTACTTGTTTTGAAGAATATAAAGTGTTCAGGAAAACCCTTAAAAACTAGGCACATGTTGAAAATCAGAGATAGTTGACTCCATGTTTTCTGATGCTTTTCTTTGCTTCTCTTTTCCCCATTGCTATCACCCTGTATGCCAGATGAGCCTTGGACAAAGAGCAAAGCTAACCTGTACCCCTGACGTGGCGTATGGACCCACAGGCCACCCTGGAGTCATCCCACCCAACGCTACTCTCATTTTTGATGTGGAGCTGCTTCGGATAGAGTAAAATGGTGTGACTAATGGATGGCATCTGCTCGCAATCACCCATTTGTTCCCCCCTTTCCTTTTAATGGGAGGAATCACATTCAAATTTTGACCATCTTCATTCAGACTGTCATGCCAAGCAGTGCCACTCCCTGAAGTTGTATCCCCACTCTCTCTCCCACCCCCTTTTTTTACTGTGGTTATTGGTGTATTTGTCCCTGTTAAGATGCTTCTTTGCTGTGAGATGGGGGAAATGGCTGTAACATTTTTGAGTTGTACATTTATTTTTGATTTGCACGTGAAGCTTCAAAATTGTGATTAAAACTATATATACATATATAAATATATATATTTAAGAAACCTATATATAGATATGACTTGTTCAAAACCACTGCCTTACTATACACTTAAAAAAATAAAACACACCAGGGTGCTCAGACGTCAAGTGTACGTTTTGTACACATTGGGGGCATTAGCCAAACCAAGTTACCTGCGCTGCCACTTTTTTCCTCAACTTGTATGTTCTGCTTGCTGCTGTTTTAAAGAAAATGTCTCATATGGAAACTTTTCAAGAAGGAAAATAAAATATTGATACTTATATTGTTTCTCTGGATTTGTTTCTGTCAGTCTTATTTGAAATAGTTACAAAGCCGAGTGTTTTGAATGCATATACTGCATTACTGTGATTATTGAATAGTTCAGTCGTTTGAACAGCTGGAACAACCAAACACTGGCAATTAGATTGGGCCAATATCCATAAATAAATGCACCATAGGTTTAACAGGAATTTTGAATACACTGCACAAAAGGTTAAGAATCCTAAAGGTAAAGGGTTCCCTTGACATTATGTCTAGTGGTGTCCGACTGGGGGGTGCTGCTCATCTCAATTTCTAAGCCGAAGAGCTGGCATTGTCTATAGACGCCTCCAAGGTCATGTGACCGGCATGACTACATTGAGAGCCGTTACCTTCCTGCCGGAGGGGTACCTATTGATCTAATCACATTTGCATGTTTTTGAACTGCTAGGTTGGCAGAAACTGGGGCTAACAGCGGGAGCTCACCCCACTCCCCAGATTCAAACCGTCAACCTTTTGGTCAGCAAGCTCAGCAGCTTAGTGGTTTCACCTGCTGCGTTTGGAATGTACTGTCCAAATGATCACAAAGTTGGGTTAAAATGTTATTTTAAATAGGAACATGCCTTGTACCAAGTCAGGTGACTTATCGATGCAGGCCAGTGTTGTGCACACTTCATCGGCAACGGTGCTGTGAAGTGTCAGGCCAACATTTTGTGATGTGATTCCTTTAAATGAAGATAAATGGAATAGACATTGCATGCAAAGCAGCACCTTTAACGCTGTTTGCACCTCTGCTCTCTTTGCATTTCTACCTTTGGCATTCAATCTCTCAGACAGCTGTATTGCACCCAGAGCTGAATTTTGTTTTTGACATGCAAACAGTGTATTTCCATTGTCTTTCTTTCTCCCTGATTTGGCCTGTTTTCATTATGCTAGGTTAATGGAAACAGAAGGGGTACAGCAGGACTAACAGTACTTTATCACGGGAGAGTTAAGATCAATTTCAGCCAAAAAGTGAAGACCTAAAATCCTGCTGTTTCTGACCATTCAGCACATTCAGTTTGGTTCTCTCCTAGTCACGAAGATCAGAAGCTAATTTAAATTCATAATTGAAGCCTTGTATATTAAATGATGCTACAGGGAGAGGCAGCATGACTTCCTTTTTTCCAAACTTAATAAAACCCATTGTATGAATCATTTTTTTAAAAAAAAATTATAATGCAGGCACATACCTAAAGTTTTGCTTTACGTAGTTTTGAAGATCAAATTAGGTAGGTGACGTCCCCCATTCTTCATACACTGAGTAAACCAATTTCTGGCGTTTGTCATGACTCTTGCCAGCATAGCAGGCGTTATGTTGGCAATTTCTTCCTGGATGTTGGTATTCAAATCTTGTAGGGTCCTTTGATGGTTCACGTAAACATGGGATTTCAAAAAACCCCATAGAAAAAAATCACAAATCTGGAGAACGGGCCGGCCACTCCAAATCCGCTCGAAAAATAGGCTTCAATGGCAAAAGCACGCTCCTCACTGTTCCAACGCATGATGGCGACTGAACTGTGTCAGGACAAAACCTTATACTCCCGCCTCTTGAACGAGACCACCAACACTCCACTACGTCTTCAACCGACTGAATGGCGCACATTTTAAAAAAGGAAGTTTTGCTGCCTCACCCTGTAGAATAGTTTTATTGGTGCAACCCAGGCTGTCTACAGAGGATGCCCACGTGTTAAGATCCTGTGGGAGGCTTTTCTCATGCCCCCGCATGGGAGGCTGGAGCTGACAGACAGGAGCTCACCCTGTTTCGCAAATCTGAACCAAACCACCAACCTTCAGGTCAGTTGTTCAGCTGGCACAAGGGTTTAACCCATAGCACCACTGCGGTCTGCATCCTGTCACAAATACATAGATGTAGTATGCCAGGCCATCATCTTCTATTAAAACAACGAGGGTATTCAATCGCATGCAGATCTTTATTCCACCTCCTGCCTGTGCTGCATAATTGTATCAATGTAATTTATAAAATAAACTTATTCCATTTCTAATGCTGAAGGAAATACGTAATGGGCAAGCAACCTTCTGGACATAATTTCATGCTGATTCTTGGTGGAAAATCATAGCTGGAAACACAAAAGCACCAACACTGATGTGTACAGAGATGTTAATATTTACAGGATATTCTTTCCCTTGTTTCTTTTAACTGACCTTATTCTCTGTACTTGCTGTATTTTAAGTACTTGCGCAGACTTTGCCCTCCGGGGGTTCATAACGCAGCATGGCAAGCATTGCTCTTCCGCAGAGCAATAAAGCCCAAAGCAGGCTCTAGGAAAGGAGTTCGGCTGTCTTTCCAGAGAAATAAAAACTTTCTCTTCATAAGCCTTAAAGAATTTCCTGGTGTCAAAACAAGTCTTTAAAAGAAAGGTTAAAGACCGGAACATTTTCTTTCCACAACAAGAAGGTAGTAAGAGCAGGAGCTAAAGTTACTGGGTGCCTTCTAATCAGCTCCTGTATATCCCGGGCATTTTACGGGGCTTTCTTAGGCAAGGAATACTCAGAGGCAGTCTTGCCAATTCCTTCTCCAGAAACAGATCCGACAGCACCTAGTATTCACTGGTGGTCTCCCATCCAAGTACTGTATTAGAAGCTAACCAAGATATTGGAAACTAACCAAGGCTAATCTTGCATAGCTTCCAGTATCAGATAAGACATGGTGCTTTGATGGGTGCATATACTGCACATAAAAGATTTACGGATACAGGCTCTATCAACTATGCATCCATCTGCACATCTGCACTACAGAAGTAATCAGGACACAACTTCAGAGGCTGAGAGCATCTTTTGGTGTAGGAGATTCCCTTCATGCGCTATTAACTTAGGAATATAACTTGATCTGGATGATTACTTCAAAAAGTGGACTAATGTCCTTAAACAGGATTTCACTTCACCTCTACAGAGCCACAAAGCCCCAGAGAGGCTCTAGAAAAGGGAGATCCAACGACAGTAACGTCTTTCAGAGAAATCCAAAAGGTCAAAGGCATGTGCTATCCCCAAAAGTTTTTAAAAAGACAGGTTAAAGTCAGGCCCCATGTAGGTAGGCCTAGAAATGAATTAATAGCTAAATAGAGCAGGCATGGGCAAACTTCGACCCCCACAACCCAGGTGTTTTGGACTTCTACTCTCACAACCCCTAACAACCGGTAGGCTGTTAGGAATTGTGGAAATTGAAATGCAAAACACCTGAAGGTCCGAAGTTTACTCATGCCTGGTATAGAACAATGAACTACCTTTTTCAAAGGTCCAAAAGTACAACACCTCACAAAAAAGTGGTAAGTAAAAGAAACAATTGTGCCAAAAATATCTATTCATTCCAAGACATAACTGAGCACCAAAAACACTTAGCAGCACTTCTTAAGTTCAAAAAAAATAATAAAAAGTGGACTGTTTTATCTATTAATAGAGGGACATACCGAACAATTACAGAGTTTTTAAAAAACATCTATGGGATTTTACTGCAAAAGAATATTGCCATTTAAAAAAGCAATTAGCACACTATACTAGCAAAATTGAAAAACTACATCTGCTTTTAACACATAATGTCATGCTTCATAAAGACTCAACTTTCCAGCATTCCCACATTTTAAAAAAGAGCTTTAATGTGAAGAGCTTTGGAGCTTGTGATTTCCCTTGTGTTATGGATGTAACATCATTAGAATGGGAGCGGAAGACAGCAACTGGGTCACTGCAGAGTTCTATCAGGTCCCCACATCACACCATTTGGAAAAGATAAAAATACAATTATAGACACAAATCAAAACATAATATTAACACCAATGTATTTTACATGTTCTCTTGAATATAATGGTTAAAGAAATATAATCAAGGATGTACAAAGCTTTTTTATAAGCCTCTGGAAAATTTAAACAGCAATCAAACACTATGACAAATCTTAATTTTCAACGTACTGCTCGCTGTGATGATGCAGGAGTGACAAGCCTTTTCAAACCTGGGATTACCAAGTGGTAAATGAATTAAAATTCACAAGTAAATATGCTGCAAATTAGGTATATACATATGGAAATATTCATGTTGTTCTAAAGCCACCAATGGGATTTTTCAAAAAGTGTCCAAAAAAGCCAGTTGCTCGTTAAGCTTAAGAGTTTCATTTTGGTGGGTCTGTGTTTATTCCATACTTTTCCTTCAGAAGTTTGAGCTGTTCTTCTTTCTTCTTCGTATCCATCTTTTGGAATGCCTGTAATAAACCACAAAAACCCTATTAATAGGGTAATACTTACTAGTTTTATTCCAACTCAAGAAGCCTTCCATTACACAGCTGTTTTGTGATGCTTCTAGCACAGTGGTTCTCAGCCTGTGGGTCCCTAGATGTTTTCGGCTTCAACTCCCAGAAACCCCAACAGCTGGTAAACTGGCTGGGATTTCTGGGAGTTGTAGGCCAAAACACCTGGAGACCCACAGGTTTAGAACCACTCTATTCCACAGATCAGCCGGGTGGAGGAGAAGCTGATTTGTGGAATAGAATCACCTCCAAGCTCTGTGAATAAACAGGAGGGGAAAAAACCTTTTGTTTATTTGCTTTGTATCACATGGCAGATAATCAAAAGTGATGGGAATTGTTGTTCAATAAAATCTGGGGATCCAAATGGGGTAAAAACTAAAGAGCATTGACCACAATGTAAAAAAATTGTATGGCTTCCTGTTTCCCTTGATTCTCTGTCCGTGGATTCAATGGCCCTTTGATGTGGCCCTCACTGAAAATGAGTTTGGCACTCCTGTTTTAGGTAATGACAGAGGAAGCCTAATATCCTAAAGTGCTAGAAAAATGTTACACTGGAAGGAATAAACTGAAACAAGACTTTCCATAAATACACACAAAACCTTTGTCATCTTTTGGTTGTTCTAAGCCTCAGGAGAGACTTGCACATTATGAGACCTTCTGATTCTCTTCTAATATAATATTGTCATAGAAAGGGCTTAAAATACCATGCCCTTTGAGATGGACATGCATCAGTTATGTCACTGTTTGAAACAGGTAAAATATTACGTTAATGATTATACTTCAGCACTGTAGAGGCAATTTACAAAATCGCTTGATCAAATACAACTTCAAACGCACATCACGCACATAAAAATACCACCTGAATGTTGTTTTAAAACTTCAGTCCCAATATATTTTGCTACACATAATTTAATGGTGAAAAATCTTTTTTGCACGTACAAAAAACGAACATACAAAAGTCAACCCACAATACATGAACCTGTGCATGTTTTACATTCTCAAATCTTGTGACTGGAAAAAATATATGCTTTGAACGTCAGTGAGCCAAAACCGTGAAAGGGTTTTATTGGAAAGAAATTGAAGAAAGTAGATATTGTTCCTTGAGATCCAAAAATATCATTCTGCTGGTATTTTTGGGACTATTCACCTTAAATAGAAAAAAAAAACAAAAACAATAGGCTCCTCTTTGGTCCAGGACCCGTTTCAAACTTTTGATTTTTGTATTTAGGGTGCTGGCCTCCAATTTCCTCCATAACCTGGCAGCTCAGGTACCAAAGTATGCACAATCTAGGAATTTCAAATCTACAGGGAAAGGATTATTATGCATGTAACTTTGCTAAGGCTGCAAGCCTTTCAAGATCTGGATTTCTATCTGAAGAAAGCTCTTATTCGTTGTGGTAAGGAAGTGAAGACCTTCCTCTTTGATTCACTGGTTATGCTGCTGAGTGGGATATTGGGATATATATATATATATATATATATATATATATATATATAGTTATGTTTTAATGCCTTTATCAAATTATTATTATTATTATTATTATTATTATATTTCTAGCAATAACTGAAATGTTGTAACAAAACCCCAAGTACTTACTCTGTTTGCATTATAGTACAAGACTACAAGATATCTGTTGCATACGTTGAACCCTGACAAATGATCACAAGCATTTTTGGCATCAAAAATATCTTCATAGACAACATAGGCCGTCCCTCTGGTCTCTGGGGTGTTTCCTCTAAAAAACAAGAACAAATTCAGTATGAGCAGAAGAGGGGAACAAGTTCCTGATAGTATTAATATCTTGTGAAAGGAATTTGTCACAAATTGCAGCCCTTTGAAATTCTTTGGATTTCCTGGAGCAAATTAGCAACACTGACTTCAATTTGATGCATTCTTACATGGACTAAGCCAATGTTCAGAGTAAGCATGTATAAGGTTGGACTGTATTAGATCAAAATCAATTGTGAATCCAGTCCAAAACACTCTTTGGGTTCTAATCAATATTTAACAAATGAGAAACATAGTTATAGCACAAAATAAAGTGTCTTAAAAGAATTGGCATGTGATATCAGTTGCATTATTTTTGTGAGCTAAACCTCAAGACATAAAAAAATACAGATATGGTACCAAAAAATAAAAATGGCAGGACTGTTTGGAAGCAATGCATAGAGTTAGATAACTACAATATTGAGTGGCTTATCCAGTCAATAATCTTTCAAAAGACAGCTAAGAAGCATGTCTGAACTGTATTGTCTCAAATGAAGCTCTAAAAGATATTTTATGCTGAATGATTTGCAACTAAAAATAACAATGTAATATGGCTTTTACAGTTTATTTTCTTTTCTTCATTAATTGATAAAGCATAGTATGTTGTACTAGTATTCTGATTATTGCTCTGTTATGTACATTGGGAAATCTCCCTTTGGCTTATTGCCCTTTGTAGTTCACATTTGAATAACTGGATGATGAGAGTGTAAATGCCAAAATGTCCTTGACGCTTTTTTTCAGCTTATCATTTGGTTCTTATCACTGGCTCCAAATCTCTATGTTTTCAATGGAAACTTTTCAAAATAAATTAATCATGATAATTTCCATGAAACAATTGGTGACATTATGGATTAATAATAATAATAAAACTTTATTATAGACAGCCCTATCACCCCAAAGGGATTCAGGGCAGTTTCCAATGAATATGGCAAACAATTTACATCAAGACAAAGCACATTAGACAATACAGAACAACCTAACTGTAACTTAATAAACAAAATAGCAAAAAAAGACATCACAAATTACAAAAACCCTGATAAAACATACTAAAAATATATAAATATATAAAATGTCTGGATTGACCCACCTTGGTTCAAAAGCAATATTTTCACTTTTGCGTTGAGGGTTATTTGACATATATTTAGATGTACACTGCTTACAACATGCTAACTTTATACCACAGCTCTTTCCCTGAGATATCAGGTCATCTTTTTTCGCTACTTTTCACGAAACACTGCAATAGCGATAACCTAATAAATTAGAACAGTACTTTGCAATTTGTATTAAAAAATAATTCTGAAACACAAAACAGACTTACACTCTAATTTGTCGAATAGGTCCATATTTTCCAAAAATGTCGTACATTTCTTCAGCTGTAATTTTATACGGTAAGTTTCTGATATACAAAATCCGATTTACTTCAGGGGGCAGACGGATCTAGGTTTGGTAAAATATGCCATTTAGAATGAAGAGCATCGATTTTAGAAGTGCAAACATCTCTTAAGTATAGTATGATCCCATATCTGTCAGGACCGTAGATAATAGCAAGCCAAGAATACCATAGAGTTGCGCCTGAGGATCTAGAATCTATTTTGTCAGATGTGAATAAAAAAACCTGCAGATACCAATTCTGTTGACATGGAGTTGTACTATACTGTATTATTAATGTGGAAACCTGCTTCTCTTCTCTCTTACTTTCTCTTAAGTTTTTAACTTAGAGGAACAGACAGGATAATTCCGATTGGAGCAACATTATGACTAGTTCAGCCATGCAGATTTTAAAGCCCAAACTTATATTTCTGCTAAAAACTGTTTATTTATTTTTTGTTCCCCTACCACATCATTAATTCGATGTGCTGAAAATGCGAAGGAACCACAGCCAGCTTGGCCAACAGGAATTTCAGGAGCTGAAGTCCAAAACACCCAGAGGGCCAATAATTTTATTTATCATTTATTTATTTCAGAAATTTGTACCCTGCCCTTCGCAACCCCCCCCCCCCCCGGGGGGGGGATGAACAACAACTCAGGGTGGCTTCCAGCCGTCATATATTTGATGCCTACAATAACATAATAAAATACATATCAAAACCAATAATCATAAAATACTTAAAACATTAAATTAACACAATAAAATCTACAAGAATAAGCCAGTCTAGTGACTTTTAAACTACGGCTTAAGTGATTGAGTTTTTAATTGATTCCAATATTAACTGGATTTTAACTGTTTTATTAATAGGAGCTGGTTTTGCCTCTTGCGTAAAACATGTTTTAACAATAATATAGTTTATAGTTATTGCGTTCTTGTTGTTATAAGTAATATGTCTGTTACTGTTTTATTTTATTTATGTTTCATGATTTCCTGATTTGTTGGTTGATGAATTTTGTTGTCTTGGTTGGTCGACTCTTATTATGTATACTATATATTTCTTTTCTGTAAGCCGCCTCGAGTCCCTTGGGGGAGAGGGGGCGAGATATAAACAAAGTGTAGTTAACCACTGTCAAATGCCTGCTTCCACATGCATGTCTTTAGTTCATTTCTAAAGGTTATTAGAGTGGGAGCCAATCTTTGGGGAGAGCGTTCTAGAGCCAGGGGATATGACAGAGAAGGCCCTTTCTCTCGTCCCCACCAGCCGCACCTGTGAAGGTGGTGGGACCGTGAGTAGGGCCTCCCCAGCAGACCTCAGGGCCCGAGTAAGTCCATAGGGCAGTGGTTCTCAACCTGGGGTCCCCAGATGTTTTTGGCCCTCAACTCCCAGAAATCCTAACAGCCGGTAAACTGGCTGCGATTTCTGGGAGTTGTAGGCCAAAACACCTGGGGACCCACAGGTTGAGAACCACTGCCATAGGGGGAGATGTGGTCGTGCAAATAGACTGGACCCGAACCTTAAAAGGCTTTATAGATAATAATCTGCCCAGAAACACACAAGGAGCCAGCGGAGCTGCATTAACAGAGGGATTGAGCATTATACTCAACCTGTAGGATGTAAAGCAAGCTGGCCAGTACACATAATCAAATTATGCAAGATATGTATGTGTTTACAAAGAGACACATACATACACAGACACACACACACACACATATATATATACATACACACACACATACTACTTCATCACACTAGAGCAGGGGTCCTCAAACTAAGGCCAGGGGGCAGGATGCAGCCCTCCAAGGTCATTTACCCGGCCCTCACACAGGGTCAACCTAAGTCTGAAACAACTGGAAAGCACACAACAACCACCCTATCTCATCAGCCCAAAAGCAGGTCCGCACTTCCCATTGAAATACTAATAACTTTATATTCACCGGGATTGTGGCACAGCTGGCTGAGTGTCAGCTGCGTTAAGATCACTCTGACCAAAAGGTCATGAGTTCGAAGCCAGCCCGGGTTGGAGTGGGTTTCCAACCAATTGTGTAGCCCGTTGTCGACCTTTGCAACCCGAAAGACAGTTGCATCTGTCAAGTAGGAAAATAAGGTACCACCTTAAAGTGTGGAGAGACTAAATTAACTAATTTATGAGGCTATAAAGACTTCAGCAAAAGCATGCGGGGAATGCGGAAGTACTTCATCAGTGTCGCAGATGGACAATGAAAGTGACAGCTCCCCTGGCGGCCAGAAAAAAGTTAAATAGCCTCTGTCTGTATATGTTGTATGTCAAAATTGGCATTGAATGTTTGCCATATATGTGTACACTGTAATCTGCCCTGAGTCCCCTGCGGGGTGAGAAGGGCGGAATATAAAAGCTGTAAATAAATAAATATTTGTTAAAATTGTTCTTCATTTTAATTATTGTATTGTTTAAAGTGTTTTTTGCACTACAAATAAGATATGTGCAGTATGCATAGGAATTCATTCTGGGTTTTTTTTTCCAAATTATAATCCGGCCCTCCAACTGTTTGAAAGACTGTGACCTGGCCCTCTGCTTAAAAAGTTTGTGGACCCCTGCACTAGAGAATGAATCCACTTTAAATCTAGTTCCTGCCTCCTGCAGAATTCTGGGGTTTGTAGTTTAGTGAGGCTGTTAAAGGCTCCACCTTAAACTACAAACCCCAGGATTCTGCAGGAGGCAGCAACCGGATTTTAAGTGGATTCATTCTCCAGAACAGTGGTTCTCAACTTGTGGGTCCCCAGGTGTTTTGGCCTACAACTCCCAGAAATCCCAGCCAGTTTACCAGCTGTTGGGATTTCTGGGAGTCGAAGGCCAAAGCATCTGGGGACCCACAGGTTGAGGACTACTGCTCATAGGTCCATAGATATAACTACATATATCTATACACACACACAGTGATCTCTGTGAAAAGCCTCCTTGTTTTCTGAAGCCTTTGGGAATTTTAGTTTCACATACAGAGTTATATATAAAAGGCCAAAGTTTCGGAAGACAAGGGGCTTTTCTTTATCGAGATGCCAACCCATTCCCGCCTGGTTTGCTGGGCCAAAACACCCCCGCCCCACGAAACGGCTTCTGGGGAGAGGAACAAGGGTCCCTTCAGACTCACATTGGCGCGCTTGGCCGCTTGCATCGCCATGGCGAAGGTTAATAGGAGCTCTGGCTTCTTGGGAGAAAAATAGGGAAACTTCGCAACGAGTCCGCGGCGGATGAAGAGCTCCGAGGCCTCGCTTCGCCTTCCTCTTTGCCTGCGCCGGAAAAAGAGACACGCCACTTCCGGTCTTGCCAAGGCTAGGAAACACAGCGTGACTTTGATTCCCGGGCGTGTTTGGACTACCCGCCCCCTAGAGGCGAGGAGGAACGCAGGCAATACAAGAGAATCCCAGCATCCCACAAAAGTAATAATAACCTGCCTGGAAACACACAGGGGTTGAGCATTATGTTCAATCTGTAGGATGTAATATAATAATATATTATAATAATATAATTGGATGTAGAATGAGCTGCTAATAGCAGCTCAGGGGATTATTTGAAGGCCAAGTAAAGACAGTTAAACGTGTTGTCAAAGGCTTTCATGGCCGGAATGATTGGGTTGTTGTGAGTTTTCCCAGAAGCATTCTCTCATGATGTTTTGCCCACATCTGTGTCAGGCATCCTCAGAGGTTGTGAGGTCTGTTAGAAACTGGGCAAGTGGGGTTTGTATATCTGTGGAATGTCCAGGATGGGTGAAAGAACTCTTGTCTGCCTGAGGCAAGTCTGAATGTAGCAATTGGCCAGCTCAATTAGCCCTGAATAGCCTTGCAGCTTCAAAACCTGGCTGCTTCCTGCCTGGGAGTGAAATGGCAGGGAGAAGGTTTCACGAAAAGAGACAAAGAAAGGTCCGGAGGTCTCAAAAGCACGGATTTTATTTCCAGCTGGGATCCTGGAGTGGACTATGTCCAAAAGCATCCAGAGTCCTGATATAGGCACTGACTATGCCTTTTATAGCCTTCAAATGCAAGCAAACAAAGAACATGCATCTACATACGTTGACCTCATTCACTACGTCATCTTAGCATCACAGAAATATCAAGTTCTATTTTCCAACATGCAAAATGCATGTCTCTGTGTATTTCTAGGAGCAGCATAGCTTACAATCAAGAGGCCTAACTTTGACTTGTCATGAGGGAGAGGGGGGCTCCTTACTTAGAAGGAAGGCACTGGGCTTTTTGTACCAGTCTCTGTGGTTTATCTCTCTCTTGGGATGTATAGATAACATGACCCCCTCTTGCTGTGCCTGGACAGCGGCTTGCTTGTCCTGTTAGCATTCTTTCTGATACAGAGAGAGCCTGATTTTTCTATACATTTCAGTCCTTGTAAAGTACATACAATTTACACATAAATAAATATCTATTTTTCCCAATATCTCCTCATCAGGAGAATCCTTTGTTGGGAGGTGATTAGTTGGCCCTGATTGTTTCCTGTCTGGAATTCCCCTGTTTTTGAGTATTGTTCTTTATTTACTGTTCTGATTTTAGAGTTTTTAAATACTGCTAGCCAGATTTTGTTCATTTCCTCCTGGAATTTATAGTTTGACGAGGCAACAGCACACTTTTGGTCCAGAGGAGGCTAAAGACCTGGTAAAACTACAGCTCCCATTAAAATGAATGAATGAGACTTTATTTCTACCCTGCCCTATCTCCCCAGGGCCATTCCACACAGCCACATAACCCAGAATATCATGGCAGAAAACCCCACAATATCTGCTTTGAACTGGGATATATAATGCCATATATCCCAGTTCAAAGCAGATAATGTGGGGTTTTATTCAGCTGTGTGGAAGGGATCTCAGTGAGGACTCTGGGTGGCTTACAATATATCGAACGGCAAATGTTCAACGCCGTATAAAAATACAAAATAACATAAATCAAAAGATAAAACCTAATTCTACAGTGTAGGAGATGCACCCCAAGTCAATAGTCTCACCCACAATCTGCTTCTAAAACTGCACTGCGCATGCGTCCTGGCTCGAAACAATCCGATGTCGAAGGGGAGCACGGACGTGTTGGTCGGTCTAGAGTGGGAAAGAGTGAGAGGGCAGGCTCTCCTCTTTCTCGCTTTGAGGAAACAGCAGCAGCAGCAGCATGCCGAAGCAGCGCCCCTCGCCCAAGAAGCTCCCCACGAAGAAGGGCGACTGCAGCCAGTGGGTGATGGTGGTCCCAGGTAAAGCAGTCTGCCTCTCCTCTTCGTCCTTCTTGCCTTCCAAAAAGGGCGGGAAAAGACTCCAGAGGGAATGCACTTTGACACAACTTGGACTCCCATGGCTCAAGGCTATGGAATCTCGGGAGTTGGAGTTTTGCTGAGGCCCCTTCCACACAGCTGAATAGAACCCCACATTATCTGCTTTTAACCGGGATATATGGCAGTGAGGACTCAGATAATCCAGTTCAAAGCAGATACTGTGGGATTTTCTGCCTTGATATTCTGGGTTATAGGGCTGTGTGGAAAGGGCCTATGTGACACAGTTTTTGTTCCAGGCTTCTAAATATCATTTCCTCATTGTCTCATCATAAAAAACATAGGAAAAGTGGATTAAACTGCAGCACATTTTACTATAGTTTTTCAATGACTGTCTCATTGAGTCTCAACCAATTCAACATGGATATTTATTTATTTATTTGTTAACCATATTTATATACCACCTTTCTCAGCCCGAAGTCGGAGCCCCCGGTGGCACGCAGGTTCGAATCCGGGGAGAGCGTGGATGAGCTCCCTTTATCAGCTCCAGCTCCCCATTGCGGGAACATGAGAGAAGCCTCATGTAAAACATCAAAACATCTGGGCGTCTCCTGGGTAACGTTCTTGCAGACGGCCAATTCTCTCACACCAGAAGCGACTTGCGGTTTCTCAAGTTGTTCCTGACATGACAAAAAGAAAAAAAACTCCGACTCAGGGCAGTTTACAAACAGCACAATTCGATGCCTACAATAACAACGAATAATTAAAACATTTAGCATAAATAACATTTGATAAAATAAAATAAAACCGATAAAAGTAGAAATCAACAGCGTTTCGTTACTAAAATCATTACCCGGTCGCATTGTCCAGTTGTTCCAAAGATCTGAGTTTGTTTGCTACATTGCATTTCAGAAAGCTTGCTCAAAAAGCCAGGTTTTGACTTGTTTTCGAAATGTTAGGAGGTTGGGGGCCAATCTGATATCCCTAGGGAGGGCGTTCCATAGCCGAGGGGCCACTGCTGAGAAGGCCCTGCCCCTCGTTCCTGCCAACCAGGTCTGTGAAGAAGGCAGGACTGAGAGCAGGGTCTCCCCAGAAGATCTTAGGGTCCGAGATGGTTCATAAGGAGAGATACGTTCGGACAGGTAAGCTGGGCCAGAACCGTTTAAGGCTGTAGCCACCAAAACAAAGTTTCTGGAGTTGAAAACTACTTTCAAAGTAACTGCTGCACAATTAAATAGGAAATAATACTTTCAAACCAGGAACAGATTTTTTTTTACATAGTGTTATCTTTTTGGGTTGTGTAAGCTTTCAAGTTGATTTATTGCAACCACATAAATGGGTTTGCTTAGGCAAGGAATACCCAGATGTGGTCTTGCTAGTTTCTTCCTCCAAAATATTTACTCTCCATTTAGTGCAGCTAGATTTCCCTATGAACAGATTTTTCTTTCCCCTCTTGTGTCTTCATAGTAAACATCTCCCAAAAAAGCAGACGTTGTCTCTGATTTAGGCCCCTTCCACACAGCTGAATAAAATCACACATTATCTGTTTTGAACTGGGATATATGGCAGTGTGGACTCAGATAGCCCAGTTCAAAGCAGATATTGTGCGATTTTCTCCCTTGATATTCTGAAATATAGGGCTGTGTGATAGGGGCCCTTTCTTTCCAGATCTCAATTACAGACTTGTTTATTGAATTCATATCCTGTATTTTTTGCCTCCACAAATGTCACTCGGGAGGGTAATAAAACAAGGAAGTGCACAACTAGATAGAAACACAATTAATGTGCATTAATGGATCGTTTTCAAAGGAGTAGATAAATGAGTGGCAGCCAGCTATTTCACAAGGAAAATCTACACTGCCATGCAATCCAGATGATCAAACCAGATAATCCACATTATCTACCTTGAACAGGATTATATGAGTCTACACAGCCATATAATTTAGTTCAGAGCAGATAACCTGGATTTTATATGACAATCCAGATGATCAAACCAGATAATCCACATTATCTGTTTTGAGCAGGATTATATGAGTCTACACTGCCATATAATCCAGTTCAGAGCAGATAACTTGTATTTTATATTGCAGTTTAGAAGTTATGTGCCATTTTTGACTGTCAGATTCCAGAGCTGCAACTCCTTTGTGACAAAGACAATGGCAGTCTGAGACATTCTGTATCTGAAGTAACAGATTAGTAACTGAGAAATGAGGAAGGAGCAGGGAAATTATTTGTCAGAACTAGTCCTGGCAACAAAAGTATTTCTTTTGTTGAGTATTCTAGAAACTGAAGACTTTTCTTTGTGAAGGCAGAAATGAAACTGAAAGTCGCTTCTTGAACTCTTCTGTGTCTCAACATTTATGGAATTAATCATAAAATCAAAGCTACTTGTATTAAGTAGTGGACTCCTTGGATCTCCCAAGAGCCCTTCTAATTTCCCATGGGTCACTAGGCAAGTCTAGTCTTTGTTATTAAAATGCATTTTAAAAACCTCCATAGGATGTCTCTCACATTAGAATTTAATATTTTTCAGAATCAGTAACTGACCTGAGGAAGCCAAATTCTGGGCCTCTGTTTACAACCCTGCGTAATCCAAGCACAGGCAAGTCCAAGTCATACTATATGATTTTAAATTCTTCCATTTAATTCCTAATTTTCAAGCTTGCAAATTGTTTTTTAAAAGAAGAATGTGTGGTGGAGGCTCCTTCTTTGGAAGCTTTTAAACAGAGGCTGGATGGCCATCTGTCAGGGGTGATTTGAATGCAATATTCCTGCTTCTTGGCAGGGGGTTGGACTGGATGGCCCATGCGGTCTCTTCCAACTCTTTGATTCTATGATTCTATGAATGCTCATTTAAGGAATTAAATCTTTTCTCTTTTAAAAAGACCCTTTATAAATAATGCCATCCACTTCAACCCCCTTCCTTGCAAGAAAGCACAATCAAATCACTCCCAACAGATGGCGATCCAGCCTCTCCCTCCACAGAGGGAGACTCCACCACATTCCGCATATTCCACTGCCGAGCAGCTCTTACCATCAGGAAGTTCTTCCTAATGGTTAGGTGAAATCTTTTTTTCCTGCAATTTGAATCCATTGCTTCATATCCTAGTCTTTAAGAGCAGCAGGAAACAAACTTGCCCCCTCCTCAATGTCCCGTCCTTTCAAATATTTAAATATGGCTTTCACATCCCCTCTTGACCTTCTCTTCTTCAAGCTGAACTAAAACTTGAAGAAGAGAAACCAAGTCCTCATAGGGCTTAGTTTCCAGACTTTTTGTCATTTTGGCTGCCCTTCTTGGACACGTTTCGATTTGTCAATATCCTTCTTGAATTGTGGTGCCCAGAACTGGATACAGTGTTATTCCAGGTGAGGTCTGACTGAAGTAGAATAGAGTGATACTTTTAATTCCCTCAGTTAAGAAGACACTGTGCTGCTGTTGTTTCAGCTTTTTTGAGCTCATGTTTAGCTTGTGGTCTACTCAGACTCTTAAATCCTTGGCTTGGATTGTTTCCAAGCCAGGGGTCACCCATCCTATATCTGTGTATTCTGATCTCTGCTTTCCATAAGTTTTCCATTTTGGTGGCCAAATCTACAGAGCTATGTGTCTTTAACATGTTTGGAGTTGCTGGTGAATCAGTCTTATCTACTTTCCTTTTTTAGTTTTGTTGTTCATGTATGCTCAGTAAGAGATTCTGGAAGCAGCTGCTGCTTACCTTGCCTGTTGTAAGAAGGTGTACATTGCCACAGTAGGATTATATCGTTATTGCTTTATATGCTTACGTACTTATGTATTTTATGTGTGTTGCACTTCTGAGTGCTTTTGTGAGACTTCCTGAGTCCCTTTGGGGAGATGGTGGTGGGATATAAATAAATTATTATTATTATTATTATTATTATTATTATTATTAATTATTTGAAACACAACAAGATGAGTCCTCATCAGACAAGATCACTCTGCTAGCTGTTGTATTGGATCACATGTTGGACACTTCCCAAGTGTCTAGGGCTATTATTATTATTATTATTATTATTATTATTATTATTATTATTATTATCTAAGGTACAATCACATTTTCCAGCTCAAGTAAAAATGCTGCTTCAGCTTGACACCCAAATCTTTTGTCTCTGTACCATTTGTTGTCTGAATTGAGACTCTCCCCTCATCTTATTTGTCTACATTGTTTTAAATGGAAGGAACCAGGGAAAGCAAATCCTGATGAGTGTTATGGTCTCTCTAGCAGGGCAGGCAGCCCTATATTTGTTCAGTGGTGATTCTCGGCAGCTATTTGAATTAAAAGCCTTCCACGAAGAGTACCGATCCTGGTTTATAGGTCAGGCTGTTCAACATGGTGAGTAAAATGCCATACTCTTTTATTCCACCTTTAACTGCTCTTCAACTGCGTTCTTTTCCATTCAGTGGCAACTGGCAGTTGCCATGTTACTTGGGTTTTAGTTTGATCTTCAAAGGACCAAAGTAGCCCTTGGAAGGTAGGATTCAGAACATCACGTAATTCCTTTAAAACTCTGAGTAAAATCCGAAGTAGATTCACAGCCCTACTGAACATGGAAGCCACCGGCTGATGTTTCTTCAGTTTCTCACCATGGCACACAAACAGGGATGGCTCTGTATTAAGTTGATAAAACTTGTCTGTATGAAAACTGTGAGACTCAGTCATGACTAGCTTTTCACATTGCGCTTGGTAGGACCCCATGTTCCACTAAGTTCATCTGAATCTGTCACACATTTTTATTATTTGAATGGTTTTGATTGACACCATTCTCTGGGTTTTATCCTTTCTGTAGTTTCTTGAATGTTATGAAAAAATGCTGAGCAGAATCTCAGGGCAAGAGATCCAGTTGCCAAGTGGACTGTCCAGAGGACCACTGTCTCTGTTGACAGCACTTTAAAGAGATGCCTTTGTTCTATTCAAATATTCTTATCCTTTCGCACAACCAGGCTTATATAAGGGAGAGTCATTGCTGTAGTGATTTGGGTATTGGACTACAACTCTGGAGACTAGGGTTCAATTGCCTACTCATCCATGAAAACTCACTGGATGATCTGGGCAAATCACACACTCTCCGCTCTTAGAAAACTCTGTGATAGATTCAATTTAGGATTGTTATAAGTCTGAAACATCTTGAAGGCCCTCACCAACAACAAAGGAGAGAGTGAAGGTGGATGTAAACTGGCATTTCTGCCTTTATCCCTTTATTCATTCTTTATTTTTTCATGCAAGAATTCCATCTATACCAGAAATGAAAATAAAGGAATAATAGGGAAAGTGAGAATTCTCCAGTTATTATAGCATAATTTAAGGATATGATGCCTTAATGCCTTGCTTCTTGTGAAAGATTAAGTTGTTGTCCACTATCTGCTGATTTTTATGTTTATAAGCCTCCGGTGGTGCAGCGGGTTAAATAGCTGAACTGCTGAACTTGCTGACTGAAAGGTTGGTGGTTTGAATCCGGAGAGTGGGATGAGCTCCCGTTGTTAGCCTCAGCTCTTGCCAACCTAGCAGTTTAAAATATGCAAATATGAGTAGATCATTAGGTACTGCGGGAAGGTAACTGCTTCATGCAGTAATGCTGGCCACATGACCTTGGAGGTGTCTATGGACAATGCTAGCTCTTTGGTTTTGAAATGGAGATGAGCACCACCCCCCAGAGTTGGACACAATTAGACTTAACATCTAACCTTTACCTTTACTAGAACATGCTTGATTAGTTTTCAGAATTTAAATTGGCAGTATATGTGTAAAAGAGATATCCCTTATTTGTAAAACTTAATTTACTTGTTTAGTTATCATGCATATGATAGGATTGAAAGCCCATCATCTTATCTGAGCCATTGCAGTGTTCATTGCTAAATTGTAAATGAATAACTGAGGATGACATGCTAAAAAAATACTGTAATCATTGCCCACTCTCAATGATACATGTTATTATTCTGACTTCAGATGGACGCCTGTTCTTTGCTACACCAATGGATCCGTTATTTCTTGTGCTGGTCTACCTTATCAAATCAGAGGAAGAGGTAGGTAACTAGGATGTTGAAAGAAAGATGGCAAATCTTCCGTGAATGCAGAGGTTGTGCCATGTTTGAAGTAGATCATATATTTAAAGTAGACCACACATGAGTCCCCACATGGAGATAGGGAAGTATATAAATAAAGATGATGATGATGATTAATATTATTTATACCTGGAAGAGTTTTCATGGAGAAAATGTGTGTGAACGGAAACTTTATTACCAATTCTTGTTTCCACAACAAGCCACATTTTTCAAAATCCATTTGTTAGTCCTACAGTCAGGTCTATCTATCCATTCTAAGGCAGGGGTTTTTTGATTATCAGGTATTTAATTACAGTCTACGGAAAAGCAGGGATAATTTGTATAGTGTTTGCCCTATGTGGAGGGTATTTCACACAAGCTATTATGGCGGTAATCCATACAAAGGTCTAATAATCCATACAGAAGGAATAATTTATGTCCAGGATGAAGACCAGTAATTTGAAACTTGGTCCTAACTAGATGGGGGTCCAACACTAAGTGTTTATGTGAGATACCATGTTTGTTGTTGTTTATTTGTTCATTTGCTTCTGACTCTTCGTGACGTCATGGACCAGCCCATGCCAGACGTCAGCCATGTTTGTGCTGTGTGTTTATGCCAGCTAGTCAGCCAGATTTCAATATCAACTAACCTTTAAAAAAAGTTGATACTTTATGTTTTGTAAATCTCAAGCTGCTAATGGTTTACATACCACTATATAATTTTATCAGGGTTTGGGCAACTAATTATGATAGAATTAATATAGTTTCACGTTACATTGTCTGCTATGAAGTTCCAGTTTGTTAGCTTTGTGGTAAAGAAGGCTAAAGACCTTGTAAAACTCCAACTCCTGTGATTCAATAGCATTGACTCATAGCTGTTAAAGTGGTGTCAAATTGTATCCATTCTGTAATGTAGATTCACCCTTAGTTTAAAAATTCTCTATTTTGTCAATAGTTGTTTGAATCCCTTTGATTGTTTACTGCTTCTTTTCTCTTCCATTATAGCATGGAAAGTTTCAGCCACTAGATCAAATTTTGATAGATGAAGAATTTCCTTCCTGTTCGATGTTGCTACAGTGCACAAGCACATCACACTCAATTCACCATATAGTAGAAGAAAAAGGTAAAAACTGAGAAGTAGACTTAACAAGTTGCATTAAATACATGTCTGTGTTAGCTGGGTATGTTTAGCTGGAAGAAGCCTCCACTGGGTCTCGCAAAGTATTCAGAGAATAAAATAAATGGGTACAAAATCCCCAGTGGGCCATTTGCTGTGTTGTTCAGCCGGGGGGGGGGGGGGCATTCAACCCCTGGAGCAGATGTAGAAGCAGGCATTGGGGGATGTCAAGGAGAGAAGAAAAATGGGCATTTTCATTGTTCCATCACAGAGAAATGTACATTGGTGAATGATCTTGGCAGCCACCTTGACATTGGTCTAACACCTGCATGTCAATGTTTTATTTTGTGGCTTGCAAATACAAACCAAACTTAATATGAGTTCTTGTTTTTCAATCTCAGAAATCAGTGGCAAGAAATTTTATAAATTTAGTGAGGAGAAAACACTAAAGTGGCTAAAGAAGAAGGTAAGTTTCAACATTCGAACATTTATTTCTACAGTGCTGCATTTGGTGTGCTATGTAACCTTCTTTGCCCAACCTGCCCCCTTCTAGATGATTTGTTTAAACTTCCATGGGACTTGAAGACATCAGAGTAGGAAAAGTTGTTAATTGTATTGATAGCTTGCACTGAATTAAAATGCCAAGGTATACAACCCAAATGGAAGAATAAGGCTCACTCATTTTGAGTCTTCTGCTGAGAGATACAGGGAATCTAGACACATAATAAAAATGAAAATAGGTATGTGTGTGTGTGACTGGGGTGTTCACTTACACAGACAAGCTCCCACTTCCATAAACAGCTATAGCTGCCACAGCTCAGGAAACACCGACTGCCCTTCCTCCAGTGACATTGCAGGTTATAGTGAGCGACATGAACATGTGCCAGACCATACTGTCTACCACCCCAAGTGAAGGCTTTCATACGGGGACAATGTCATCCTAAATTTTATGTGTTTCATCCACCATAAACATCCCAGTGTTCCTTTCTCTCTCAGTTAGTGTGGAATATGCATGACTCCACCCACTGCCTCTCCCTTAATCCTTTCTTATTCTTTCCCATGGTCACAGCAGAGAGGAATTGATCAGCAACTAAACATCCTAGAGGGGTTTGGGGAGACTTCACCATGATTTATAGGAGTTGTAGGTAATGGGATGTGTAGTTCACCTGCAATCTAATAGCACTCTGAACTCCACCAAAGATGGAATTGGACCAAACTTGGCACACAGAGCCCACATGACCAGCAAGAAATACTGGAAGTCTTTGGGGAAAATTCATCTTGATTTAGGAGAGTTGTAGTTAACCTACATCCAGAGAGCACTGTGAACCCAAACACTGATGTATCTAGATCAAACTTGGAATACTTACCTGATATGCCCAAATTTGATTACTGGAGGGGTTTGGGGGGAACTGATCTTCAGTGTTGAGCATCTATAATCACTGTTCTAGAACAAACTTGCCCAACATAACAAACGTTAAGTACTGGTGGAGTTTCTCGGGGTTCACCTGGCATGATGTAAATTGTAGTTCACCCACAACCTTATGCATTTTGTACAATTAAAAATCTGACTTTTTCAAATAACCCGGGCAACGCCGGGTCTCGAACTAGTAGGTTAAATAAATAATAGAAGTGAATATAAAATAAGAAATACTGCAGATGACTAAGAAACTTCTTTCTCATATAAGTGTCATTTGATTCAATGGATATATAAAGAATGCTCTAAAAATTACAGTGTCAGTCAAGATTGTATTTGTTTCCACTGTTACTCTGGCAAAGGAAGTGAGGCTTTAGTGGCACAACAGACGTGTAATGTCGCCAGGTTTTAGAATGATAAGAGATGGCAGCAATATGGCAATGATAAGATAAAGCTGACCTGCTAGCGTATGCTCTTGGCTCTTGCTGCAGTCCCATGGTGTCATTGTAGTTCATTTTTTTTTAAAAAAGACTAATGCCACTACAGTAGAATCTCAAACAAACAAGAGTTGCTACCTGAATTCTATCAAATATATATATTGAAGATTCTCTGTTACTGCTTTTGAGCTAATCCCCTTTTACCCCCTTTTTCCATTAAAAGACTGAACAAGATCTAGTACTAGATCAACTACTCTAGGTGTACCTACACTGTAAAATTAATGCAGTTTGACACTGCTTTAACTGCCATCTTTCAGTGCTATGGAATCCTGGGATTTGTAGTTTGATGTGGGACCAGCTCTTTTTGGCAGAGGAGGCCAAAAACTGCAGACTCCTGGGGACAGAGCTACCATTTGAAGGGCTGACTGGAATTAACTAAAATTATAGTTAGATGAACAAAAAAATATCTGCCAGGAAGGAACATACTTTTTCAGGGTCTTTTTCTAACAGCCATGTTTATATGAACAGAAATATTGTACAAATATAGTTTTATTCGTGTGCAATCAATCCACATTTGATTCACAGAAAGTTAGTCAAACAAATTGTTTATCTCCCTTTCCAGTAGGATAGTTAATCCTTACAAGTATTATTGAAATTCGATTCATAGCTTACATGTTAAAACTTTGGCTGTGAGGATGAACCACAACAATGATACGAGATTTCCCTCTGACCAGGTAGACCAGACTGTGAAAGTATTAAAGTGCCACAATGTGCGTGTGGATGCAAGAGTTCAAACTGCAACATTTATCAGTGGAAAACAGTTCACCGATGCCACGGAAGGTAAGGGAATTGAATTAACTTAGAGATAAATTTGTAGTGTAAAATATAAATATCGGCATTTTGATTATTAAAATGATTTTCCATCTGATTTTTTTTTCAAACCTCTCTTCTTTTACTGTGGTTCTGTTTTTCCCCTCCTACAGGGACATAGTCACCTTAATCAGTTGTGGAAACACATTTTTTGGCCAGCAGTGGGTAGACCTATTGTGTCCTGTCCATATTTGTACCCCTCCAAAAATCCCCTGATCACCTGTTGTCTTCCACAAAACACCCACACACAATATTTTTAAGAGATCAGGAGAATGTAGAAAGTCTGAATATGGTTGTGCACACACTGGTAACCTCAAAGATGTCTGTCAACAATGTGTTGTGCATTGGGCTACCTCTGTACCAAGTTTGGGAGCTCCAGTTTGGGAGCTCCAATACATGGCAACCAAATTGGTCACCAGTGCATATAGGAGTGACCGTATTAGATCTATATTAAAATCACTACCTACGGGATCCCTCCTTCCATATAATTTGCCTCATACATGCAGATCCTCTGGGGGGTGTTTACTCTAATCAGCCAAAACTAGACTGGCAATAGTTATCCAGAAGGTATTTTCTTCAGCTGCCTCTAGATTGTGGAATGGCCTGCCTGAAGATTCAAAACCACTGAATTAGCTGTCTGAATGTAAAACTGGGCAAAACTCATTTCTTCTGGCAGTACTTTCTAGCTCAGTGATTCCCAACCTTTTTTTGACCAGGGACCACTTGCCAACATTAGTACCAAAAGGGTTACGAATCAGTTTTTGGTCAACTTTAGATTTGGTTTGGTCATTTGGGGTGTTGATTCAGAAAATTGCATTGGATAGACCACATCAGCTCTAGTTTCTGGTACAAAACGTATGCCATCCATCTGCACGCCCACAGAAAACCATATTTAATAAGTCTTGGCACTATAAGAGGGTTTTGAGAGACCAGTTGCTCTTGTTGCAACAGCGTAGTAACAGTGAGGCCGCAGACCAAATTTTAGTTCTTGCTGATCATTGGTGGTCCACGGACCACAGGTTGGGAACTACTGATCTAGATTATTTTAAATGATTAAATTTAACCTGTTTTTTTAGGAATTGGATTTATATGTTTTTTTAATTGAAGCTGGGTGTTTTAACTGATGTTATGTGTTTATTTTAATCTGTTGGTTGTGCCCTGCCTTGATCCATGGAATGAGAAATAATAATAATAATAATAATAATAATAATAATAATAATAATAATATTATAGTATTAATAATAGTAGAAGAGGACTTCTGCATCTAGGATAACATGTATTTGGTTGCTATTTGTGAGAAATTTGAATAACATGGTATTCATTGCATTTTTGTGACAGAGGACTATATTCGCTATGCCCATGGGTTAATCTCAGAATACATTCATGAAGACCTCAGTATTGCACTAGCGAAATACGTACGGTAAGTGTGAGAAAAATATACCAGCTTTCTTCCCTGAAGGAGAATTTTCCGGACATGGTTGCTGCAAAGGCATAAAAAGTACTGTTTACATCAAGATGAATTATCTCCCCTACTACCCCTCCAGTTCCCCCAGCCCCTTTTTATTGTAGAAATTTGGGAGACTCTGCTAAACAGAATGGTCTGTTTGAGAGTGCATTGATGGGGAATGCTGTAAAAAAAGGAGTAGAAACTGAGGCCACATCTACACTACCATATCAAATCCAGATTATCTGATTTGAACTGGATTATATGGCAGTGTAGACTCTCATAATCCAGTTCAAAAAAATAATTGTATTATCTTCTTTGATAATCAGGATTATATGGCAGGGGCCTGGGTGAAAGGAAGGATCCCATGAAACTAGGCACAGATTCCTTCTTCAGACAGAGCTCTTGAAGCTGGCTTCATCCATTGTTGAAGCTGGCTTCATCCATTTCAAGGAGGGGGGGGACACCTCAGTGCCCTCCCTTCAGTAGTTGCCCAACAACTTTCTCAAGGAGCTCCAATGAAGTAAAGCTGGTAGACAAAGGAGCGAGGAAGTCAGCTTTTTCAGCTCAGTTCTGCCCAATTTTCTTTAGATCTAGCTCTGAATCCTGTGCTTTTCCTCTTGATCTTGTTATTCCTTGGAAAGAAAGCTCAATCTTCCCTACTACTCAATGGAGACATAAAATAATGCATTGATGGAGACTCAAGGTGATACCAAAAGTATTAATAAATTCAAATGCTGAGTCATTATAAGATGTGATGAAAGTAACCTGATGACAGAATTATGCTTAAGTAGTGGCTGGGCAACCCACTCCGAAAGGTTCAATGAAACAGCATTATTGTACTTGAAGTGACAACATTGTAGTTTATCATCTCTTATTCACTCTTTCCAGTCTAAGTGATTTGGTGTAAGTTCTGATGGGCTGCACCATGTTGTGTATTGTATAAAATGGTCTAGGTTTGAATAATAATAATAATAATAATAATAATAATAATAATAATAATAACAACAACAACACTTTATTTATATCCCACCCTATCTCCCCGTGAGGACTCATGTGTATGTTTTGATGTTAAGTCACTGCACAATATTCAAAAGGCAAGTTGTCATTTCTGGAATCTTTTGGAGCAGGCAAATTGCTCTGTTGGGTCACAGGGAGAGTAGAAGGATGATAGTCCAGGATACCTGTAGACTTTGAAGGCTGGGAAAACAACCTTGAGTGGCTCTAGGTCCAGGGAGCAAGACAACACCTTGTCTCCCCCTCTTTTTAATTGTAAGAATGGGATTGATCCTTCCTGACAACCTTTATACTGCCCCCCTGTTCTTCAGGAGGACCATCCAACCTCACAGAGCAGCATTTCAGGGGATTCAAGAGCTTTTAGCAGGAAGGAGGAATTAGTGAACATAGACCCTTTCCATCTGTTTCACATGCTGGGATTTTGGATTCAGTTTCAAGACCCTGTTTATGCTGTTTCTAAAAGTTGACTTCCACAACATTTTTTGTTTTGTTATTTACCCTTCAGGCTTCCACAAATTTCATCTCCTTCATCAGAACCGGCATCAAAGGTAAGAAACTTTTATCATTGTGATGGTTTTAATGTTGCTGAATAGTTTCACATAACCCTAACATTCAGCAGATGGTACTTAGACATAATGAGGTAGATCTGCTGCAAAACCATTAGGGAGAAGACAAACAATTCTCTCTCTATATATATTTCTTTAATAAAAAACAAAGGTGATTCTATTTCCCAATACCGGGCTGAAGGAATAAATTGTCACACTGTTTGAAAGGACTGAAGCAGAATGTGCAACAATTTTTTATATGTAAGTACATTTACAGATTGAGGACCAGCTTGCCTCAAATGTTGTTTTAGCTGAATCCCAGCCAATTCCTTGAAGAAGATCAAAGGGATGCTATGAAACTTTAAAGGTCGCATTTCAGAGTAAAGTGCCCATCAATGCCTAGAGCAAGAAGGAAAGCGGTTAAAGTGGTGACTTCGGGATGAACCAAGATTGAAAAATGCAACAGCTTCGTGCATCTGGCATACAGTGCTGAGGGACAGGAGAGTGCAACCTCCAACCATGAGAAACCTAGTCAGATCATTCTTTGGATGCTCAAGGGACAAAGAGGGATGGGGGCAGTGGATAATATGAGCTGTTCGTATTGGCCTCACCACCAATTTAACAGTGCAGTGATGAGTGCAACTGCAAGAAGATCATTAAATGAGTTCTCATGATGATACATAGATGATCTATAGTGAACCTGGGGTTTTTCATTTTTGGTCCCACAACCACAACCCTTTCTTATATGCTCATGTATCATTAGATTGCTTTGAGTGTTACTCAAAGTGGCCGTTTGTGGTATGATGCTAGTCTGTGAGCTATTGGCTGCTGGTCTGTGATGAGTTGCAAGGAAAGAAAGCAAGACAGTCAAAACAATTGTAGCCAAATAGACTCAAATATAGTGTCCATCCCTGGTACATTGGGAGAGGAAATTGACTGTTTCCCAGATACAGAAGCACTGGAACACACCATTTCAAAAACCAGAAACAGCTATTGGTGATCATTTCATCATCCAGATTTTGTTTTTCCCTTTTACGGCCAATGAGGAGAGGCAGGAAACATTTCCTGCTGATTGCCAAGAGACTGTGTTTCATTTATAGCGACTACTGCATATCTGTTAGCCTGATGTATAATTCGAGGACAGGTTTTGGCATCCAAACCTAATGGATTTTGGTGTTGCCAGTAGATAAATTGAGGGTCATTCTGAGGAGAGCGGAAAGTGCCAGCACTGCCTCTGGGGGCTTGTTGCCCTTGCCCATCATTGCCATATGCCCATCCAGACATTCAAAAAGACTGTTCACCCCTCTACTCACAGAAAGAGAAGGTTCCTTTTTTGATGAAAGTTAAAGTACAATATTTACTCTGATGTAGTCATGTTGCCCTGTGAATCAGTTGATCTAGCTTATTTAAAAATTGATTTTTTGACTAAAATTTTATTTATATTTGAATGTACATGGTAATTTCCCCTACTGTTGCAACAAAAAGGGATGCTGTGAGTTTTGCTACTTACCAGAGTAATGTTATTAAAGCAAGAATAATATTACATGGTGCAAAGTAAAGGGAAGTCTGGATGAGGAATATGGGCATCCAGATGCTCCAGATGATAAGCTCGGGGCAAGGTGAGAGGGTGAGGGAAGTCTTACAATCTTCACGGAATAGATATTAGAAGATCTGTGCTCATTGAAATAAAGAGAATAAAATGAATTTGCCCCAACAATTAATGACTTACTGAGTGTTCTTTTTGTATAAATATTCAGAGTTGCTCGGTCTCTCAGTGCCATGCTACATCCTGTTTTCTTCCTTTCTTCCCTTCTCTTCCAAATGTTGTCTTGTCAAGTCCTGGCTGTCTGCACATTCAGTATTCCTTCCTCCCACTATGGTGTTACATAGTGACTCTTCTTTGATTACACTATGTAACACCATTTTTTCCTGTGTCATTTGTTCTGAATGAAATTACTAAGACAGGAACACAATTACAAAAAGCAGTAGTGCTTGGAATGTGCCACAGTATCTGTTGATATCTGATTGATTCTTCGATTCATTGGATAGAATCAGATATTTTAATGGTCCAAAACAGAATGAAATTGATGATAATACCAGTAATTTTTAAAAGCTTTTATTTTATTTTATTTATTTTATTTTTATTTATTTCATGTCAAAAGAATTGCATAAATAAGTATAAAACTGATAAAAATAGAGGAAACACAAGCAGTTAAATAATTTTTGAGCAAAAATGGGTAACAGCGACCGAGTTGTCTTTAGCTTTAAACAGTTCTTCCTCTGTGCATGAGTCAGGGCATTGTGGGCAAGCATACAGATGTTGAGTTGTCTGTTCTGCTCCACAGTTGCACAAGTGGAGGATTCTTCTAGGCCATGCCAGTTTGCCAGGTTGTCTTTTGATCTACCCATTCCACTTCTGAGTCTGTTCAGGGACTTCCAAGTTGCCCATTCTTGGTTTGCCCCTGAAGGAAGACCCTCGTGGGGGGGGGGCCATCCAGTTGGGATTTCCTGATTTTGCTGCCCAGAGGGATACTCTTGGTGTTGCTGGGGGGACATTAAGAGGAGTGGTGGTTTTCATGAAGCTTTTCCGTTAAAAAATTCTAAGCACTCGTATAAAAATACCATAAGATTGAACTATGGCAGTTAAAGTGGTATCCAGCTGCTATGAACATGTGATATACACATGTTTCCTACTTCCTTTTAAGTCATTTTTCCCAGATTCTGGAATTAGCATAACTATTTAACTGCAGGGTTGTCTGTTTATGCACGTGTCTGTTTTTGTTTTTAATGATGATGCGGTCAATAGACTATTCAATAAATTTTGCACATAACCATTTAACTGCAGGGGGTGAAATGCACAATTTCACTTCACATGCCATTATCACTTCTTGTCTACTGCATTTCTTCTAAATCCGAATTTTTTGAGTCTGAAATTCAGTCTGGGAAAAACTACGATATGTCACTGATGGAGCAAACCATCACTCTAACATTGCAGAAAAGGAAATTGTCAGATGCCCCTGTGGAGGCAGAGGAAGACTATACGAAGTTTAACACTAATGACCTAAAAAACAAAAAGGTAAGTGATGGCTTTTTTCTTCTACCTAGCCTTTTGACTAAAAGTTTGGTGTTGTCCTAGGATGCTTTCCTAATGAGGAAAAGATAGGATATGGATTTTAAGAACTCCAGTCCCTTTTTGAGGATTAAAACTCCCAATTTTATAGAACATCAAGTAGCAAAACAAATGGTCAAATATGTGTGTTAAAGTATGTATCTTATGAAAGAGAATTTAGGGTTACATAAAATTGCCTTGGTGGTCACTGCTAAAACACCAAATGCATAGTATCTGTTGCTTCTGATTATTTTTGACTTGATAAACATCATCATGAATTGCCTTGTAGCATTAAGGTATGCTTCACTAATGTTCAGTTACTGTATGTTGCCAGTTTCTTTTACTTTATCCTATGGTTCATACCTGGAGCCCTTGGTGGTGAAGTGGGTTAAACCACTGAGCTGCTGAACTTGCTGACCAAAAGGTCGGCAATTCATATCCGGGGAGCAGAGTGAGCTCCCGCTGTTAGCCACAGCTTCTGCCAACCTAGCTGTTTGAAAACATGCAAATATGAGTAGATCAATAGGAACTGCTCCAGCGGGAAGGTAACATCACTCCATGCAGTCATGCTGGCCACATGACCTTGGAGACGTCTACAGACAATGCCAGCTCTTTGGCTTCGAAATGGAGATGAGCACCACCTCCCAAAGTTGGACACAACTAGACTTACTGTCAAAGGCAAACCTTTACCTTTTTATAGTTCATACCTATGCCACATGCTGATTGTGTGTGTATCAATGTTAAATGAAAATTTAAAAAGCGTTCTGGCTGGAAGTAAATTCTGTGAGGCTTATTCCCAGATAAGGATTTTGTGGTCATGCTGAGCAAGTTACTGGTTGGAGGTTCATGAAAATACCTAAATCTTAATGTGAAGGATATTATTTAGATTTAGTTTCATATCAGTTTTCCCATGTGATATGAAGGAGCGTTTAAGAATGTAAGGATGTATATAGAGAGAGGGAAGGAAATGAGTGAATATTGTAGTGCACCTTTAGGTTGTTTCTCATTTAAGTCAACCCTAAGGTGGAACCTATCAGAGGGTTTCTTGGAGGGCATGCTGAAGCTGAGAGTGTGTGACTTGTTCAAGGTCAATGAATGAGTTTCAATGACTGTGTGGGCTTTTGAACCCAGGTTTCCCAGAGTTATAAGGTGCATCTACACTATAGAGTTAGTTCAATTTGATACCACTTTAACTGTCATAGCTCAATACAGTGGAATCATAGGAGCTGGCGGAGATGGCTAAATTTTTTGTAAAACTACAATTCCTATGATTCCATGTCATTGAGCCATGGTATCAGTTAAAATAGGAAGGTAATGGCGTTTTGGTGGGAAGGTAACGGCACTCCATACCGGCCACATGACCTTTGAGGTGTCTATGGACAATACTGGCTCTTTGGCCTAGAAATGGAGATGAGCACCACCCACCAGAGTCAGACATGACTAGACTTAATGTCAAGGGGAAATCTTTATCTTTACTTTGTTTGATACACCTTGTATATATAAAGCAACATGAATTGCTTGATATATATGTCAAGCAATGCCCTAATGTTTTCCTTTCTTCTTTTTCAGGCAAACAGTAAGATGTCAGCTGCTCAGAAAGCTCTCTCAAAAGTTGACAAGAGTGGCATGAAAGCTATTTCTTCTTTCTTTGGTTCTAAAAATAAAGCTGCAAAATGAGATAAAGATTAGGTACAATAGTTGGCCTTGATATGTTCTATTAAACCCCACCTTTTGTCATCCTTCCACCTCAGTGTCCAAATAAGTACTTTAGTCAATTTAGAAGCAAGACTCTTCAAAAGAGCTATTGTTCAGTTCCCGTGTGAGCTTTAGTATTGAGAAATATAATATTGTATGAAACTGAAGTTAGAGCGACATTCTGTAGTCCCCAGTGGGGGAAAATTGTTTGGATCTTCTACAGGTCCAGAAACTCCAAACAATATTCTTGTTTGGTTTATTTTTTTACTACTAGTTCAACATCAATAAAATGCAACACAATAAATCTATTTCTAAAACAATTGCTTGTGTTCCTTTAAATTTTCTTGATTGGAAGAGGGGAAGGGAATGTTGTGTGTCTTTCCCTGTTTCTTCCTTATTTTTCAAAAGAGATTTGGAATATCTTTGTATCATACCTCTATCTCTTTGGGCTGTTGAAGTGACGTTATGCCTAATTTTGATACCTTTATTGGACTGTTTAATGTGCATAAAAGACAAGCTTTTGAAAATGCACTGGCATATAATGGTAAACACTCTTTATCCATCACACCAGTTTGGCCATTTTTGAACATTTCAATCCACTCATAGTCGACTCTACAAGAGAGAACTTTATCCCATTCTGAGTGCACATGCGGAGATTAATTATGCTCCTGGTACACCTGTCCACCAAAAGCACATGACGATGCTGTTCCTCTTTGGTGCAATTTATATGTTTCACAGCCTGACAACTCTTATAGTTGTCAGACTTTGGACCGCGGTGGTGCAGTGGGTTAAACCATTGAGCTGCTGAACTTGCTGTCTGGAAGATTGGCGGTTCAAATCAGTGGGACAGGATGAGTTCCCACTGTTTGCCCCAGCTCCTGCCAACAGCATGCAAATGTGAGATCAGTCGGTACTGCCTCGGCGGGAAGGTAAACAACGCTCCATGCAGTCATACCGGCCACATGACCTTAGAGGTATCTACGGACAACAGAGGCTCTTCAGCTTATAAATGGAGATTAGCACCACTCCCCAGAGCCGGAGATGAAGGGGAAACCTTTACCTTTATCTGTGTGTGTCTGTGTTTAATTGTTTCGAGGCATTGAATGTTTGCCTTCTGTCTATGTATCGTGGAATTTGCCCTGAGTCTCCTCAGGGAAATAGACTGGAATACAAATAAAGTATTATTATTATTACTAGCTGTCCCCTGCCATGCCTTGCTGTGGCCCAGTCTGTGTATATGTGTTTTGTGTGTATATATATGTGTGCATATATTTGTGTATATATATCGTTTTGCGCATGTGTGTGTGTGTGTGTGTGTGTGTGTGTGTGTGTGTGTATTGTCATTTGGCTTTTAAAATCTCTGCTGTATTTTTCAGTGTTGTTGTTAAAGCGATTGGCACTTGTTGGCCTGATAGGTGTATCGTGTCCAAATTTGGTGTCGATTCATCCAGTGGTTTTTGAGTTATGTTAATCCCACAAACGAACATTACATTTTTATTTATATAGATTATTATAGTAGATTGCCAGACCAACTAGTCACGCAACACACGTATACATGACCAATTACTATTCCCGCCCTCGCCGTTTTTAACGAAAATATAAAAGTACAGAAACGTTTTGAATAATTCCTCCTATGTCCTCTCAGCATTTTTTAGATCCTTGAATGTTGACTGTATGGTATTCCTGAGCCAGACGTTCTTTATTTCAATAGGCTTTGCTATTATCCATGGTATTGTGTATCCATGTGAAGTCCAGGAGTGTATCCCCTGCAAGACAGGTCACATTGTATTTTTTTGCACAGGCAGCACCACTACCTTTGAATATGTTTCCTATTACCAAATGTGTTTTCCTTATACAAGTCTTGAGTGAAGCTTGCTTAAAGAAATCAGTGCATCCTGACCAAAATAAGATTTTACTTGAGTTAACAAAGTAAAAGTAAAAGAACAAGGCAGTCTTATTAGTTGTTGACATATAAAAGCCATTATCAACTATGTACGGTACTTCCAGATGTGCTTGACAATAATTTGTGTGATCATCTCTAGCCACCATGATGAAACCAACAAATCTGGAGGATTTGAGGCTGGAGAAAACTTGTGACTGTATGCAATTTTAAATTAAATTAAGTTCCACCTTATACAGAATTGACAAATAATCCCAAGCAAGGGTATATCTTATAGGAAATGAAGTCTCCTGGAGAGAAAAAGCATGGTAAAAATAAACATAATAATATAATAATTCTTCGGGTGGTTATTATGTCAAAAGCAGGGTTGGTTTACAGGTTGCTGTAATAATTACATGTGTGTCCCCAACATTGGGGATTGATAAATGCAGAACAATTTTAGTAGCACATTTCAAACTAATACATTATATAATTGTTGATGAGAATAACTTGTGGATATCTGTTTGAAGAAATCAAACACTTGTGTTGTAATACATTCCACAGAAATATGAAAAAACGTTTGGTCTACACAAGTCTGGAAGTGTGTCCTGATAATGTGTTGTCAAAGGCTTTTGTGGCCAGAATCACTAGATTGCTGTGAATTTTCTGAACCGTTTGGCCATGTTCAAGAAGCATTCTCTCTTGACGTTTCACCCACATCTATGGCAGGCATCCTCAGAGGTTGTGAGGTTTTTGGAGACAAGGCAAGTGAGGTTTATATATCTGTGGAATGTCCAGGGTGGGAGAAAAAATTCTTGTCTGTTGGAGGTAAGTCTGAATGTTGCAATTGATCGCCTCGATTAGCATTGTATAACTTTGCAGCTTCAAAGCTTGGCTGCTTCTTTCCTGGGGGAATCCTTTGTTGGGAGGTGATATATAAACATATATAAACAGATGTATAAACCCTTGCCTAGTTTCCAACAAACTTCACAACCTCTGAGGATGCCTGCCATAGATGTGGGTGAAACATTAGGAGAGAATGCTTCTGGAACATGGCCATACAGCCTGGAAAACTCACAACAACCCAGTATCCTTACAGTGAATAAATTACCATATTACATTTCATTAGTTGGATGATCATATTTATAGATGTGCTCCTTTCTCTCTCTTTCTCACTAGATGTCAGTACGTCACCAAAAGAAGAGATGACGGGAATAAAATGAAATTTGGATGCCTTATTTTATCATGGAATATTAAGACCATTTTAAAGACGGGCCAGTCATACTGTAAGAATCTGTTAACTAGATGATAGTAGCTGAAGAATAGGGTCATCTTTCTGACATCTGGCAGCTTGAAGTGTTAGCTTTTTCAGTTTACTAAATCTTTTACTTTATTATACTTACTCCTTATTCTGCAGGCAATCTTGACTTGATTTCCTTGCCAACTTATCTATTGCTGGCAAACTTATCTAGGTGATGTTGTATAACCTGAAAGGGCTTTTTTAAATGTGCATTTTTAAAAGCGAGAAGTTATAGTTGGGAGAAGAAAAGTAATGGCAGAAGGCACAATGCTCCTCAATGAACCTTGCTCTGAGGCTGCCATTGATCTGGGGCAGAAGGTGACCAGAGAAAGGGCTTTTTTATTGGTGACGTCTTGGTTGTAGAGCACTTCTATAGGCTGGAACCTATTTTATTCACTTTTTAAGCACCAAATGATTATATATTTTGGGCCTTTAGTGGCTGACTGATTTTATATGGGCGTTTCTTGCTGTTCAATTGCACTTATAATCTCTATAATTTTCACACTTTAAAAAAATATATGTTTACAGATAGCATTTTTATATTATTGGAATGGGTGGAGTGACAAGGTTGTTGTGAGTTTTCTGGGCTGTATGGCCATGTTCCAGAAGCATTCTCTCCCGATGTTTCGCCCATATCTATGACAGGCATCAAGGTTGTGAGGTCTGTTGGAAACTAGGCAAGTGAGGTTTATATATATCTGTAATGTGCAGGCTGGGAGAAAAACTCTTGTCTGTTTGAGGCAAGCATGAATGTTATAGTTGGTTGCCTTGATTAGCTTTTAATGTCCCTGCAGCTTCAAAGTCTGGCTGGTTGCTTTGAAGCTTCCAGGCTTTGAAGCTACAAGGCCATTAAATGCTACTCAAGGTGGCCAATAGCAACATTCACACTTGCCTCAAATAGACAAGAGTTCTTTCTCTCACCCTGGACATTCCACAGATATATGAATCTCACTTACCTTAGTTTCTAACAGACCCCATGAACCTCTGAGGATGTCTGCCATAGATCTGGGCGAAACATCAGGAGAGAATGCTTCTGGAACTTGGACAGACAGTCCGGAAAACTCACAGCAACCCAATGATTCCAGCCATGAAAGCTTTTGACAACACGGTGGCATGACAGTTTTTTTAAAAAATCAATCACGATAACCAGCAATGATCAGAGGTTCATCGACACTGGATTTATTTGCATCAATAATGTGTATTTGTCTCTCATATATTTTACAAAATAACTGTATTGTTTCAAAATATCCAGGTTGAAGGCACTGTGTATTTTACCCCAGTTTTTGAATTTTTTATGGAAAAAGGTTTTCATACATGGCAATGTACTTTCCCTTTATGTGCAACAGACTCCAATGGCTTACTGACCCATATTTTTTATCAAAAGGGCAGTTTTGGGACACTGGTTGTAAAAAAATAGTTGATGTTGATGCAGAAATTGATTAACATGGGTCATACTTCGGAACATTATGTAACTTCTATATTTTTTTTAAATGACATGTTTTTAAAAAAAAAATTTTTATTTGTAACATACAGGACAGAGTGATATGCAGTTAAATGTTTTGTTTTGTTTTTTCGTATGTATTATGTGTTTTAAATGTGTTAATGTTTCCAAAGAAGTGTCTTTAACTGGATGTGAGGTATAATTTTTAAAAAAATGTTGGTTCTGTTTTGATATTGTAACCTACTTTTTATTGCGTATTTTATATTGTTACCCATGCAGGAGAAAGGCAGGGTGAAAATCAATTCAATAAATAAACAGCTAATTACAATTACTAAAAATAATCAAAAATGGCACCAAAGATTTTCAAATTACTCTTTTCATCATTTAAAATGTATTATATATAACAGAATAGATTATTTTGAAATCAAAATGTGAGTTATTAATCATTGCTCCACCCTAAAGCTTGCAATCTATAATTTAAAATATTGTTTACATGTTTAATGAACTAGGATAATTTTTAACTATTATACCATTTTTCTAAGCATTGCCCATCTTCCCTCAGATATATTTTTATTGTAAAAATATCTTTGAGTAACTTCTTTTTTCGTGTACATTTTGTGTGTCTTTGGGTATGTATTTGTTGGCATATAGTCTTAAGAAGGCAACCAAATCATAGAGTTGCCTTTGCAGGATGTGCCTTTGCTTTCCTCTGAGCCCCAAAGAGTGTGATTTGTCCAAGGTCGTCCAGTGGGTTTCCATGGCCAAGTCGGGATTCAATCCTGATCTCCAGAGTCATAGTCCAATGCTGAAACCAATACTCCCTGTCGACTTTTAAAAATCATGTCAGAAGTGACTTGAGAAACTGCAAGTCGCTTCTGGTATGAGAGAATTGGCCATCTGCAGAGACATTACCCAGGGGACGTCCAGTTGTGTTACCATCCTGTGGGAGGCTTCTCTCATGTCCCCACATGGGAAGCTGGAGCTGAAAGATGGGATCTCACCCCGTCTCACGGATAACGCTGCTGGATGCTCCAACCCCATTCTTTTCATAGTCTACTCATAGTCTATGTAGGTACAGATTTTCCCCTGATATTAAGTCCAGTCATGTCTGACTCGAGGTTATTGCTCATCTCCATTTCTAAGCCAAAGAGCCGGCATTGTCTGTAGACACCTCCAAGGTCATGTGGCCAGCATGACTGCATGGAGCACCGTTATCTCCCCCCCCCCCCCCCCCCCCCCGGAGTGGTACCTATTGATGTACTCACATTTGCATATTTTCGAACTGCTAGGTTGACAGAAGCTGGGGCTAACAGTGGGAGCCCATGCCGCTCCCTGGGTTTGGACTTGTGATCTTTCGATCAGCAATTTCAGCAGCTCAGCAGTTTAACCCACTGCGTCACCTAGGGCTTCACTTAGTCTACTTAAGAAGGAGTAAATGGAAGCACAGCTGCCTCTAAAGCAATGTTACTCCTTTTCTCCTCCTTTCCCAAAAACCCATTAGAATCATGTCTTCACATTTGTGGAAGTTGATCATAGAATAAATCCAGAGGGCTTAGAGATTCCAAAGAGATGCTCTTTCTGATTAAAAAATAGATATTGAAAAAAATAAAATGTAAATGGACTTGAGTGTTCACTGACAAAACTGGTTACAGAGAAATTGTATATTTGTGTGTTTACTAATGTGTAAATTAAAATCATTCTGCCTTAAACTTTGTGTTTCACTTTTTCAATGAATACAATAACTTTTAAAGTAATGATTCCTATAACAATGTATATATTCGTACAAAAGAGCACATTGTGATGAACATATTGAATTAGGATATGGTCATATTTTACATCTAAAGTGTTTATTAAACAAGTGTAAGTTTCACAGTTCAAAACTTCCGAATGCTAATTTGCAAGATAGGTGTGTTTGGTTTTATTTTTCATTGTTCAGATGGAAGTGTCAGCATATCATTTCCTCACATGCTGTAGTCCCTGTTAATCTCAGCCCCTCACTCCAGTTGTAATTTAATAAAATCTAACAGCATTATTGTGAAGCGTTGTTATTAGGATCACGTGTGTGAAGTTCCGTAATTGAAGTTATTTTTCTTTAAGTGTTGAAATATACTCAAAATTGGTAGGCTGGTTTTATAGCCCATAAGAACCAATTATGTTTCAGTGAGTGCCTACTTCAGATATCATTTTCCTTATACAGACAGACCATTTTTTATCCATAGTTAAATGTGCACTCCAGCAACAAAGTATAATGTGAATACATTCCTAGTGCTGAAATATAAATGGGAATTGTCATTTTCGCCCAGTATGGTGGTTTAGATAAATGTATGTGAAACGGAGCTTCAAATTATATAAATCCTTCATACTACAAATGCAAGGAATGCAGACTTTATTTGTGTTTGTGCCTTCAAGCCCACAGTGTTTACTTGTGGCAACATTATGAATTTGATAAAGTTTTCTTAGGCAAGGAATACTCAGAGGTGGTTTGGCCAGTTGCTTTCTCTGAAATATAGGCCTCATATTCATTGCCACTCTCCCATCCAAGGACTAACCAGGGCTGTCCCTGCTTAGCTTCCAGGATCAGATGTGATTTGATACAGTCTACAAGAGGAGACTTGATTAAATGCCTTGTTCTTCTTAGACTTCAATTGACGGTAGTTTTGACAACACTAAGGTAGAGCTATTTTGGGGATTTCTTGACAATATTGAGTGAGCAATTGCCCTTGCCCTCCTTTGAGACTGAGAGCATGTGTCATACCCAAGATCACCCTATGGATTTCCATGGCTGAACAATGATTAAAACCCTGGTCTTCTGGAGTCCTAGTCCAACAGTCAAATTATTGCACCATGCTGTCTCTCATTAAATTATCACACAATCTTAATAATTTATAATCGACTGGTTGCCCTGACACGATAAATAAATAAATAATTTGCCATCCCTAGACATGAAAGAACACAAACACAACTAAAATGTATGCAGCTTGCAGTCCACTGAAAGTCCAAAATGTCATATTTTTCTCCCCCCCCCCCTTAAAAGATAATACAAAGCATTGAGGAGGCATGGCTGTTGTGAAGATGTCCCGACTGAGTAGAAAGTGAGGGTTTGTCTTCCTCTTGTGGATGTTCTCCATAGGCATGACACCTTTCAGCCTCTAACAAGTAGTCAGGGAGAAGAAAATAAATGTGTGAGAAAAACAATTTGGAGCACCAGTTCATTTTAAGGTGTTATGAGAACCAATTTATAGCTGTTCCATTAGTACTCTTATCCCTTGGCCCTTGTCACAGGAGATTACCATTATTCCTATGGGCAACACTGGCAAAGGTTGTACAACTTTACTGCATAAAGTTCAGCTCTTGTTCCTGGATGTGCAAAGAGGCGTTTGTGCCAACAACAAATTCTCATTTCCAGATATTTTTCAAAAACAGCCCCATATAGAATCCCCCATGTCAATAATTAAATTAATTTTTTTGTTCTTCCAAGTCCTATTTCAGAGAGATGACACAGAAACTTGCTATGGCTGATGGCACTATAATTGCCAGATCCATGGCACTGAAATTTGTAAAGAAAAACAAAAATAGAACACAGTCCATAGGGATGTACTCTCACATCTTGTTCCTAGTCAGAGAAGAAGAAGTAACACTGAAGTATGCATATCAATAAAATATGACCCACATATCTGCAAAATAAGTGGTTTCACTTATTCATCCTTTCAATTATTCACTTAGGACAGTGGTTCTCCACCTGTGGATCCCCAGATGTTTTGGCCTTCAACTCCCAGAAATCCGAACAGCTGGTAAACTGGCTGGGATTTCTAGGAATTGTAGGTCAAAACACCTGGGGACCCACAGGTTGAGAACCACTGACTTAAGACCTTCTGAAAAAGTTATGCTCTCTTGATACTTCCATTGTTTGTTGCATTAAAAATAACAGGTTTGCTATTATCTGTGGTTTCGGGAATCCATAAAAAATCAGGGAACATATTCCCTGTGGATATGGGGATCATACTGTTCTTGCTCTGCAAACTCCAGTGCCAGAGGAAAAACTTAGGGAAGAGCACATTCACAATATGAGTGTTGGTAATTACAAAAGTGCATTGAGAGACAGTGCATGTTGATACTATAATTCTAATATTATTAAATAATGCTAGAAATCTAGATTTATAGAATCATAGAATCATAACAGTTGGAAGAGACCTCATGGGCCATCTAGTCCAACCCCCAGCCAAGAAGCAGGAATATTGCATTCAAAGCACCCCAGACAGATGGCCATCCAGCCTCTGTTTAAAAGCTTCCAAAGAAGGAGCCTCCACCACACTCCGGGGCAGAGAGTTCCACTGCTGAACGGCTCTTACAGTCAGGAAGCTCTTCCTAATGTTCAGATGGAAGTTATTGTTCCGCATCCTAGTCTCCAGGGAAGCAGAAAACAAGCTTGCTCCCTCTTCCCTGTGACTTCCTCTCACATATTTATACATGGCTATCATGTCTCCTCTCAGCCTTCTCTTCTTCAGGCTAAACATGCCCAGCTCTTTAAACCGCTCCTCATAGGGCTTGTTCTCCAGACCCTTGATCATTTTAGTCGCCCTCCTCTGGACACATTCCAGCTTGTCAATATCTGTCTTGAATTGTGGTGCCCAGAATAGGGCACAATATTCCAAGTGTGGTCTAACCAAGGTCCAGGTGTAGTCTTACAGTGTTTATATTCTGCCCTTCTCACCCCAAAGGGGACTCAGGGCGGCTCACAGAACATACATATGCGGCAAACATTCAGTGCCGTTTTTATACACAACTAGACGGACAATTATACAAAGATAAGATCTTTCTACATACCATTGCTGTTGCTGTTATCAGCCCACCCTATGATTTTATTCTCGGTAGCGCAGAGGTTTTGTTTCAGAAAATACGTTCTCATTTTCCCTTTGCCTTTGACTTCTATTTCTCCCCTTTCCTCTATCTCAAACAACGGATGTGGTAATGCTCTAGGTAATCCAAGAAACACAAATATGGGGTTAATGAGTCATTCATGGATACATCCCAACAAGCTATGACACCGAAGATACTGTTCCAAGATCCTATTGCCCAAAGGCACTTGATATTACAGAACTCTGTCCACTGACGGTGACCATTTCTCCTTGGCTCTAAATGCCATTCCTCTTGCCATCTACATTGCTAAAAGTTCTGATAAAAATATTAAATAAAATAAAGTGAGATCCCACCTATAATTTTGTATTTGCCTCATAAAGGGATCTGGATTCTAGCCAGCCACTCAGACTTTCCACCCCCATTCCCATCATGTTTTATCTATATCTGTATATCTATGCCATCTATAATGAAATCTTACTTGAATGCTGTTGAGCTGATATGGATTTTATCTGGGAGACCATGGCTTTCCATTCTTGAAGCTGTATTGACAGTGTCACCAAATAAACAATATCTAGGCATTTTCTCCCCAACTACTCCGGCAAGCACTGGACCAGTATGCATCCCAATCCTAATCTGTTGGTATAAATACAATAGTGGGGTGGTTATATTGTTCTTCATTGTTCCTCCAATAATGGGAAATCATTATTAGTTAAGCCTTCTTAATTGATTTAATAACTGCCCGAGCTGTTGCTCTCCAAATGTTCTGCAGAATGTCCCAGATGTTGTACCCAGGGCTGATATCCAGAACATCTGGAGATACTCAGGTTGAGAGAAATTTGACACAGTACAAGGAAATATAGCCAAAAATGTCATTCAACATATCTCCAATCCCCAAACAGAGGGAAGACTTACATACCAATTTTGCTTCCCTTGTTTCATTGTCATTTGCTGTGATTCAGGCAATAATACTGAAAGCACACAATAACAGTTCTTTATTATTTATTATTTTATTTATTTACAATATTTCTATCCTGCCTTTCTCAACCTGAAGGCGACTCAAGGCGGTTTACAAGTTGGCAGCAATATGATGCCATAACAATCAACAATATACAATTAAAACATTTAAAACAACATAAAATCCATACAAAAAACCTATTAAAACACATAATAATCAATGTCTTCCTGTTAATCTCATTTTCCAGTAGCATCATCTAGTTCGTTCCATGTTCCAATCTTACATAATTCCGTGTTTGTCTATTGCACTGCATTTTCAAAGGCTTGTTCAAAGAGCCAGGGTTTTTCTTTTTTTGGAAGGTGAGGTGGGACGGAGCCAATCTACTATCCCTGGGGAGGGAGTTCCGCAGCCGAGAGGCCACCTCTGAGAAGGCCCTGTCTCTCGTCCCTGCCAGACTCGCCTGTGAAGAAGGCGGGATTGAGAGCAGGGCCTCCCCAAACAATCTTAGATTCTTAGATGGTTCATAGGGAGAGATACATTTGGACAAGTAAGCTGGATGAAGAAAAAGAAAAATCATTTCTCCACAACAAGACTTTCAACATAATGCACAAAGAGGAATAAAGGATGAAAAGACAAGAAGTAGAGTAAATTACTACTACTTTACAGTGTAAAGTAGTAGTAACTGGCATGTGAAAGAGGAAGAGCCAAATGGCAATTGGTCCCAGTGAAGACTGGTCTCACCATTTTTTCCTATCATGGCCAGATATATACAGTAGGTTCTCTACTTTCATGGGAATTAGGAGCACAGGATCCTCATGAATATAGGAAAATGTGAATTAAAAAATAACTTTTTTATCTGAGCACTTTTCTATGAATGTATAGGTCCTCCAGTGCAGCTCTATAATGGCCCTCTGGAGGACCTAAAGATTCCTAAAGCAAACATATTAATCAAATATGCAGATAATGTAATCCGTAATGTCAGACCCACACAGCTGAGAACCGATGGCATTTTTGTTTGCTTTGAAGTCATAAGAGATTAATTCATTACCTGTATAGGTTTATCAGTAATTGGATTCATAACCTCTCTTGCAGCAATTCTCATGCCCAGGGCAAAGTTAGCCACCCTTTCAGCATGGTTGGTGACAGGCACCGGGACCCCTCCAACAACCATGTAGGCATCGCCAATTGTTTCAACCTGTAAAGCAATGAGGAAATCTGCTCTTATCCAGCAACGTAAAAAAATAAAATGTTGAATATAGTAGCTGCTTCATACATGAATGCTGGTCTGACCCTCTCGTAGGCACTAAAGTAACATCTCTGAATAATATTGTGCAGGAATTAAAATCTAAGGAATGAACCACTGCCATATCTTCTTTTCTCCTTCGTGTCCCTTTCAGGATGAGACATCCTCTTGTTATGTTTCTCATAGCCCAGGTTGGACCAGAAATGGGTGACTATAGGCAAGCTTAAGGCTCATAAATTAACAAAGCCAAGCTTAAAAATCAACTTTCAGTTACATCTAGCTGGTCAATGTAATCAATGAAAAGATTGTGGTGATTGATTTTCATCTTTTGAGTAGTGACCCCCAGCTTATAGACCTTCAGGTGTATGGGACTTCAACTCCTAGAAGCTCTAATCAAATTGGCCAACTACCAGGAATTCTGGAGCACCAAAGGTTGAGAGCCACTGCTTCAGAGTAACAGAAAAAGATGCTTGTTGTGAAAAAAAAAAAAGGGGGGGGGGAATCTATAGTTTCTTAAAGCTAATATGTTTTACTGGGCATAAGTTATTGTGATAATATTAGATTGACATGAAATATTGGAAAAATTGATACCAAATGAAATGTGTTAGTTACTACAAATCCTACTCCCACCCCCAAGTTATGGTGTGCCCTGTATCTGGGCCCCCGTTTACATTGCCATATAAAATCCAGATTATCTGTAGCCTGTAATTAAAGGACCAAGGCATTGACATTTCCAGCCCATCTTCTGGTTGGATATCAGCCATCAAGCCAACACCTTAAATCAAGAAATAGCTAAGATCTACAGAGATACTTGCAGGAACAACTCAGCAAGTGAGAGTCCAAAAGTGGCAGGCTAAAACCCGGAACCTCAATCCATGACTGAGACCAGATGAGAAACACCGCCCCCCGCCCCCCAGGCACACGGAAGACTGGGAGACTTGGAAGGCGCTGAACAAACTGCACCCTGGCACCATGAAATGCAGAGCCAATCTTAAGAAATAGTGCTTCAAAGAGAAGTCCACGACATGCAAGTGCAGAGAACAGCAAACCACAGACCACTTACTACAATTCAGTCTGAGCCCTGCCACATGCACAATGGAAGACCTTCTCACAGCGTCACCAGAGGTACTCCAAGTGGCCAGTTTCTAGCCAAAGGAAATTTAGTATAATGCCAAGTTTTTAGCTTTGTTTGTGTTTTTTTATACATTTCAACTGTATTCTCAATTCGCTTCTGACACGATAAATAAAAAAAATCTGCTTTGAACTGGATCATACAGCAGTGTGGACAAATATAATCCAGTTCAAAACAGCAAATCTGGATTTTATATGGCATGTAGAAGGGGCCTCAATCTAGTCAAAATTGTTGCATGAAACATGTCTCAAGCAAATAGAGAGTAATGTTCTGCCACTTTGTACCACCCAAAACTTGATGCCAGAGACAGGTACATCACTTTGCTGGCCCTCAGTAGATGAGGAATAGGTTGAGAATACTTACTTTATAAACACCGTGGACACTAGTGAGGTGATCAAACTTGGAGTACATTGAATTAAGCATGTTCACTATTTGAATGGGTTCACAGACAGAACAGATGTTTGTGAAGGTGACAACATCACTGAAAAGTATTGTGCAGGAACTAAAATCTCCTGAGGAATAAACAAAAGAATTGCTAATTTGCGTCTGCTTTGAATGTAAGAAAAAAACATGGACAGTTATTTTTGTTTGCTATTTAATTGATGTAGTCAATAGACTCTCCTAACTGATAGTGCTATTTGTGTCTGTTATTATATCAGAAGAGATAAGAAGCCATTCAAGTATAAATAACATAGACAGCATGTTTTATGTGCTGTAATATTTACACATGGGCATAAGGTCTATATCCTACTGGACTGGCAAAACAGTCGTATTCACACAAAACTCTCATTCTCCATCCTTGAAACCTAACTTTCAAACCCACTTGCAATATCAAAGCCCCCCAATTTTTTGTGTTCACGTGAGCTTTTAAAAAAAGTAATTATGTGCTAATACTTGACCAAAAAGTTTATTGGCTGACTAAGTGACCAATATAATTTGCTCGTAGGTTTATTGGCCGAGTAGATGAAAGCCAACATAACACAGTGGTCTATCTGTTGGACTACAACTCTGGAGACTAGGGTTTGAATTTCTGCTCAGCCATGGAAACCCACTTGGTGACCTTTGGCAAATCACACTATTCCAGTCTCTGAAGAAGGCAATGTCAAACCACCTGAACAAATATCAAGACAATCTAGTGATAAGTTCACCTTAATGTTATCATGTTAGAAACAACTTGAAGGTGCACAAGTGTGTTCTACCTGCCATATACTCTTGAAGCAGCAAAATGTATCAAATTTCTATTGTCGAAGGCTTTCATGGCCAGAATCACTGGGTTGTTGTAGGTTTTTCAGGCTAAATGGCCATGTTCTAGAAGCATTCTCTCCTGATGTTTCGCCTACATCTATGGTAGACATTCTCAGAGGTAGCCACAGATGCAGGTGAAATGTCAGGAGAGAATGCTTCTAGAACATGGCCATATAGCCCAAAAAACCTACAACAACCACTAATATCAAATTTACCAAGTGTTTCAACCAACATCCCTCCTACAGAAAATCTTTAACATGCATTTCCTAGGGTTCCCACCTTGCCTCATCCATACTATCCCAGCAGTGCCACTACAACCACTTTCCCAGACCAGGGCAGAGAAGTTTGTCAGAAATTGTTGGACTGCAAAACCCATGAATCCTTCTCATTGGCTGTTATATCTATTTTCGATGGGCGCTGCCTGCTAAAAATACCTGTAGGGCAACACATTTCCTACCTGTCTCCCAGTCCATTCCTTGGAGACCACCAGTCTGTTTTTGTTAATGGGGAGGGATGGGGAAGCCCTCTAAATCAGTGGTTCTCAACCTATGGGTCCCCAGATGTTTTGGCCTTCAACTTCCAGAAATCCTAACAGCTGGTAAACTGGTTGGGATTTCTAGGAGTTGTAGGCCAAAACACCTGGGGACCTACAGATTGAGAACCACTGCTCTAAATATTTCGGACTAGCTCTTAAAAGTTCCAGCCAGCCTGGCTAATGAATGGTAAAGATTTATAGGAGCTAAAATTCAAAACAGCGGAATAACCAAAGATTCCCCCTACCTCTTTATTATGTTGCCCAATTGCAATTACTTCAAAATATCTTGGTGTTTGAATTCCACCCTCAGTCCTCATAAAGTACTAAGGACAATTGAAGCACAGTACCTGCTTCCACCTTTTTGCCCTCTTTCAGCTGGTTGGCTACATGTTTGGGCAACATGGCATACAATAAGATTTCTGATTTCTTCTTTTCTGCTTCGAGGTTCTTGGAGAGCATCCTGAGCTCTTCTTTTTTCCTTTCTAGCTGGTTGGACAGTTCTATCTCTGCCAGCCGCTGCTGGTTGAAAAGGATGAGGTCCCTTGTTGCGTCATGATGCGCAATGTCCGAAAGATGCATCTGTTGTTCTTCCAGTTCCTCCAAACTCCGTAACTTTGGGGAACATAAGTACATCATGCACTTGAAAGCCTTCATCCAGATCATTTGACCTTTTCATGATTTAAGAGGATGATGAGAACCAGGTACATTTCAACATCACTAATTAGTCCCAAACCTACCTGGAAACCTGTCACTAAGCAACAAATGGGGAATCAAACTTTCACCAGCTATGTGAAATAATAGCAATGCCCAAATACACATGGCAAAGAGGCATGCTGTGAATGCTTTTTCCAAAAATGGAAAGTCCAAAAATGGAATAGACCTCACAACCTCTGAGGATGCCTGCCATAGATGCAGGCGAAACATCAGGAGAGAACCCATACAGCCTGAAAAACCTACAGCAACTAAGTCCAATAGAGTTTCATTTAGTTTTACTTGGCAAAAAGCAACTTAGCTTGGTATCTCCCCTTATGAACAATCTAGTATGTTAAGATCTTTTGGGGAGGCCCTGCTCTCGGTCCCGCCTTTCTTGCAGATGCGTTTGGCGAGGACGAGAGACAGGGCCTTCTCAGTGGTGGCCCCTCGACTGTGGAATGCCTTGCCTAGGGATATAAGATCGCCCCCTTCCCTCCTGACTTTTCAAAGAAAGGTGAAAGCCTGGCTTTTTGAGCAGGCCTTCCCAAATATGGCATAGTTATACGAAATCATGGAACCGCTTGACGACGCAATTGAATAATGACTTGACATGGAGACGCTCACAATAATGTTTTTAAGGCTTTGTATGGTTTTTATATTTTTATATTGTATGCTAAGGTTTTTAACAGTATTTTATTATTGTTTTACTTATTATAATTGTTAAGGCATCAAATTGTTGCCAATTGTGAACCACTTCGATTCATCTGTGGGCTGAGAGGGGTGGTATATAAATATGGTAAATAAATAAATACCTCTGAGCTTCAGTGCTGATCGTTTCTTCCATGGTTTAGGCAGCTTCTCCTTTCGTATCTTGAGAACAAATTGACTATTGATAAACTTCCTTATGGTGAGAATAGTGAGTGTAATTTGTGGATGAACAATAGAAAAATGCTCATCTAATCTGGATCCGATGATCTGAAATTCTGGTATGGATTTCTGAATTTTTACACCTGCCTGCTTGATCTTCATCTAAAGATGAAACAGAAAGGGATATTTGGTCACAAAAGAGTTTGAGAGACAACGCTTACCTCAAAACTCACTTAAAATACTGTTAAATATAGTGTCTACCGTATATACTCAAACTCATGTCTAAGTTAAGGGCTAAGGCAGATAATTGCACAGAAAGGGGAAAGCACCAATACCATCTCAGGATGCTACCACCATCGTTTCCCCACCCAAACATTCAAAGAGGCCAAAACCAACCCTGCAGCAGAGAGAATAGAGAAGGTTCAATGCTTCTTTTAAGGTTTTGGCAGGATAGACTAAGCTCTTGCTTTTCGCCACTCAAAAAAAAAGGGTGGTGGTGGCGGCTCTTTCTTTGTTTTTAAAAAAAACTACAGTTCTCATATTGACCCATGGAGAAATCAATCCAGATTTATCCATGGGTCAAATTTTAAATGTATTGACAAGTACGAGGGTTATCCGGAAAGTAAGGTTAACAGTTTTTTTAAAAAAATACAAAGAATGACTATCTATATATATAAATCTGTAAGGGGCGTCCAACGGGACAGCAAAACTCAACCCCCCCCCCAACGAAAATTAACCAAAATTCCCATGCACATACCTCAACCCACAAGGTATGAACAAATCGAATCAAAATAAAAAACAACACAACAACACACTCACAAAAGGACAAAACAACTGAGCATGCGCAATGGCGCAAAGTCCCCGGCGCGCGCACATGGCCAAACGGCCAACGCACCCTCTGCACCTCCCTCCCCCTCCGCTGAAGCCCCACCCACACCCACTGATGCCCCGCCCATGCACTCCTCCTCCTCCTCCCACCCCTCTCTGCCGAAGCCCCGCCCACACCCACCGACGCCCCGCCCTACACTCCTCCTCCTCCAACCACCCCCTCCGCCGAAGCCCCGCCCATGCACTCCTCCTCCTCCTCCTCCCACCCCCCTCCGTTGAAACTGCTGGGATTTATAGTTTACCTATAATCAAAGCATTCTGAACTCCACCAATGACGGAATTAAACCAAACGTGGCACACAGGACTCCCAAGACCCAACATAAAGCATGAGAAGGGTTTGGTAAGCAATGGGAAGGAAGAAAGGAAGGACGGAAGGCAGGAAAGAAAGAGGTACCGAAGGAAGGAAGAAGAGAAAGTAGAAAGGAAAGAAAAATAAAAGGAAGGAAAGGCAGGAAAGAGGTAAAGAAGGAAGAAGAAAAGGAAATAAAAAATGAAAGAAGGAAGGAAACATGGAGGGAAGAAAGGAGGTAAAGGAAGAAAGGGGGAGGGAATGAAGGAAAAAGAGAAGGATGAAACCAAGGAGCGAAAGAAGGAAAGAAAGAAAGAAAGAAAGAAAGAAAGAAAGAAAGAAAGAAAGAAAGAGGTAGAGAAGGAAGAAAGGAGAGAAAAGGGGAGAAAAAGGGGGAAGGAATAGGTAGGTACCTCTCTTTCATAATACTCCAGATATCTACCTCTACTTTGAAAAGATTTACTATAGGGCACAGCAACGCGTGGCAGGGTACAGCTAGTATTTTAATAAAGCTTTTGTGGATTGTGGCATAGGCATTACATTATTTTTTCCACATAATCTCTTTTCAATTCAATATATTTTGTCATCAAGTTTCCCTCTGCCTTTTTCAGCCAATTCGTCACTTCAATTTTCACCTTGTTGTCGGAAAAAGGTTTTCCACCAAGTGTTTTCCTTTAATTTAGTGAACAGATGATAGTCATTGGGTGCAAGATTGGGGCGGTGAGAGGGGTGAGTTATAACATCCCAACCAAATGAAGTCAACAACTCTTGTGTTGCATGAGCGGTGTGCAGACACGCATTGTCATGAAAGACAGAGACTCTTGTGTTAGCATTCCACAACATTTGTTTTGGATGGCACTGTGAAGTTTCTTCATGGTCTCACAATATATTCCGGACCCATTTTGTCACATGCTCTCTTGATATGTCTTCTCCATAAACTGAAACAATTTTGCAATGAATCGCAGTTGCTTTCATGCTCTTAGCATTTAGGTAGTGTATTACAGCGCGAAGTTTGCACTTGGAGGGAAACAGAATGAGGATGCTCATCTCTTTCACCACAATGCCAGTTGATGAGCTACTGATGACTGGCACTGCTTGTTCACTTCTGCTGGTTTCCTGCTACATGGCAGTGGTACCATCTTCCCCCAAGAAAATTCCCTGCAAGAGCTACGTCCCTTGTAACCTTACTTTCCGGATAACCTTCGTATATACAGCATATGATCTTAGACCTTAATAACATCTACATCTTTTTGTATTAACTAGGTAAATCGTTCAGCACTATAAATATATCCCAGCTTGGAAATATTTTAAAAAATTGGTAAATTAGGTCAGACAAAAGGATTTGTAGTTGAAAAGGTATATTTATCAAAGTGCACTCAACAAAGTCCAGATCAAGATCAGTTTAGTCTAAACCATGTTACATTTACAATCCTCTATAGTATTACCCAAAATGTGTGTGTTAGATGAACAACTGGGGATATATTTTTTATTGTTTGAGACCTTAGTTAGGAGCCTACATCTAGCACTGATCCCAGCCTTTAATTGTAAGTATCTTAGGGCCCTTTCAGACAGGCCCTATATCCCAGGATCTGATCCCAGGTTTTTTGTTTATCCCAGATTATCAGGCAGTGTGGACTCATATAATCCAGTTTAAAGCAGAAAACCTGGGATCAGATCCTGGGATATAGGGCCTGTCTGGAAGGGCTCATAGTTAGGGGCATAGAACACCTGCAGAAATGAAAACTATGAATAATTAATTGCTATATATATATATTATCTCAAAGGAAACCTATCTAGGAATTTCTAGGTCTGTAGTTTACTTCCATGGGAAGGTGACAATAGAGTCAAAGTGGGGGACATAGAGATTCCTAAAGATGTGTTCTCCTTGGAAATCTCTAGGTCCCCTGGAGGAAGTGAACCATATAGTCATACCAGAGGACATGAGATTCTTAGTGAAAACAATTTAAATCAAATCTATGAACAATCAAACTCACAACAGTCAAAACCACAAACATAGAGGGAAGGCTGTATTCAAAAGCTAACTTACTGTTTCATCAAACACAATATGGAAAGGAAATGCACAGCAGAATGTTGTTTCATCGACCCAAAGCCTCTCAGGAAAAAGTGGTTCAAAAGTACATAAACGGTGAGCTAGGAGAAGAGGGCGGGGAGACCAGTTTACTTCACTTTGCGCATTTCATCTGTATATATAAATTCAGCTGTTCTTCATTCTGAATAACACCCACTCAGCACATCCATTTCAAGAAGCACTATCAAGTCAATTAGGTGTAAGCACACCAGATGTTCAGTCCTTGGCGGAGATATTTTACTGCCTAGCATGGCACACCAGTTGCCTACTCCTTCCTGTACTTTTAAAAGACCCCCAATGCAACATTCAGATAGAAGATCCTGCTTTAATGACCCCTTTCAAGATCTCTGGAGTATCCCAAGGTTTGTTGCAGTCTTAACAGAAAGATTAGTTTTACTTTGCAGGGTTGTTATGAGGATAAAATGAGAAGAACTCTCTTCCCATTCATCATCATAAAAAATCCAACCATATATTAGAAAACAGTTTTGTTTTGGGTTTTTTGTTGAAGGCTTTCATGGATGGAATCACTTTTTTTTTGTCGTGTCAGGAGTGACTTGAGAAACTGCAAGTCGCTTCTGGTGTGAGAGAATTGGCCGTCTGCAAGGACGTTGCCCTAGGGACACCTGGATGATTTAATGTTTTTATCATCCTTGTGGGAGGCTTCTCTCATGTCCCCACTTGGGGAGCTGGAGCTAACAGAGGGAGCTCATCCGCCTCTCCCCAGATTAGAACCTGCAACCTGTCGGTCTACAGTCCTGCCAGCACAGGGGTTTAACCCACTGCGCCACCGGGGGCTCCACTGAGTTGCTGTGAGTTTTTTGGGCTATATGGTTATGTTCCAGGAACATTCTTTCCTGGTGTTTCACCTGCATCTGTGACTGGCAGAACATCTGATGACACCAGCCACAGATGCAGGCGAAAGGTGAGGAGAGAATGCTACTGGAACATGGCCATACAGCCGAAAACACTCACAGAAATCCAAATTGGGCTTTTGGGGAAACACTTGAGCAACCAAGCTCTGCAGAAGGCAAGGTATCCCACTTTTGTCAAGCAGCATCTGTTATATCCAGCATGCTCACAGCTTCCCATTTACTTTAATTTAGTCTACATGCCCATGCTAAAAGAGAATTCACTTACCTTTTCTAAATTTCACGAAATGCCTTACAATATCCTGCTTGAGCTCCTTTTCTGTAGATTTTTCCCTCTCTTTCTGATAATCTATTGCGGGGCCCTTAAAAGAATAGTAGCAGAACAATAGAACATAGTAGTTAGCAAATGAAACCCTGTTTATCCATTATAACAATTCATATTAGATAAAATTCATAGTTGCAAGAGAAGGGAGCATTAGAAGGAGCTCTAGATATCTAATTTTCATTTCATGCATGGAAGGTGATGTCATTATTTTGTTACCTTGCAGTGTCTACCAAAGCCAACTCTTTACATTTTATTTATTTATTTATTTATTTATTTACAACATTTGTATCTCACCCATATCAGCCCGAAGGCAACTCAGGGCGGCATACAAGTTGGCAACAATGAGATGCCATATATAAAAATAAATACATCAATAAAAAGCAAAAACATGACAATACATTTAAAAACCATAAAATCAATGAATAATAAAAATTATAAAAACTATGTATTCTTGTTCAAATCCTCAACCGTTCCATCATCTTAGCCGTTCCTAGTTCATTTTCCGATTTGAGTTTTTCTGGTCATGCTGTGGTTCCAAACGCTTGCTCAAAGAGCCAGGTTTTCACTCTTTTTCAAAAGGTCAGGAGGGAGGGAGCAGATCGAATATCCCTAGGCAGGGAGTTCCACAGCCAAGGGGCCAACATAGAGAAGGCCCTGTCTCTCGTGCCTGCCAAACGTGCTTGTGAAGCAGGTGGGATTGAGAGCAGGGCCTCCCCAGACGATCTCAAGTTCCTGGAGGGTTCATAGGGAGAAATGTGTTCAGATAAGCTGGGCCGGAACCGTTTAGGGCTTTATAGGCTAAAGCCAGCACTTTGAATTGCGCCTGTGTTAGTGGCACTGCAATAACAAATTCAGTCTCACTGTACACATTATTTTACACATTATTCGCCTATTTGTTGTTGCTATTTGCCATCCAGTCAGCTTCAACTCATGGTGACCCCATGAATGAAAGACCTCCATGAGCACAAACCATCACTTGCCTTGCTCTGCAAACTCAAAATTGGGGCTTCCTGGATTGAATCAATCCTCAGTCTTCCATTTTTCCTACTATCTAGCACATTGCTGAGCTTTATTGCCTTTTCCAATGAGTCATTTTGTCACATAATATATACGTGGTATGATAATCTCAGTTTAGAGACATCATCATCATGATCATCATTATCATCTGTACTTACACCACATCTTCTCCTGCCTCTCCAATAAAGTAAGTACTCAGGTTGTTCCTGTCTATGCTATTCAAAGGCCTCTCCTCCAGGACCACATTTGCTGTATTGTATTTCCAATATGTGCATATACACATTGTAATATTTACATTTATATGAATGTAGGCTGAAAGTTCAACTTCTGTTCCCGTAACCCATTTAATAAACGAGTTATGATGCTTAAGGGATATAAAGAGCAGTTTAAGAGAATGAGGGGAAGATTATTAAAAGTTACAAAAACAATTGACTACAATCCCACAACCACAAATTGCTAATCTCTGTCCCATGTAGATTCTGAAAGTATTTCCCCAAAACCACAGTAGCCTCCTTCTCCAGGACTAATTTTATCACCTCTTTTTCCTTCTCAAAGTTGTTTCCGTGTGAAGAATTTGTTGTTCCTTTAACCTTGTTCTTTGCTGCTCCGCTGTTCTCTAAAATACAGAACACCACGTGCTCTTTCTTCCCAGTGCATTCCTCTTCTACATTTTGATCAAAAATTTCTAGTGTCACTTCACTGTTAAAGAAATCTTTGGCCACAGCTTCAAGGATTCCTAAGAGCAACAGGGGAAAAAATAAAAACAAAACAGTAACCTGACAATTTCTTGATAATTTATTTATTTATTTATCATGTCAGAAGCAAATTGAGAATACAGTTATAATGTATAGAAAAACCACAAAATGAAAAGCTTGGCGTTATACTGTATTAAATTTCCTTTGACCATAAGCTGGCCACTTGGAGCACCTCTAGTGTCGCTGTAAGAAAGTCCTCCATTGTGCATGTGGCAGGGCTCAGGTTGCATTGTAGTAAGTGGTCTGTGGCTAGCTCTCCTCCACACTCATATGTCGTGGATTCCACTTTGCAGACCCATTTCTTAAGGTTAGCTTGCTGGCTGATATCTGAACAGAGGATGGGCCAGAGATGTCAATGCCTTGGTCCTTTCATTATTGGCTATTACTTCCCGACAGATGTCAGGTGGTGCAATACTGGCAAAATGGTATAGTTTCTCCAGTGGTGAAAGGCATAGACATCCTGTGATAATGTGGCATGTCTCATTAAGCCACATCTACTGTTTTAATATGGTGAGATGTATTCCACACTGGGTATGCATATTCAGCAGCAGAGTAGCAAAGTGCCAGGGCAGATGCCTTCACTGTGTTTGGTTGTGATTTCCAGGTGGTGCCATTCAGCTTTTGTATGAAAGTCAAGCAGTGCTTCTTGTAGGTCAGAGAACGGTCCAGAGCAACTCCCAGGTATTTGGGTGTGCTGCAATGCTCCAGTGGGATTCCTTTCCAGGCAATCCTCAAAGCTCGAGATGCTTGTCTATTCTTAAGATGAAAAGCACACGTCTGCATTTTAGTTACATTAGGAATCAGCTGCTTTTCCCTGTAATAGGCAGTAAGAGAATCTAAAGCTTCGGAGAGCTTCTGTTCAACCATTTCGAAGCATCCTGCTTGAGTGGTAATGGCATAATCATCAGCATAGATGAAACTCTGTTCCTTCTAGCAGTGGTCATTTGCTTAAATTTAAATGTTGATGAAGCAAGCACACTCCCCTGAGGCAGTTTTCTGTTTTCGCCATCTGCTTCCCTGACAATTTCATGGTAATACAAGATTTCAGTAGGTGACCCACCTGCACCATGGCTTGGAGGCTAAACTAACATAATATATGAAAAAAGGTTCCTTATCCTTTGGTGCTTCCTACACTCTCTTAAGAATTTATTCAGAACATTGAAGACCATTTGTGGCCATTTTCATCCCCTCTTTCTGGTATATCTGGTCCCACGTTATTCAGAATAATAGAATCATAGAGTCGGAAAGAGTCCTATGGACCATCAGGTCCTAGGCTTGACCAATATCTCCTTATATATTTTGTTCTCCATGCCTCTTGCCAACCTTTCTGCCAAAGCCCCCATTTTTTTTAAAGTTTCCATTATAAACAAGCATAAAGCATTGGTGTAAATTGTATATCTATTTGAGAAATGGGCAATTTGCTCTCTGGGACCAATTTGCATCACATAACCTTGATCCCAGGAGTTTCCCTCTCTCATTATATTCACCGTCTATTTTCTTGTTTTCTGTAGGGAGATGATTTCACAATATATAGTCCAGATTTAAAACTTAATGATAAGCGATGCCCCAGATGTCATACCTGGAACAATGTGATACAGGCCTTTCCTGTCAGAGTAATAGTGGAGTAACATCATATCCGCTGTTCGTTCTACTCGAAAGGATGGAGCATTCATTTCCTAAACAAAATAAACTGAGCTTTAATTTCACAACTTTAATTACCATATACTACTCTTGAACTGAATAGGCCCAGAGAAGTTATTCCTAAACTCTTTGGAATGATTTCATTCACAGACTAAAACAAAATGAGATAATGGTCACTTACTTCCATTAAATACATAATGGCAGGAACCAGGATCTACTTTCAACTAGCGGAGAGAATATAATGATGTATCCACCCCGTTATGTTGCCCATGCCTAAGTCTGAAATTATTGACAGACTGGGGAAAAACCTAAAACAATCTTTTCTAAGTAAGGACTTACTTATCACACAACCTTATATGTCTCCTGTTGCTGTTATGCCTTTTCATTGTTAATGGTGTATGTCTTTTCAGTAATGGGAAAAACCTGTCAATGGCTCTCAATAGATTACTGCAATGTGCTCCACATGGGGTTGCCTTTGAAGATTGTTCGGAGGCTCCAAATGGTCCAAAGGGCGGCAGCCAGATTGCTTTCCGGAGCAGCATACAGGGAACATACAACTTCCCTGTCAGCCAGCTCCACTGGCTGCCAGTCTGCTACCGAGAACAATTCAAGGTGCTGGCTTTAGCCTATAAAGCCCTAAACAGTTCTGGCTCAGCTTATCTGTCCAAATGTATCTCCCTCTAAGATCCACCTCGGAGGCTAAGATCGTCGGGGGGGGGGGGGGGGGGCTGCTATTGGTCCCCTTTGCAAGCACGATTGGTGGGGACTATACCTGAGTCCCCTAATCCTGTTCCAATGCTCAATGCACTATGCCATATTAGTCTTCTGTATTAACATAGGATACATCATGGATATGCATTTATTTAAACTTCTATTCAATAGGGTGCATCAGTATTGTACATAAACAGGAGAGGAAGTACCTGGTATGATAAGGCAAGGTAGCTATGAAGGGCATCAAGGTTTTCAATGAACTCTGTCAAGTTTCCTCCTAGCGTCCGCAGCATTCTGTCATATCCTGACATTTTACAGAAACTAAAAAAGTATTCTCCAAAAAGCTTCAACATTGCCTCTTTTGACACTTCTGGATTGAAATGAGAAAAGGAAACAACAAGGTTTGGGATCACTCAGGTTTGAGCAGGCACAAAATACAACACCAGACTTTCCCAAAAGATCACAAGCACATAAACACATCCAAAACATCCCGAGGTGCTCCCAGATGTGGCTTTTATCATATTCATAGTCACCTTGCCTAGTTCACATAATATTATGGTGCCAGGGGAATCAAGGCTGTCCTTGTCTTCCATTTATAACCCTATGAATTTTCTCAGTTTCTTTTTTAAAAAATAAACAATCAGGAAAAGATATAATGTTTGCATATCAAGTTTGATATTGCCATGTGTTTTCAAGTAAATTTCTGATTTATGATGACCTTATCACAGGATTTGCTTGGCAAGGTTTGTTCAGGGGAGGGGTGTGATTTTGCCATTCTCTAAGCTGATAGCAGGGACCTCACTACATGGATGAACTCCAGGAATATGATTCATCAGCCTCTATGGCTAATTGGGGTGGCAGTGGGGCAATCCCAGCACCCTGGCCGCCAGCTGACACTTCCCCATCCCATGTGGGAAAGCATCACTGTGTGGCTTGAGTTCACCCAAATCCCATTGTTTCTTATGAAACATGGGGAGGCCTCTGGTTGTGGCAGCACCCCACAATGCTGCCGCCCATTTCACCCACCGAGCCGCACCAGAAGTCACCCTACATTGTGGGGCTCCATGGGAGAACTGGGGCAGAAGTATCCTAGGACACTTTTTTTGCCCTGTATCATAAGGCTGCAAGTTTTCCATGGTTGAGCAGAGATTTGAACCTTGGATTTCAGAGTCATACAGCCTTATCCTGTCCTAAATTTCCCCCATTTTCTTGCCATTTTCTAATGCTGAGAAGTCACACTGAGGTCTTCTCACAAAGCACAGCCACTTCTGTGTCTGTGTGTGTAAATTCGTCTCACCAGTGTACAAAGACAAAGAAAGGAGTCAATTTGCTGGAGTCAGGCATTCCCCCAACTCCTGATTAAAGACAGCAGCAGGAAACTGAGGAAAGCCAGAAGAGGATGGGGAAATGTGTGATGGCTGGCCATTCCTGAGAACGAACCTTGCAAGGGTAGGTCGTGGCACCACTCTTAAGGACACTTTCCCCCCTTTCCTCCACTCCCCCCTCTTTCTCTCCTGCCCGTGAGATAAAGTTCGTAATCCACCACTCAAACTGGTACACCATGCTGCTTTTTTAAACAAACGTTGCCAAGAAAATCCAGTGATTTTCCTAAAGGTTGCCATAAGTTGGAAATGACTTAAAGGCATGCAACAGCAACCACAACAATGCAAAGTAACAAAATGAAGGGAAAATAGGACAAGATAAAAAATGGTATATATTTTTTCATTTTGATTTCAAGGTATTTCATGTCATATAATATCAAAATAAAAAAGCACGTGAGATCAGAATTAAAACAGAGAATGAAAAAGAGCAAGCCAACAATTCTCAGTACTTAGTGTTTGACAGGCTTCCTGGACCAATTTCAATGTGACGGTGTCATCATATACTGTATAAGTCATAAAGGTGTCTTCAATGCCTGCATTTGTTCTGTGGAAACAACAAGGATGATATCTGAAGTTGAAGAGAAGTAGAAAGTGTGGTTGACAACCCAAATAAATCAAAGTAATTTAAAATAAGACTGCAACATGTGATTGATTAATCAAATTTTGATTGATTAAAACTAACACTCACTTAATTAAGCAGAGGGTTTTTTAAAATCCTGACTTTCGAAAAAACTTTAACCGAAAGCACTATTGCCTCTTTACTTCTTAAATCAGTGTAGGACATGCTTTTGCAAAGTAAATGTGTACCAGACACGTACAATTTCACTTGCAAATGTTGTCGAGGTACAGATATTTACCTGATATTTTCCCATGTTTCTTCACCATACTTCTCTATAAGAAGAGCTTTGAGGCAAGTGTTGATAAAACCATACTGTGGAGAGAAAGAGAGAGTATAGAGGAGGAGTGGACACAAGGCAGACCTAGATCTAGAAGTTTGCAACAAATCAGTTTATCTCAGTTTCCTACAATGTTTCCTAAAATGGTCCAGCCAATGATCTCTCATAAATGGAGCACAGGGCAATGCCTTTCCCAGCAACCGGTATTAGAAGCATGTTGCCACTGGTCCCATACATAATTGCTTGTTACTAGATATAAGTAACTAGTTGGGTTGCTGTGAGTTTTCTGGGCTGTATGGCCATGTTCCAGAAGTATTCTTTCCTGACGTTTCACCCAGACATCCTCAGAGGTTGTGAGGTTTGCTGGAAACTAGGAAAATAGGGTTTATATATCTGTGGAATATCCAGGACGGGAGAACCTCTGAGGATGCCTGCCTTAGATGTGGGGGAAAGGTCAGGAGGGAATGCTACTTGAACTGATGAGGAGATATTGGAAAAATGGATATTTATTGATTGATTTATGCATAAAAATCATATGTACTTTAAATGTATAGGAAAATCTAGTTCCCTCTGTGTAGCAAGAATGCTAACAGCAAGCAAACTGCTTGTCTTCAGAAGGGGCATGCATTCCAGAAGAGAGATAAGACACAGGCTGGTACGAGAAGGCCCCCTCTAAGTAAGAAGCCTCTTGACAAGTCAGAGGGCCCCTTTGATGGATGACTGTAAGCACAGCCAAGAGGGAGGGGGAATACTCCATGCTGGCTCTTCAGCTAGACACAGAGACATGCTTTTTGCATGTTGGAGGGGGAACCTGATATTCTTATGATGCCAGGATGACGTAGGGATGATGATGATTGTATGAAGACGTATGTTCTTTGTTTCATTCCGATTGGAGACTATAAAAGGCCAGTCCGCACCTTGATCGGGGCTCTGGGTTTTGATTTTTGGGACATGAGTCCACCAGAGTCACCAGCTGGATAAATAAAGCCGTTCTTTTCTGATCTCCAGAAAGGATGTCTCTTGGTAATTATCTCTCCTTTCCTCAAAACCTGTTTCCCTGCCATTTCAGAACATGGTCATGCAGCCCAGAAAACTCACAGCAACCCAGTGACCCCAGCCATGAAAGCCTTCGACAACACAAATAACGAGTTGTTTGTAATTTAATTTTCCCCAGTAATGATTTGTAGCACTCAGCTATCCCCACCCCCACTCCACCTAAGGATAACTAAAAGTTATTGTTTCCACTTTTGGACACAGAGAAATGGACAACCCCCTTTAAAAACTGTATCACTTGTGCCACTGTTTGGACCTTGGAAGACAGACCTCTGCAGCTTTGATCAGTTGATTTTAAAAATAATGTTCCAAGCTCTTTTTTTAGTTCTTATGGCTAGTGACCGTCAAAATAGGACTTAGTGAATTTTTCTAATTCCAACTCAGAGCCATCTAACCCAATGCATTCAACCCACTTTTCAGCAGCAAACTTTCCAAATAATTATGCCTTATATTAAGAAGTAGTTTCTTTGTACTCTTGTGGGTTTACTGTAGATCAATTTCATTAGCTGACTTTGAGTGGAGGGGAAAGACCCATATACTATGAATAACACTATAAAAATGCTGGCTGCCTTTTCCCTCCCCATAGTTTTCTACAGTTCCCAATTCAGGACAAGAAAAAAAAATGCTTTCTTACCATAATATTGATACCTTAAACTGGGAACAGCAGACTTTTTCTAAAGCTGGTCGTTGTTCTGAGCTAAGATGTGGCTACATAGCTGACCATTAAATGTCCTGTGAACAGAGACCAGGATTGTCCACAAGGAATACTGTGCATTGAATCTCTGAAGAATATAAAAATAGAATGCTCAGGGTTGGGGATAACTAAAATAATTGGCTTCCTTATAGTATGTAACGAACTATGGAAATAAAGCACTGACCTTCAGCAATATTAGAAAGCACAGAATTCTGGGCGACTGGAGTTGTAGAATGCGCTAAAATCCTAAAGAATTATAATGAGTTGTTTAACTTAAGTATATGTACAATACGACCCCTCTATCCAGAGAGGATGTTGCGCAGAAGCGGATTTTAACCAAGTCCTATGCAAAAGACACACAGGCAAGAGGAAAAAGGAACAGAAAAACTTTACTCTTATCAGCAGAGGCATAAACTTGCAGTGTTGCATACAAAATCAAACAGTGAAACAAACTTACATAGCCCTTGTAAGTAACACAGAATAAGGCTTCTTCATCTTCATTCAAATGAGAGAGCAAAACGTAAACCTTGAGTAAATAGCTATTCTACCACAGTAAAGAGCATTGCTGTTACAGCATAGCAACATTACAGCATATCGCATCTCCAAACTGTATTCTAAAATCCATACAGTTATACCCTATTGGGTGTGGCCCAAACATGCTGGCTGACCTACATTACCAGCTGCACATAATAATTAACATCATAAGGTTTTTTTAACACACACTTGATCCTGCTACGACTTAGTAACAGAGGATACATTCGTGTACGTACTATTGAAATTAATGATTGCTGTTGGCAGAAGCATACCACTGAATTGTTCCCAGAGAAAACATATTTTGTAGGATGTGAGTAGTTGAAGCTGGATATTATCCCCGCAGGTATGGAGTGATATTGTCTTCCAGTTTTCTTTGTCTTTGCAAAAGCTAATTATCACTAGTGCTATCTCCCTGCCCATTTTTTCTCTCACTTCTCTTTTCTTCTTGGGGTCTTTTCTTCGGTCTTCTGTGTTCTTCTCCTTCACTCAGGCCGGCTCAGGCAAAAGTCCTATTTCCCTCTCCTTGCTTTCCTTTGACCCTTTCTGGTCAGGTGCAAACACATCACCTTCCCCAGAGAGCACATGTAAGTCTCAGACATTTATCCTAACTAAGGAGGAGCCCCTGGTGGCGCAGTGGGTTAAAGCCCTGTGCCGACAGGACTAAAGACCGACAGGTCACAGGTTCGAATCCGGGGAGAGGCGGATGAGCTCCCTCTATCAGCTCCAGCTCCTCATGCGGGGACATGAGAGAAGCCTCCCACAAGGATGATAAAAACATCAAAAATCATCTGAGCGTCCCCTGGGCAACGTCCTTGCAGACGGCCAATTCTCTCACAACAGGATGCTCCTGACATGACAAAAAAAAAATCCTAACTAAGACTTTGTAGCAACCATAAAATATCTTAGTTGCTATTGTTGTGTGTCATCAAGTCCATTTATGGCATCCCTGTCCTATAGTTTCTTGACAATATTTATGCAAAGATGTTTTGCCGTATCCTTCCTCTGAGGCTGTAACCTGCCCAAGGTCACCTACTGAGCTTCCATGGCTGAGTGGGGTTTTGAGTCCTGGTCTGAAGTTCCAGTCCAACATTCCAATCATTACACTAGACTGACTCCTTTGAAATACAGTACAGTCCTCATATCCATAGAGATAATGTTTCTGAATTTACACATGGAAATGGGAAATTCTGGATTATACCAAAACTAATTGAAATGAACACAAAGGGTGCATCCACACAGCACCTAAAATACGCAAGCGCCCACACTTTTACCTGAGGCGTCCAAACGACACCTCATGTAAAAGCAAATTAAGTTGGGTTGTTGTTCATTCGTTCAGTCGTCTCCGACTCTTCGTGACCTCATGGACCAGCCCACGCCAGAGCTCCCTGTCGGCCGTCACCATCCCCAGCTCCTTCAAGGTCAGTCCAGTCACTTCAAGGATGCCATCCATCCATCTTGCCCTTGGTCGGCCCCTCTTCCTTTTGCCTTTCACTTTCCCCAGCATAATTGTCTTCTCTAGGTTTTGCTGTCTCCTCATGATGTGGCCAAAGTACTTCAACTTTGTCTCTAGTATCCTTCCCTCCAATGAGCAGTCGGGCTTTATTTCCTGGAGGATGGACTGTTGGATCTTCTCGCAGTCCAAGGCACTCTCAGAACTTTCCTCCAACACCACAGCTCAAAAGCATCTATCTTCCTTCGCTCAGCCATCCCTAAGGTCCAGCTCTCACATCCGTAGGTTACTACAGGGAATACCATGGCTTTGACTAGGCGGATCTTTGTTGCCAGTCTGATGTCTCTACTCTTTACTATTTTATCGAGATTGGACATTGCTCTCCTCCCAAGAAGTAAGCTCTTCTGATTTCCTGGCCACAGTCTGCATCTGCAGTAATCTTTGCACCTAGAAATACAAAGTCTGTCATGGCCTCCACATTTTCTCCCTCTATTCCAGTTGTCAATCATTCTTGTTGCCATAATCTTGGGGTTTTTTTGATGTTTAGCTGCAACCCAGCTTTTGCGCTTTCTTCTTTCACCTTGATTAGAAGGCTCCTCAGCTCCTCCTCGCTTTCGGCCATCAGAGTGGTGTCATCTGCATATCTGAGGTTGTTAATGTTTCTTCCAGCAATCTTAACCCCAGATTAAGATTGCTGGAATTAAGTTGGGACAAAGAAGGAAAACCAAGTTAATTTGACACCTGGAAAGACCCGGGTCTTTCAGAAAATCTGTATCTTTTGAGGTGTGAATGCTGTGTGGATTGGGCCCAGGGATTGTGTTGCATGATTTCCGGGCCCAATCCACACAGCTGTCTTGGGTTTTCCGGGTTCCTGAAGCCTAGAAACCCCAAAACAGCACCCCCACTCTTAAACCACTTAAAAATACCTTAAAAAGAGAAAATAACTTACCCAGACACCATTTCCCTGCTGCTTTTAAACCTGGGTCGGAGCAGACTTTTCCTCTGTGTGAAACCAGCCTGTCACCCTGTAGGACCTAGAACATCCCTAGAGAGGTATCCTCTATAGGAATTTTCTAGGTCTTCCAGGAGGTTCTGTGATAACTCAGTGGGAGCATATTATAGGCTCCTTTTACACTGCCATATATCCTAGGGTCTGATCCCAGATTATCTTCTTATCCCAGAATATCTGGCAGCGGAGACTCATATAATCCAGTTCAAAGCAGATAACCTGGGAACTTGAGATTTAGGGCATTGTAGGAGGGGCCATAGAATGCACAAACCCCCTTGTCATCTCAAGGGTTACAAAACTTTTGTAACAAAAAAAAAGAAATGCAAAACTTTTGATACGAGTCTTGCTTACGTGTCAGAATGGAGTAAGCACATATTTAATCCCGAGATCAGAATCTAACATTTGCCAGACCTGACAAATTTAAATGAAAGACAGGAAGGAATGCTATGAATCTGTTGACCATGCAGAGGAACTTCACAGTACATTTCGGAACCATTTGTTTCATACTGCGCTTTTATTGGTTTCAAACTTTTTCTTCCCTTGAGAAACAATCCCTATGGTAGTCGTGAATCTGTCTTATGTAAATTCCAATTAACAACTACATTATCTGTCTTCTTCTGTGAAGTCTGCATCGGGTGTTTATTAAATAGGCTCTTGAGTATTGTGAGCATTGGTTTTACAACGCACCAAAAGTATTCTCTTGCTGCCGCTCTATGTATATTTAGTAATAGTGTTTGCTATTTCAGTTTTCCAGCATCCCCATCTCTTGTATGCCAAAGTGTGGTTCATTCAATGCAAATACAAAAACCCTTGAAAATAGGACTGAAATAGGATAATGAAAAAAAATCATGATTTTCTTCCTAATTCTTGTGAGAAGGGTGAGGTTGGAGCACTGCAGTGTATTATACTGAAGGTCCACCTTGAAGGCTGGGTCAGAAATTCCAGCTGGTTCAGAATGTGATGATAAGGTTGCCAAACTGAAATGTGCTTGTGTGAACATACATTGCTTGTGGCAGTGGTTCTCAACCTGGGGTCCCCAGATGTTTTTGGTCTTCAACTCCCAGAAATCCTAACAGCTGGTAAACTAGCTGGGATTTTTGGGAGCTGTAGGCCAAAAACATCTGGGGACCCCAGGTTGAGAACCACTGTGTTAAAGGATCTTCACTATAAGATTACCTGTGAATTTTCAAATATAATTCAACCTGAAAGCCTTAAATAGCTTGCAATCAGGTAGTTAGGGACAATTTTATTCTATTTGAGGCAGGCAAAAGATCTGTTTCAGAGGAGCTGCCCTGCATGGCACCATTTACAGATTTGAGCACAGCATGGAAGTAGCATGTGACAATATAATCATTATCTGTAATGCATCACTTTCATAGTTAAAAGGAGCAAAGTAATATCCCCTTCTTGTAAATAAAATAATAATATAATAAATGAGGTAAATTTGCAAATAACAATTTCTTTCTTCCAATCAATCGCCTACTGTGGTAGATAGTTATCAAAAGGCCCCATCCCTCTTATCCTTTCTGGCCTTGATTTGAGAAAAAAGATATACTTTGAAATTTAAAAACAAATTTAGTAATTCTTCCTTGAATACTTACTTTTTTTCTACATGAATTGGTAGGTATGGATAAACCTTAAGATATTTTGTATATATATATGTAATGGCGCCTGGTGGCTTCTATACTGTCAATATAGGCTCAGCATCTTGGAAAGATTCTTTGAAATTTGGGGTTTATCCCAGCCCTGGTTTCCCTGACATCAAAATCATTGTTTGTGCTCCAGCAAAGGAAGAAGGTATACATAAATTCAAAAATATAAGAACTGCCAGTAAAAGTTGGTTACAAAAAGCCAAACAGATTTTATTTAAAAGATGCACAAGAAAAATGTCCAGACTTTCTGCAATTAAAAAAAGTCCTGGATGTGTATCCCTGAGGTAGGATTACTCAGGAGGGAGGGTAGTAAATAGTAGGGCTGTGCACGGATCCCTTTTCAAAAATGGTCTTGGGCTGATTCAGCTGGATTGGCTGGTTCGAATGTCCATAGCGACACCTCCGCAACAGAACAGTGGTGGCCAAACAATGGCTGCTTTCGGTTTCTTTCAGCTACACATGGAGTGCGGGGAGGGAGGCAGCCAATAAAAAGATAGGATCCCAGGAAGGGTGTTTTTGTAAGTCTTTGCCTTAAACCCAGGTCTTTTCGAAAGACAGAAGGGAAAGGATCACAGAAAGGATGGTTTCTTAAGTTTGATGCCGAAAAGAAGAGCCGTGTAAGTTCCCCATTGCCGCCAATGGGCTGGATCTTCTCGGATGTTTTGGTTGCCAAGACAAAAACTGCTTTTTTCCCATTAGCTGATTCCAGGAAGCTCCTGAAAATGGCTCTGGGTACCCAACTAAATTAGGATACCAAAAACGGATTGTGGTCTAGCTGAATTGCATAAACCTAGTAAACAGTTACCAAAGAAGCATTCATATATGTTATAAAGAGGTTTAGCACAGCTGGTAAATCATCAGCAATTACAAGATCTATCAACCAAAAGGTTGCAAGTTCGAAGCCCCAGGTTGGCGTGAGCTATCAACTGTCAGCCCCAGCTCATTGTTTACCTGAGCAATTCGAAAACAGCTTTAGCTGTGATTAGAGAAATTAAGTATCGCTAAAAAAGTGGGGGAGGTGTTTTACAATTCCACAAAGAAAGAAGATCAGAAAATGCTGGGCAACCAAAAGGAAGGAGGAAGTCCTGACGGCTCTTCGTCATAAAGGATGGAGCAACAGCACCCCCTGGACTCAAGCCCAACCTTCCATGGCACCTCCTTCTGTTCTGTCTGTCTGTGTATTGTCTATACAAAGCAGCATTGAATGTTTGCCATGTATGTGTACTGTGATGCGCCCTGAGTCCCCTTCGGGGTGAGAAGGGCGGAAGATACATAAATTATTATTATTATTATTATTATTATTATTATTATTATTATTATTATTGAAAATCACAAATAGCATGGCCATGCAAAGAAGGTGCTGGCTAACTATCTCTCACAGCATAAGGGGAATGGTCCAATTGATGACCATGACACTTGAGCGGTTATATTCTATTTATGTGGCAAGGACAATTAGAAATGGATGGGGTTGTGTTTGTGTGCAACTGAGGGGCAAAAGATGCCTTTTGTAGACTACAAAGCATTGCACTGGAATTGTAATATTCCACTATCAAAGTAAAAATCTGTGAGCTGCATGCATCCAAGGACTAAAGGCTATTGTAACCTTCTGTACAAATAGACTACAAGTCTGAAGAAAGGACTTTTACTGCTTAAGCAGCCCTTGCATGGAAGGGATTCCACACTCCACATCAATGCTGTTCTTTTGGGCACATTTTGGGCTTAAACTTCAAAGTGTTGAATGCTCCCTCCACAGCTTTAGGGAGGTACATTGGGTATCTCTGCAATTTCTTCCTGGAGCTGATTGTTCTTCCTTGGCTGCTCCTTTCCGATTGGCTTGTTGTCTTTGCCGCTAGTATAGGGTCCTGGGAATGTCTCCGAGGGGCACGAAGAATCCAGTTGGAGTGCAAGCTGTGTTCCCTTGAGCTAGTGACAACTGAAAGGAGAAACCACCCGTTAGAAACAAGACACCTTTCACCACAATGTAAACTTAGAACACAACAGAATCCTTTTGGAAAGTACAATTGCTTGTTTGCCAGAGTGTGTACCTTCAAGTTGCCTGTCACCTGACAGTGACCCCCATGGACTTTATAAATTTTCCTAATCAAAGAGTTTTCAGAGGTGGTTTTGCCAGTTCCTTCCCCTAAAATGCTTATGTCCTAAAATCCTGAACCATAGAATCATATTATCACAGACTTTGAGGAGACCTTGTGGGCCATCGAGTCCAACCCCCTGCCAAGAAGTAGGAAAATTGCATTCAAAGCACTCCCGACAGATGGCCACCCAGTCTTTGTTTAAAAGCCTCTAAAGGAGTAACCTCCTCCCCACTCTGGAGCAAAGAGTTCCACTGCTGAACAGCTCTCATCGTTAAGAAGTTCTTCCTAATGTCCTGGTGGAATCTCCTTTCTTGTAGTTTGAAGCCATTGTTCTGCATCCTAGTCTCCAGGGCAGCAGAAAGCAAGCTTGTTCCCTCCTCCCTATGACGTCCCCTCACATATTTATACATGGCCCTCATCATTTCTCCTCTCAGCCTTCTCTTCTACAGGCTAAACTTGTCCAGCTTTTTAAGCCGCTCCTCCTAGGGGTTGTTCCCCAGACCCTAGATCATTTTAGTCACCCTCCTCTGGACACATTCCAGCTTGTCAACATATCCCTTAAATTGCAGAGTCAAGGAAGCTTGGCACAGAATTGTACCTAAAAAGTGGCTATATCCAGCCCTTGAGTTCACATTGTATACTCTGAGGACTGGACACTACAAATCTCCACTAGAATTGATAGAAAAGGCCACCATGACTCTACTGGGAAGTCATAGTCCTACTATCCTTTTTCTAGAGTACATCTGATGTTGGAGAGAATGAAAACTCATTGTGTCACAAAGGCAACATTCTCATTATTATCTAAATATCTGGAAGGGGATGATTAATAAGTGTCATTATTCCATGAAGGAAGGCAGGGCTTTAAAATATCTCTTTGTGTAAGTGAAAAGAAATTGCATCTGTATGGTTATGGCTATTTGCTCTGTAATTCAGAAGACCATTTCCCTATTTTGGCACTGATGGGGCCAGATGATTATTTTTCCACTGGTAGGATCCAGTGGTGAGCAACTGTATAAATCATCCCCTCTCTGGAAGATGGCACATGTGTACTTACCATCAAAATCAACATCTGCATGTGGATGATCTCTCACAATTATTTTTCTGTGCCTTTCAGCATCCAGCTCTGCAATAATTGCATCAAAATAAGCGATTGCCTCAGCTACCTCTGAGCTGAACTGTGAGACTTTTTTGGTTGTTGAGACCTGTTGAACAAAATTTAAAGGTAAACGAGATAGAATAGGTAGATTTTGTGAACATTCCAGCATCTAAAGGCCTAAATTCAATTCCGAATTCAAACTTGAATGAGGGCCTTTCCACACAGCCCTATATTCCAGAACATCAAGGCAGAAAATCCCAGATTGTCTGAGTGTGGACTCAGATAGCCCAGTTCAAAGCAGATATTGTGGGATTTTCTGCTTTGATATTCTGGGATATAGGGTTGCGTGGAAGGGCCCCCCGAGTCTCACTCGACCACTGAATTCTAAATTAACACTTATATACATTCTGTTGATTCAGTGGGTAATCTGTAGCTGGGATATTTAATTGGGTCTATTTTAGCTTGGGAATTATGTGGCCTTCCAGATGTGTATGATTGCAACTACCAACATTTTCATCCTTGGCTGTGGAGCCAACATTACTGTAAGTGAGGCCCAATGAAATATGAAGGGCCATCTGTTTCCCATCCTTGACTAGGGCTGCAGATACCAAAAAAGGGCCTTGCGATGGACCACAGTATTTGAAAGAGCATTGGCAATGTTCTTTGACACAACTATCTATGCTAATTGGCCAAACCATTATTTGATCCTTTGCTGCAGTTTTCCTTTTAAATTTATCTGGATTTCCAAGTTAGCTGTTTACCACTGTATTCAATCATTTGAGTGAGGATTAAATCTATATAAATAAAAATGTCATGTTAGTTTGTGGGATTAACATAATTCAAAAACCACTGGACAAACTGACACCAAATTTGGACACCATAAACCTATCAGGCAAATGAGTGACCATCACTCATAAAAACACTGAAAAACACAGTGGAAGGGGCTTAAAAAGTGAAAAAATAAATATACATTCCAGCGCATGTGCCAAACCACATATATAAATGCAAACACATATCTATATAAATAAAAATGTAATGTTCATATGTGGGATTAACATAACTCAAAAAACACTGGTCAAATTGACACCAAATTTGGACAAAATATACCTATCAGGCCACCAAATGACCATCACTCATAACAACACTGAAAAAAACAACAACAGAAGAAACTTAAAAAGCCAAGAAATAAAATAATACATTACAACGCATGCACAAAAACCACACATACATATGCTAACACACATATATAATACATATACACAAATATTTACACACATATACCAATATATACACACATAAAACACATATACACAGACTGGGTCACAGCAATGCATGGCAGGGGACTGCTAGTATATAAATAAAAATGTAATGTTTGTTTGTGGGATTAATGGAACTCAAAAACCACTGGGCGAATTGACACCAAATTTGGACACAATACACCTATCAGGTCAATGAGTGACCATCACTCATAAAAACACTGAAAACACAATGGAAGGGACTTAAAAGCCCAAAAAGTAAAAAGATGCTACAGCGCAAGTGCAAAAATGACACACACACCCCAGCAAATAAAACACACAATAGCATATCCACACTTTTTTTCCGGACTACAGCTCCCAGCATCCCCTAGACCAGGCCCTTTAGGAGAGGAGGAGGATCCAAATGCACTGCTTTCAAGCTGTGAGCTTTTTTCTTCTTTGAGAGCATCTCACCCCCTGCATATTTCCAATTTCCTATTCCTGGACTGCAACTCCCAGCAGTCCTCCAGATAGATAGATTAGATAGAGATAAATAGGTAGGTAGATCAATCAATCAATCAGGAGGACAGCTGGGAGTTGCAGTCCAAGAGTAGGTAGAGAAGGAAGAAAGTGAAGAAAGAGGAAGAAAGGGAAAGAAAGGGGGGGAGGAAAGGAAGGAAGGAAGGAAGGAAGGAAGGAAGGAAGGAAGGAAGGAAGGAAGGAAGGAAGGAAGGAAGGAAGGAAGGAAGGAAGGAAGGAAGGAAGGAGGGAGGGAGGGAAATAAAGAGGGAGGGAAGGTTGGCCACAGCAACGCGTGGCAGGTACGTGTTTTATAATCTTATTCTTTTAGACTTTCTAATAAAAAGACCAAGGGCAGATACAAAATTCAAAAGCAAACAAATGTAAGGAATACCATGCATTATAAGCATGCACGTGACCAAGAGGGGGAAATGAAGTAGTAGATGCTGGTGGAATAGGGCTTTGATGCAGCAACGTGGTCTAGTATTATATTGGAAATGTCCAATCACAAGAGCGAAAAAGAGAAAGAGAACACATCCAATATTCCCCAAGACATTAAAAAGCAAAAATAATATTTTCTCCCCCTACTGAGTTAAATGCAAACTACTACTAGAGTACTATATAATCACTATTTACTACAAAACACTTTAACAACATTGCTACATAATTAACTCCAGCATGATCCTACTCTGCTAACTCCATTTGCTAGAAAGCAGCTGCTGAGTTCAATGGGTCCATTACACTGCCAATCAAGAGGAAACGGCTTTAGCTAAGGATAGTGTCTCCTCTGAATAATTGACTGGAGGAAGTAATGGGCTGGATGAAGAAAAACAAATTAAAACTGAATCCAGACAAAACAGAGGAATTTGCCATCAAGGGTCCTAATCTGAGGCTGGAGGTGTGTCAACCAAGCCTGGATGGGGTTACACTCCTCCTGAAAGACTGTGTCTGCAGCTTGGGAGTGCTCCTGGATACGTCTCTCCAGGCCCGTAGACAGGATTTCGTTTGGGGGGGGGGGCTGAATTTTTTTCAGGGGGGTTTCGGGGGGGTGAGTTTCGGGGGGGGGGCTGAGTCTGAGTGAAAGAGGGTCTAGCCTAGCAAACCTTTTGTATCATTACCCCAATACCCCCATGCATATGGGATATATTGAGTATGGTGATCAGATCATGATATGAATAAACATAACAGTTTAAATAATACACCAGTAAGGCCTTTTCGCGAACCACCATGAGAATTTCGGGGGGGGGGGGCTGAAGCCCCTCAAGCCCCCCCCTCCCCCGGCTACATGCCTGCGTCTCTCCAAATGTCAGTAGATGCAACGGTCAGGAGAGCTTACTATCAGCTTCGGCTAATATGCCAGCTGCACCCATTCCTAGATTTGGAGGACCTCAAGATGGTTGTGCACGCACTGTTAAACCTCAAGTTTGGACTTCTGCAATGCGTTATATTGGGCTACCTTTGTATCAAGTTCACAAACTCCAGTTGATTCAAAGTACAGCAGTCAGATTGGGGATGGGAACATCCAGGAGTAAGCTTATTTCACCCATACTAAAGTCACTCTACTGGCTGCCAGCTAGTTCCTGGGCAGACAACAAAGTGTTGGTTTTGATCTTTAAAGCCCTATATGGTTTGGGTCCAGGTCACATATGGTATCGCCTTCTTCCATACAATCTGCCGCTTAGGACATTCAGGTCCTCTGGGGAGCGGCTACTCCAACCAGCCAGAACCCGACTGGCAATCCTCACCTACAGGACATTTCCATCATCTGCCTCAAGACTATCGAATGACCTGCCAGAAGAGCTCTGACAGCTAAATGAGCTGTGGGAATTTAAGATAGACATGGCCTATCTCTTATGGCAAGCTAACCCACTGCCACATCAGACTAGCATTTTAAAGCTGACACCCTCACTTTATTGGTGTCTTTTGCCTCTTGCAGAACTCTGGGAAATGTAGTTTAGGGCAGGGCTTTTGCAATTCTCAGCTGGAGAGTTCCTCCCCTTCCTGTACTATATTTCCCAGAGTTTTGCAGGAGGCAGAAGATGCTAAGAATTTGGGGATGCCCGCTTTAAAACGCTAGTCTGATGAAGTGGCTAGTCAACTTTTAACTATAAATTTTAAACTTGTGCCCTGTGTTTACTTTTAATCTTTGTTCTGTGTCTTTTAATCTATATACAAACTATGTAGCCACTTTGAGTCTCCTTGGGGAGAGAGTGGGGTATACATAATAATAAAAATAATCCATATTTTTAATATATGTGTTTTAATATATGTATTTTACCTAATATTTTATAATGAAGAGCTCTTTGCCCCACCCCAGCCATTCCACAGATATATAAACCCATTGTCCTAATTCCAACAGACCTCACTACCTCTGAGGATGCTTGCCATAGATGCAGGCGAAACGTCAGGAGAAATGCCTCTAGAACATGGCCCTATAGCCCGAAAAAACCCACAAGAACCTATTTTATAAAATGTTTTTAACTGTTGTGCCCTGCCTCAAGCTTTGAGGAGAGGTGAGTAAGAAATAATAACAACAACAATAATAGTAATAGTAATAATAATAATAATAATAATAATAATAATAATAATAATAATCTGCCTGACCTTCCAACCGCCTGCATGCAATCTCCAACATGGCAGGCAAAAAAGGTCCCCTGCTAAAAAAAACCCCTTGTGTTGGAAATTGCTCACAGGATGAGACCATCAGGCAGCTGCTTTTCCGATGGACAGGGGAATTGAACCCTATATATTCCAGCAGCTGCTTACTAATAAATGGAGTTTAGGAGACTTTCAAGATCCCTATGTAGTCCTTCAACTATAGGCTGAGTAGGGATCATGAATATATAGCAGTTGTTAGTTTGTAGCTGTGAGTTGTTTTTTTTAGCAGTTAGCAATCAAGAGTCCAATCAATTATTGCACTTTAAACTCAGCTTCAGCAAAGTAATGGCCCTTCCACACTGCCCTTTATCGCAGGAGCCGATCTCAGATTATCTGCTTTAAACTGGAAAATATTAGTCTTCATTGCCAGATAGCATGGGATAAACAGATAATCTGGGATCAGATCCTGGGATATAGAAGCAGTGTGGAAGGGCCACAATTTGGGAATAAAGGAGGAAAGTGGAATGTAGATCAAAACATGGGATGCCAAAATTATTCAGGACTGGGATATTTGGAAGAACGAACAAGTCTGGACTTAAGAAGATTCATGATTTAATAAGGCTATATAGATCCACCTATTCCTAAAATTAGACAGATCAGAAACTGCAAGCGTATCTTCTTACAAATGCAAATGAAGCCCAAACACATTTTCAGTGTCTAAAACAAAAACCTAAGATGAAGGATTATTAATGTCGTTGTTGTGCATATATCTAAATGCAATGTAGGTTCAGGAATGAAAAATGTTTTTTTATAGTATCCTGGACTAAAATGATATACTGGAATCTCAGGGCCCTTCCACACAGCCATCTAACCCAGAATATCAAGGCAGAATATCCCACACTATCTGCTTTGAACTGGGTGATCTGAATCCATACTGCCATATATCCCAGTTGAAAGCAGAAAATGTGGGATTTTCTTCAGCTGTGCAGAAGGGGCTTCAGAAGCTAAATTCCTTTCTCCAGTGCACAATTTCTTTAGACAGTTTACCTGGGCATTAGCCCTTGAAAAGTGGGATAAATAAGGCAGTGTCCTCTGACATGTGTAAAATCTATATTAGGTTTGTTTTTGTGGGGGAAAGGGTTTTTCTCTTTGCCTACAATGCAAGGTGATTAGTTTATGTAAGCTCTGAGGCTTTCCTTTTCTCTTTCTTTTTATTGCTAGATCATGGAGGAGGGGGCTAAGGGCCCTTCCACACAGGCATCTAACCCAGAATATCAAGGCAGAAAATCCCATAATATCTGCTTTGAACTGGGTTATCTAAGTCTACACTGCTATATATTACAGTTCAAAGTGGATAATGTGGGATTTTATTCAGCTGTGTGGAAGGGGTCTAAGAGATCTGGGATCCAATAGATCCAGATAGAGGGAGAGTCCAAAACACATATATTTAGAGGAAAATAATAGATTTTTGATAAAATATTGAAGAGTAGAGACATAACACTGGCATTGTAAAAGCAATGGTATTCCCTGTAGTCACCTACAGATGTGAGAGTTGGATGATAGGGAAGGCTGAGCGAAGGAAGATAGATGCTTCTGAACTGTGGTGCTGGAGGAAAGTTCTGAGAGTGCCTTGGACCACCAGAAGATCCAACCAGTCCATACTTCAGGAAATAAAGCCTGGCTGCTCATTGGAGGGAAGGGTAGTAGAGGTCAAGATGAAGTACTTTGGCCACATCATGAGAAGAAAGGCAAACTTAGAGAAGACAATGATGCTGGGGAAAATGGAAAGAAAAAGAAAGAGGGGCCGACCAAGAGCAAGATGGATGGATGGCATCCTTGAAGTGACTGGATTGACCTTGAAGAAGCTGGAGGTGGTGACAGCTGATAGGGAGCTCTGGCGTGGACTGGTCCATGAGGTCACGAAGAATCGGAAATGACTGAACAAATGAACAACAACAAATAAATTTATCCATGGAAAAAAACAACAAAACAACAGTTTGTTATTCCTGAATCATGCTTAGCCATTGGCTGAAAGAGGCATGGGTTCAGTTTCTTGGCATGAGATCTGTTGAGTCATTTGCCTGAGCTTCTGGGGATATTTCACTTGTCAACCACTTAGAAGTATTAAAAAAAATAAACAAACTTTCCATCCCTTTGGATTGCTCGAAAAGAGTGAACAAAAGATAAGAGGCAATCCTATCACAAGGGTCGTCAGCTTTCAAACTAAGTGTGTGAAGGTGCATAAGACAGGTAAAAGAGACCTTCTTTTTACGTTAAATTTAGGTGTTGTGTGTTAGCAATGTGACAGCCAGAGACAGCTGTGTTGACACTGACAGCCAGAGTTTTGTACAATGGTGAATTGGGACTTGGGAAAATCCAGGTTTAAGTCCCCATTTCGGCATCTCTCTCATCCTCTTTTCCCTGACATACCTCACAAGATTATTGTAAGTATAAAGTAGGGAGAGTCATGAATCCTGTTTTGAGCTCATTTATAGAAAGGCAAGGTATAAATGAAATGAGCAAACAAACACACAGTCATGTAAGAAGGGTCTAACGGAGGAAAATAACATTACCATGAACAAACAAAAACATAACACTAAAGTTACTAAGCAAATTATCATTAAATTATTGTTGCATAACTGTGGGATCTTGGTTTGTTTAGCATCCTTACCTTGGACAACTGTGCATGAGATGGGGCTGGTGACATTTTTTTGTTCTTGGATGATTTTGTGGATGTAGAGGTTCCTCTGTCCATAAACTTCAGGTCTTTGATGCTCTCGAGGTATTTTTTCCGCAAGGCTAACAGATCTTGTAGGTACTGCAAGCAGTCTTGAGTCTTGGAGTACATCCATGCCCTTTCTTCCTCCTTCATCTGTCCACAGGCAGTTGAATCAATGCTGGTGGTACTCTTGCTTTTTTTGAGAGGCTCACTGAAGTTGTGCTCCTCGCCTCCGATAACAAACATCGAAGTGCTACGGATCAGTCGGACTGGAGTGCCGTTGTAAGTAGGAATCCCATCAGAAAAGCTCCTCCGACGAGAAATGGGATGAAATATGGCCTGTATCTTTCTTAACATAGTGCTCTTCATGCTTCAAGCCATCCTTCCATCTTTCACCTTCATTTAGGGCTACTTTGGAGTGCATGAAACTTATATAAACTCTGTTACCTTGTCATTAGACTCCAGTGTCCTGCTAGTTTGGTCGTCTTCTGCTATGTCTGCTCACTTAGTTCAGACCATTTTAATGGAAAAAAATAATATTAATTTCCTCCATCACTTCTTTCCACGGCATACCCAGCATTTGAAGATCATCTCATGGTTGCATAACTAGTCCTTTTCCTTATGCTGACCATGGTACTGAATAGCTTTTACAGGTAAAAAATGACATCCAAAAAAACCATTTTGTCGAGTGGCATCAAGAGACGGCTGAGTATTAAATAAGGCTATATTGAAAGATGCCAAACAAACCAGGATCCTGCATATTTCTTCTGCTCACATCTATCTGCATGCGATCAGCACACTGTGGACCCATGCAGCAGTTCAACTGCTGTTCGAAGGGTTTTGTTTTCTCTCCTATAGCAACCGAATGATGGCCACAGCTATCTGATAACATGGCATTGTTAGGAAAAAGGTGGAATAGAATATCCAGATCCATTACAGTCATGACAAAAGCCTGAGCACGGGAGACTAGGCATCAAATAAAATGGCACTTCAAAACACACTTGCCTAAGAAACAATGACCATTTAGGGGTTTTTTTATTTAGTTGTTAACATGTCCAGCTTCCCAAAGTCTCAATGCTGGCACTGAGGCTCTATCAAGACTGGTAATTTGTCTGAAAGGTTTGTTATACCTCAATCAACCACAAGACACCTCTTTTATCAGAATTTCTGAAAAGGAGACCTCAGTAGTCTTTTACAGGGCAGCCCAAAAGTCATGCCACCATTTCAAAACTGAATGGTCATGGAGCTATTGTGAAAATCTACGCAAATAATCTGAATGCCTCTATACATTATTATTGTTTTTCCTGTGTTGCACCTTTAAAGCATGCTAAAAGTAGCCTCCAGTTTCTTAGCCATGTCAAAAGTGGTTGAAAGTGTTTAAAACTAGTCCCTTGTTGAAGTAAGGGATGTAAAGTTCTGCAGAGGAAATGTAGACATACCTGTAGTTATATGCTTAATTTAAAACCACAATGTAGAAGGATTAAACTACAACTACAGACTTTTCAAAGAGGTGAAAAGGAACTAATGAAATGGTTTCACAGCTAAATATTTCATGACATATAAGATTACTGGCTTTGAAAAAAAACACTCATATATCTTGTTCATTCGTATGGAGATTCAAATCCAACATGAGTTATAGCAATACATATTCTTCTGTGAGATATGATTTTCTTTGCAGCGTTTCTAATTGCAGAGATGATTAACTATCTCTAGAAACAAAATAGCTCAGGCTGCTAGAAATAATCAGATATTTTTAAAAGAGAAAGATACAACATCTTCAGCCCTAAATGCCTCAAAGGCAGCAGATCCCCTTTGATCCTGAAAGCTAAGCAGGGACGGCCCTTGGATGGCCAACTAACACCTTCCAACAAATGATTCCCCCAGGCAGGAAACAACCATTCAATGCTAATCAAGGTGACCAATTGCAACATCCACACTTGCCTCAAACAGACAAGAGTTCTTTCTCCCATCCTGGACATCCCACAGATCCATAAACCTCACTTGCTTAGTTTCCAACAGATGCCTGCCATAGATGAGGGCAAAATGTCAGGAGAGAATGTTTCTGGAACATGGCCATACAGCCCAGAAAACTCACAGCAATCCACCTCTGAGTATTTTTTGCCTAAGGAAACCCTATGAAATGCATCGGTTTGCAAGAAGTCAACATGAGACTTGAAGGCACACAACTTCAACATTATATAATGTAGGGCTTTGTTTAAATGCCAGGATAAATCTACATTGTTTCTGATCTCTTCTGAATTAAATTTTATATAGCAGTAAAATATGTAAAGCGCATTTCCTTAATCCAGGGGTGTCAAACTCATTTTCAGTGAGAGTCACATCAGCCATATGGTTGTCTTCAAAGAGCAGTTGAATCCATCGACGGAGAATCTGTGGATTCAGAGGGCCAACTATATATATATATATTGACAATGTTTGGTGCTCGTTAGTTTTTACCCAGTTTGGCTCTTACTGAACGACAACTCCCATCACTTTTGATTACGCTATGTAACACAGTGGTTCTCAGCCTTTGGGTCCCCAGATGTTTCGGCTTTCAACTCCCAGAAATCCTAACAGCTGGTAAACTGGGTGGGATTTCTGGGAGTTGTAGGCCAAAATGTCATTTCCTAATTGGTTCTATTATAAAAAATATGGGGAAAGTGTATTAGAATATCTCAACATAGTTTGTGGCATCCACAAAAACAAAGTCTCTGGAGTATAACAACTACTTTCAAAGTAAGCACTGCATAATTAAACAGGAATAACACTTTCAAACCAGGAACAGAAATGTTTCACATTTTGTTATATAATGTTATCTGCCATGTGGACTGGGAATAATGGGAATTGCAACCCAGCACCACTTGCATTTCTGAGGTTGAGGAAAGGTTAAAGGACATTTTGATGTCAGGCATCATATCCGCAAGCCTTGTTTCTAAATTCAAGCCCACCCTTCTGACTAAATAAAACAAACTGCAGATGTTACTGTATCCCAACTCCCATCAGCTCTAGTCATGATGTCTAGTGATGCGGAATGCAGGTAGTCCATCTGAAGGGCCACATAAAAGGACGTGGTGGGCCAGATTTGGCCCACTGGCTTGGAGTTTGACAGATGTGCCTTAAACTATACCTACCTGGACATATAACAATGGGTTAAGCTAGGAAACTTAGGTAAATGTAAGGTCTTCTTCATCGCCTTTTCCCAGTTTCTTATAGGAAACAGTCTACAGGGACAGCTTGTGACTTCCAAAGTTGGATCAGCACTGCTATTAACTGTGTTATGCAGCAGTGTAGATCCAGCTAAGTCTCCAGGGTAGTGCAGGAAGTTCCAGAGTTACAAACATCTGACTTACAAACAACTCCTAGTTAAAAATGAGGGTGAGGCAACAGGAAATGAGATAAATCTACATTTTGGAAGGAAAATAACAGCAACAACAATAAAGCTTTATTTGTATCCCACCACCATCTTTACGAAAGGACTTGGGGTAGCTAACAAAAGCACTCAACAGTGCACTATTCACTCCTGAAAGAACTATCACGGAAAAGGGGTGTCAACTGAAGCTTGATCACCGAGCCACATTTTTCTAAATCCAATTTTCACAGGGTCAGAAGTGAAGTGAAATCTTCTGAACGGGGGCCCAGGCAGCAAAACAAACACCACAGGGATGTTAACCCTTCCCTAGGCTATTCAAAGCTAATATTCTATAATAAAATATAATAAATAATATAAAATAATAATAATAATAATAATAATAATAATAATAATAATATACATTTTAGCTTTGGGTAACTTAGGGAAGGGCTAATACCCCTGTGGTGTTTGTTTCACCATCTGGGCCTCTGTGACTCCTGATATATATATATATATATACACGCACGGACACACATACACACACACACACACAAGGGGTTGGTTTTTTGACCTTTAAAGCCCTACATCAGTGGTTCTCAACCTGGGGTCCCCAGATGTTTTTGGCCTACAACTCCCAGAAATCCCAGCCAGTTGACCAGCTGTTAGGATTTCTGGGAGTTGAAGGCCAAAAACATCTGGGGACCCCAGGTTGAGAACCACTGCCCTACATGGTTTGGGTCCAGGTTACTTAAAGGACCGCCTTCTCCCATACAGTCCACCCCATACACTTTGGTCTTCTGGGGGACGTCTTCTCCAACCAGCCAGAACCCGACTGACAACCGTCACTCAGAGGACTTTTTCATTGGCTGTTCCACGACTGTGGAACAAACTGCCGGAAGAACTCCAATAGCTAAATGAGCTGTCAGAATTTTAAAACCATGTAAAGACCTATCTCTTCTGGCAGGCCTACCCAGACAGTCTTTAAGCATGAATTGCAAGTGTCCTTTGTTTGATCTCTGTTTTGTGTGTTTTAGTATGCATTTTGTCGAGATATGTTTTGGTGTGTAACTTTTATGGAGATATGTCTTTGTGTATTTGTATTGTTTTTGCTATGCTTAAGTATTTTAATTGTTTTGTAACCTTCCTCGAGCCATATATAAAATTATATACAGAGAGAGAGAGAGAGAGAGCAGGAGTCACAGGGGCCCAGACATATAAACAGTGTTGTCGAAGGCTTTTATGGCCAGAATCACTGGGTTGCTGTGAGTTTTCTGGGCTGTCTGGTCATGGTCCAGAGGCATTCTTTCCTGATGTTTCCCCACATCCATGGCAGGCATCCTCAGAGGTTGTGAGGTCTGTTGGAAAGTAGGCAAGTGGGGTTTATGCATCTATGGAATGTCCAGGGTGGGAGAAAGAACTCTTGTCTGTTGGACGCCAGTGTGAATGTTGCAATTGGACACCTTGATTAGCATTGAATGTCTTTGCAGCTTCAAAGCCTAGCTGCTTCCTGCCTGGGGGAATTCTTTGTTGGGAGGTGTTAGCTGGCCCTGATTGTTTCCTGTCTGGAATTCTCCTGTTCTCTGAGTGTTGTTCTTTATTTACTGTCTTGATTTTAGAGCTTTTTAAAAAAATACTGGTAGCCAGACTTTGTTCATTTTCATGGTTTTATACACACACACACACACACACACACACACACACACAGATTTATTTGATTGTAAACTGTATCATAAGGTGAGAGACTTGTACCTTGGTCCATATATCAAGCAGATAATTTATCGGGAATCTCCCATCAAAACAACATATTTTATGTGTGGCCAAGACTCAAAAATAACATATAACAACAGCTCTGTATTTAAGCAAAACAATATATTTGGGAACCGCATATGTGGGGCTGGTCAGGGTAAACTGTAGAAGTGATAAGGAAACATGATGTATGTATTCAGTTTTATCATATTTATTTACTGTATTGTTATAAGTCTTGTTTAATTTACTACATAGAGTGTAATCAAGTCTTATGAAGCCTTGCTGTTTGATTTAGGGAAAGGTAAAAGTTACCCCCTGACATTAAGTCCAGTCGTGTCCGACTTTGGGGGTTGGTGCTCACCTCCATTTCTAAGCCGAAGAACCGGCGTTGCCCATAGACACCTCCAAGATCATGTGGCCGGCATGACTGCATGGCGCACCGTTACTTTCCTGCCAGAGCCGTACCTATTAATCTACTCACATTTGCATGTTTAGCAGCTCAGCTGTTTAACCCACTGTGCCACCGGGAGCTCCGTTGTTTGTTTTGGTATTGTGATATGTCCTAAGGGCTAATCAAGTACCTTTTCCGATACATACACCCTCAACTTAAGAAAAACCCTACACCTTGTTCCTAACTTGGGGAAGGTCTGTAAATACAAGTTTTAGGGCTGAATAAAATCCCACATTATCTACTTTGAACTGGGATACATGGCAGTGTGGACTCAGATAACCCAGTTCAAAGCAGATAATGTGGGATTTTCTGCCTTGATATTCTGGAATACAGGGCTGTGTGGAAGGGCCGTGGGTTCTTCTGCCTTGGGTTATACTTAGGCAATCCCTCGTTGTCCGATTAGGATTGTCCTCCAAGATCGGTGTACTGGTGTTGGGTCTGTAGGTGACTGTGGAGCCCTATTTTTGACCTGCATCTTCTCCTGCAGTGAGGGCATTGGTTTCCAGGTGGAAGGCAGTCCCGGTTGGGGTTGGCTTGATGCACCTTCCTCTTGACACTTTTCTCTCTTCCGCCCTCCATTTGTGCCTGTTCAAATTCTACAGCATTGCTGGTCACAGCTGACCTCCAACTGGAGCGCTCAAGGGCCAGGGCTTCTCAGTTTTCAGTGTCTATGCCAGAGTTTTTAAGGTTGGCTTTGAGCCCATCTTTAAATCTCTTTTCCTGTCCTCCAATATTCCATTTGCCATTCTTGAGTTTAGAGTAGAGTAACTGCTTTGGGAGACAGTGGTCAGGCATCCGGAGAACGTGGCCAGTCCAGCGGAGTTGATGGCGGAGGACCATCTCTTCAATGCTGGTGGTCTTTGTTTCTTCCAGCACACTGACATTTGTCTGCTTGTCTTCCCAAGAGATTTGCAGGATTTTCCGGAGGCAGCACTGATGGAATTGTTCCAGGAGTTCCATGTGACGTCTGTAGATAGTCCTCATTTTGTAGGCATATAGCAGGGTTGGGAGGACAATAGCTTTATAAACAAGCACCTTGGTATCCCGCTGGTCACTTCTGGTCACATCTACACAAATGACCAGCCACTGCCAGAAGGGACAGAGAGTTTCATCTATGCTGATGACCGTGCCATTACTGCTCAAGCAGGGAGCTTTGAGATGGTAGAACAGAAGCTTTCCGAAGCTCTAGGTGCTCTTACTGCCTATTACAGGGAAAACCAGCTGATCCTCAACCCATCCAAAACACAGACATGTGCCTTTCATCTCAAGAACAGAGAAGCATCCCAAGCTCGGAAGATCACCTGGGAAGGAATCCCACTGGAGCATTGCAGCGCACCCAAATACCTGGGAGTCACTCTAGACCATGCTCTGACCTACAAGAAGCACTGCCTGAACATCAAGCAAAAAGTGGGTGCCAGAAACAATATCATACGAAAGCTGACTGGCACAACCTGGGGATCACAACCAGATACAGTGAAGACATCTGCCCTTGCGCTGTGCTACTCTGCTGCTGAGTACACATGCCCAGTGTGGAACACATCTCACCACACTAAAACAGTGGATGTGGCTCTTAATGAGACATGCCGCATTATCACGGGGTGTCTGCTCCCTACACCACTGGAGAAATTACACTGCTTAGCCGGTATTGCACCACCTGACACCTGCCGGGAAGTAGCAGCCAATAGTGAAAGGACCAAGGCAGAGACATCTCCAGCTCATCCCCTGTTTGGGCATCAGCCAGCAGGTCAATGACTTAATCTAGAAATAGTTTGCTAAGATCTACAAAGACACTCGCTGGATCACCTCAGCAAGTGAGAGTCCAAAAGTGGCAGGCTCAAACCCAGAACCTCAATCAGTGGCTGATACCAAATGAGAGACTCCCTCCTGGGCACACAGAGGACTGGGCGACTTGGAAGGTGCTGAACAGACTGCGCTCTGGCACCACGAGATGCAGAGCCAACCTCAAGAAATGGGGCCACAAAGTGGAATCCTCGACATGCGAGTGTGGAGAAGGGCAAACCACTGACGACCTGCTGCAATGCACCCTGAGCCCTGCCACATGCACGATGGAGGACCTCCTTGCAGCAACACCAGAAGCACTCCAAGTGGCCAGATACTGGTCAAAGGACATTTAATCAACTACCAAACTCACAAATTTTGTATTTTGTCTGTTTGTTTGCTTTGTTCTGTTAGAAATGTAATATAATTGACTGGTTGCCCTGACACGACAAATAAAACCTTGGTATCCCTACGGATGTCCCAGTCCTCCAACACTCTCTGCTTTATTTGGAAGAATGCTGCATTTGCAGAGCTCAAGTGGTGTTGCATTTCAGTGTCAATGTTGACCTTTGGGTTCTATGGCTGTGCAGAAGGGCCCGGAGTCTGTCTTGGAGGTGTCCATGGTGCTGAATCCTATCCTCCAATTAGAGTCCAATTAGAGCTTGCGGCCCCTTTGGGCGCATCTATACTTTGGAATTCCTGCCTGCTTGACTGCCAAGAGAGATAGAACAAGGTCGTTTGATCAAGCCTTCTCTCGTAGTGCCATAGCATGGAGTCAAGGCAGTGAACGTGAAGTCAAACTACATTCTTTTTACAGGGTAGAGGAGCAGCAACAAGTGCGGGGAATGGAAACCCGCTAGGCTTAGGGCAAAGCCCGGGCAAAGCTTCTGGGAGGGAGGGAGGCGGAGGGAAGGCGGCCAGCCCCGCCCCGCTCTCCCTCCTTCCCTCTCTCCCTCTCCTCTCCTCTTCTCTTTCTTTCCTTCCTTCTTTCTTTCTCGCCGCGCCATGCACCGTCCCGGGAGCCGCCGGAACCACGAACAGTGCGGCGCCGACTCCGGAGCCGAGACCGGAGGGTGAGTCTCTGCCTGGGAGTCTCTGCCAGGCTGGCCCTGGACCCACTCCCAAGGCTCTTCGGTTATGGGTTTTTGGGATATCTCTGTCATCTGTCTGCCTTGCCTTCCTTTTTCTTCTTCCTCCTTTCCTTCCTTGGAGGCTTTGAAACAAAGGCTGGGTGGCCATCTGTCGGGGGTGCTTTGATTGTGCTTTTCCTGAATGACAGGGGGTTGGGCTAGATGGCCCCTAGAGTCTATGATTTTATGATTCCTTCCTTCCTTCCTTTCCCCCCTTTCCCTTTCTTCTTTCTTTCTTTCTTTCTCATGACACTCTTTCCTTCCATCCATCTTCCTTTTTATCTCTTTCCTTCCTTCCTTCTTTCTGTTTACCTTTTCCCTTCCTTCCCTTATTTTTCTTCCTTTCCTGCCTTTCCATCCTTTCATCTTTCTTTCTTTTCTTCCATGTATACTTCCTTCCTTCCTTTTCTTCTTTTCTGTTTACTTATTCCCTTTCTTCCTTTCTTGCCACCCTTTCATCTGCCCCTCTTTCCTTCCATCAGTCTTCCCTTCTGTCTTCTCTTCCTTCTTTCTTTTTCATTTTCTTCCTTCTTTCTGTTTACCTTTTCCCCTTCCTTACTGCTTTTCCTTTCCTTCTTAGCTTCCCTTCTCTACCCTTTCATTCTTCTTTATTTCCTTTCTTGTTTCCTTCCATATGTCCTTTCCTTCTTGTCATCTTTTTGTTTACCTTTTCCTTTCCTTTCCTTCCTTCCTTCCTTCCTTCCTTCCTTCCTTGCTTTCATTCATTCATTCCTTCTTTCTGTTTACCTTTTTCCCATCCTTCCTTCCTTCCTTCCTTCCTTCCTTCCTTCCTTCCTTCCTTCCTTCCTTCCTTCCTTCCTTCCTTTCCTTTTTTATTTCATTCCTTCTTTCTGTTTACCTTTGTTCCTTCCTTCTCTTCCTTCCTTCCTTCCTTCCTTCCTTCCTTCCTTCCTTCCTTCCTTCCTTCCTTCCTTCCTTCTTTCTGTTGACCTTTCCCCCTTCCTTACTGCTTTTTCTTCCATTCTTCCCATCTACCCTTTCATTCTTCTTTATTTCCTTCCTTGTTTCCTTCCATGTGTCCTTTCCTTCTTTCCTTCTTTTTGTTTATCTTTTTTCTTCCCTCCCTCCCTCCCTCCCTCCCTCCCTCCCTCCCTCTTTCCCTTTTTTTCTTTCCTTCCTTCACTCCCATCCTTTCATCCTTTCTTTCTTTCATTGTTTCCTTCCAGGTATCCTGACTTTCTTCTTTTGTTTACTTTTTTCTCTTCTTTCTGTCCTGTCCTTCATTCTTTCCATCCTTCTTTCTTTTTCCCTCCTCCTGCCTTCTCTCCCTTCCTTCTTTTACCTTTTTCCTTCCCTCCCTTCTCCCCATCTGCACTTCACATTGGGGAGAGGGAAAAGGTCCAGGAAGTATACAGTCTGGGGAAATGGGAGAGTGGGGGTCCCTGCTAGAGGCGTGGGGCCTGCCACTCATGCAGGTAGCGCCAGAGAAAGCATCCCGGGCTGAGGTGGCATGGAAGTAAAGTGGTGGCTTGAGTGCCAAAGACGACACTGTGAAGGAGGAGGCAGTGTATGTGTGTCTCTAAGGCTGCCAAGCCCTGCGTGCCTGTGGAGGGGAAATCCCAAAGAGATGGGATTACAAGGGATTTGTGGTTGTTGTTGTGCTCCTTCAGGTCGTTTCCGATTTATGGCAACCCTAAGGCAACCCTTGAAGACACATGATGACAACAACAGTCCTTCTATAACAATGAGGAAACCTCTGTATAATCTCCATATATGAGTCTCCAGAAGGAAGTTTCAGTGAATTCAGTTGGATCTGTTTCCTAAGTATTTATTTATCATGTCAGAAGCAAATTGAAAATGCAGTTCTAATGTACAGAAAACCCACAAAAAAAGTTAAAAACTTGGCATTATACTACATTTCCTTTGATCAGAAGCTGGCCACTTGGAGTGCCTCTGGTGTCGCCGTAAGAAGGTCCTCCATTGTGCACGTGGCAGGGCTCAGGCTGCATTGTAGCAAGTGGTCTGTGGTTTGCTCTTCTCCACACTTGCATGTCGTGGACTCCACTTTATAGCCCCACTGGTTGAAGTTCTGGGTTTTAACCTGCCAATTTTGGACTCTTGCTTGCTGAGGTGTTCCTGCAAGCTATTTCATGATTGAAGGCATTGGTTTGCTGGCTGATATCTGAACAGAGGATGGGCCGGAGATGTTACTGCCTTGGCCCTTTCATTACTGGCTGCTATTTCCCGATGGATGTCAGGTAGTGCAATACCAGCTAAGCAGTATAATTTCTCCAGTGGTGTTTGGCATAGACCTGTGATATGTCTCATTAAGAGCCACATCCACTCTTTTAGCATAGTAAGATGTGTTTCACACTGGGTGTGCGTATTCAGCGGCAAAGCTAATTTTAAAAAGTCTTTAAAATAGCCCAAAACACTATTTTAAAACATAAATCTAGTTTAATTCATATTGATCAACTATCCTTCATGTAAAGAAAAGCTACTGAATTTAGCTTTTTTGTACCACAGGTCAGAATACAGCTGTGTATCATCCTCCAGTGGTAAGTATTTCTGTTGTTGTTGTTTGATTTGTGTGTCTATAATGCTGCTGAAGCTGCCTGTGAGGGGCATTTTCAAGGAGACAGGAAAGAGCAGCTGGAATATGGCTTAGGACTTTTCAAGGCCAGGTCAAAGGTGTAGTCTTCCCATTGCCTTCTTGTACTTGCTTTCCTTTCTTGATGTTGATCGTAGCAGACTGCAAGCAAAGACAAGTTCAGGAGGGGAAATGGAGGGAGGGAGTTTGTGAAACTCTAAGAGCTGAATGACAGAGAGGACAAAACTATCAGTGCTTTTCCAGACAGTCCCTATATCTCAGGATCTGATCCCAGTTTTTTTGCTTTAAACTTGATTATATAAGTCCCCACTGCAGGATAATATGGGATAAATAGAAAACCTGGGATCAGATCCTGGGATATAGGGCCTTCCTGGAAGGGCCCTGACTTTCTTTGGTCTGAAGAAGATGTGCTTGATGCTATCAATGTCAGTGGTGTATAAATCTGCACTGAGATGTATATATTTTAAATTTTTAAAGGTGCTCTCCAAGGTGTTGGAACAAGTTTGAGGATAATTTCCAGCACTCTGGATAGCTTCTCTGATGCTCAGATTAAAGGAGTTTAACGGCCCTAGTCGTTCCAAGGGACACTGGCTTTACTGGTCTCAAGATACAAAACAAGAGCTTGGAAAAGAGGGATTCTGGGAGGTGCAGTCCAGATAAAGTAATTGTTCACAGCACTGATGCAATGCTTGAGTTGTGCTACAGTGGATAGCAGAACAACTGCTTTCTCACATGAAGAACCTATTGCAGGATATTGAAGGTGCACCTGCACTATAAAATTAATGCAATTTGGCACCACCTTAACTGCCATGGCTCAGTGCTATGCAATCCTGGGAGTTGGAGCCTTTTGAGGAATCAGTACAGTTTGGTTGAAATTCTAGTATATTCGTACACTTTTAATTTGGGGACACTTTCATCATTCTTTGTACTATGGGCTTCTGAGCATCACATTTAAAGAAACTTGTAAGTAGTCATGACAGCTGTCAAAGTGGTTGTGTCTCCAGGAGTAAAACCTAAAATGGCACTCTTAACTTGAGGCTTTTCTACTGACCTACATCGGAGTGAGTGGGGCGGCTAAATTCTCCGTAGCTGAAGTCTTGAGCAAGGGTGTGAGAGAAGGGCTCTCCCAGCCTCATAGTTGTGAAATGCCCAAAGATGCTCTGGCTACCAGGGAAGGAACCACTGCTTCGAAGAAGCTGCAAAACACAACTGAAAGACTACAAGCAGGCAAAGGACCTTGGAGTGACGATGCCAGCTTGCCAATCCCAGGACCAAGCCAAACTCTACTGGGGAGTTTTGTTTATTTATCGTGTCAGGAGCAACCAGACATTTGTATTACATTTTTAATAAAACAAACAAACAGACAGACAGACAAAACACAAAGTTTGCAAGCTTGGTAGTTGATTAAATGTCCTTTGACCAGTATCTGGCCACTTGGAGTGCCTCTGGTGTTGCTGCAAGAAGGTCCTCCATTGTGCATGTAGCAGGACTCAGGTTGCATTGCAGCAGGTGGTCAGTGGTTTGCTCTTCTCCACACTCGCATGCCATGGATTCCACTTTGTAGCCCCATTTCTGAAGGTTGGCTCTGCATCTTGTGGTGCCAGAGCGCAGTCTGTTCAGCGCCTTCCAAGTCACCCAGTTTTCTGTGTGCCCAGGCAGGGAGTCTCTCATTTGGTATCAGCCATTGATTGAGGTTCTGGGTTTGAGCCTGCCATTTTTGGACTCTCGCTTGCTGGGGTGTTCCAGCGAGTGTCTCTGTAGATCTTAGAAAACTTGATTTCTTGATTTAAGTCGTTGACGTGCTGGCTGATACCCAAACAAGGGATGAGCTGGAGAATCCCAGTTGGCACAACCAGTTGGCATACCCAACCCCTCGGGATCTTGCAACCAACCATTATATCTTTATCAACTCAGGGCCCTTCCACACAGCCCTATATATCCCAGAATATCAAGGTAGAAAATCCCACAATATCTGCTTTGAACTGGGGTATCTGAATCTACACACAGATAATGTGGGATTTCCTGCCTTGATATTCTGGGATATAGGGCTGTGTGGAAGGGACCTTAGTCCTCAATCAAATTCATGTATGAAGAGAATATAAAATAACAAGCAGTCAGTACAAGCAATGACGCCGCTTTGCAATAAACTCTGAGCAGTGAGAGCTCCCTGAGACATGATGATACACTGCATTCAGTATTTGGGACACAGGAGGGAGTATCCATTGGGGTCTTCACTTGGTGGAGAGACACCCATGGATGACTGTGGCCCACTTCCACCTATTTTCCTCTCAAACCAGGACCAGAATTTTAATATCCATTTTTGAAAATGTTATTAGTACCTTAAATAGAAGTGAGGATACACTTCAATTGAAACTCACACCCTCTGCGATTACAATGATCTATCTTCTATCATTTTTTAAAAAAGAGTGGAGGGTCCATAGGCAGCACAAAAGGCATTGGAGTTGGGGCGCATGCACTCAACCATATCTACAACCCTTCCTTCCCCAAATTAGTGATCTGTGTATCAGGGTGATGCAGAATGGTAAGAGGGAAAGGAGCTTAAATGGTTGTGTTTCTCCATGTTTATAGGCCTATGAGGGCAGAACGGGGAAAGCAATCCATGGGACCCCTTTGTGTTTCTGCATGTCAGATCAAACTAATACACCTTCCAGAGAAATGTATATATTTTTGTTCATCTTGCTCTTCAGCTTGTCAGCTTGAGGGTTAAGAATGTCAAGTGAGCTACATTTTCAAAACCAGCAGCTCCCAAAGGCTCTTTTAACCGGGATGGCTGAATTGACACATTGATGCTTCCTCCCTACCAAAGGCAGAACACTTTTGCCAGCTTGTGGGTGGCTGAGGAGTGATTGGAAGTGACTGGCTGCAATCCCATTGCACACACCCTGGGGCAGATTTGCTCTCAGTCTCACCTCTGATCTTTGTGCAAAAGAGGATGGATGGTTCAGGACAATTTGCCTATTAAAGCATTCTGAGATATATTAGTGAATATGTGCGTGTGTGAGAGAAAATTTGGAAGCCTTCATCGCTTCAACTGTTTCTTAAGACCACTTTGCCATCCAAATGCCTTGTCTGTGGGAGCTTATCCAGTCTGATTTGCATGCTTGTTGTTTCCCACATGGCGATAATCTCTGTATAAGAGACATTTCAGTGATGGAACAGACCTCAAACTATCCAAGACTGTGCTTTTTTTATTTCCAGTGCTTGAACTGCTTGACTTCTTAAACGTTCCTTTTGTTATACAAATGTAGGCAATGGAATAGTTAACTGGAAAGTGCTTTGAAAAGCACTGTAGCATTTTGCTTGGATTAACCATTGGGGTAAGAGGCTGATGCAAATCCTTACTTTGGCAACAGTTTGCCAGGAATCAAATTGAATGCAGCTGGGATTAGAAAGCAGGAGTGTCTGTTGCTCTCTCTTTCTTTCTGTTGTTAAAGGAGAAACTAAACTAAAAAGCTCTTTCAGTTGCAGAGAAGTTATTCATTTTGTCTAACAGAGCAAAGAAGAGTGGCCATTTCCAGTGCCTGTTCAAAGATTCAAGTAGTAAAATACAAATATGGTATCAAAATGATAGACGTGCCTCTTGTTTCTCTTGAAACTCCATTAGTGCTCACTAATGATGGGCTGTGCTGGAGGGACCCAATGGATTCATAAGAACAAGCCCAAAGCACACATACAATCAGTGGAGGCTGGCAACTCCCTTGTCAATAGGGCAGTAATTTGATTTCAGGTTTTATTTTCAACTTTAAATTAGCTATTGAAGATGCTGACTATTTCAATATTTGCAGGTGGTGCAATGGGTTAAACCCTTGTGCTGTTGAACTGTTGACCTGAAAGGTGGCAGTTAGAATCCGCGGGATGGGGTGAGCTCCTGCTGTTAGCCCTAGTTCTTGCCAACCTAGTAGTTTGAAAATATGCAAATGTGAGTAGATCAATAGTTATCACTTTGGTGGAAAAAGACGCATCATGCAGTCATGCTGGCCACATGACCAGGAAGTGTCTATGGACAACGCAGGCTCCTCAGGTGGAAATTGAGATAGGTACCTCCACCAGAGTCGGAGATGAGCACTGCCTACAGAGCCGGAAATGAGAGGAGAAGCCTTTGCCTTTGTCTGCGTATTTGTGTTTCATTGTATGTCATTGTAACAAGGCATTGAATGTTTTCCTGTGTCTTTTTATTTCCTGTAAACAGCTCTGAGTCCCCTCAGGGATAAGGGCAGAATATAAATAACATTATTATTATTATTATTATTATTATTATTATTATTATTATTATTATTATTACATACATTATTATTATATTTTCCCCAAAATGGATTCCGAATCTTGGATAGTTTGTTTAACATTCAGACTACGACCCAAGCGACATCACCACCCCATTAAGACAGAGGCTACAAGTTGATACTGGTTGTCTTACAATGGAATTATTGTAGTGCTGAATTATGGAAAAGAAACACAGTGAATTTACTTCATTCATCTGAAATATGCAAGGTGCTCTCTATGTGTGTGCATATGTGTACATACATACACTTGCTGTTGGATCACTTATTGGCTTGTGAGAGTCCCATGAATTTTTATAGGGTTTTCTTAGGTAAGAAACCCCAGAGCTGGTCTTGTTAGTTCCTTCCTCTGAAAGTCTAAGCAACACCTGGTATTCCTTGGTGGTCTCCCATCCAAATCCTTGGTGGTCTCCCATCCAAATCCAGGCTTAATACTGCTTAGCTTCTTATGGGTCAGAGATTTAGGGAAAAATATAGATTTGGAAAAATGGGAATATTTATGGAAAAAAGGATTTAAATTTTCAATAGCTTGTCCCATTAGAGAAAACATGTATAAAATGTTTTATAGAAGTTATATAACCCCTGAATTAATGGCCAAAATTGATAAAATCCAATGGAGGGAATGTTGGAGATTAATAATAATAATAATAATAATAATAATAATAATAATAATAATACACTTTATTTATATTCCACCTTTCTCCCCTAGGGACTCAGAGCAGATTACAGCATTTGCATACATAGGCAAATATTTAATGCCTTTACAATCATATACAATGAGACAGACAAACACAAACAAAGGCAGGGGCTTCTCCTTTCATTTCTGGCTTCTGGAGGTGGTGCTCATCTCTGAATCTGGGAAGGTGCTCTTTTTCTCCATTTTCAAGCATTATCACCTCCTGGTTGTGTGTCGGAGATTCAGATTTCCCATAAAAAGTGCTTCATAGAGATTTGAATTTTTATCAACTGGATGTTAAGAATAGCATTACAAAACAACAACAAAAATGGAGTGATTTTGGTCTTGTTGTTCTTTCCTCCTCCATTCAGGTGAGCTCTCGGTGGAAGATGTACCTGATCCATTTCTTGTTAGCATGCACATCATTGCAAATCCTGGAGAATCTGCTCTTCTCCAGCAAGCCATTGATAGCCTTTTGGCCTGGATCCACCCAGACCTGCAGCTCTTCCGTGTGTCAGAGAGGCGGCTCCCAAGGAAGCCTCGGAGGCTTCACAAGGCAATAACTTCCCAGCCAGCCCTTGCTGTGATCCTCTTCCTGCAAGAAGACTTTGACGGTGAACCCATTTTGCAGCTCCATGAGTCTTTCCAGAGTCCCCCCTGGCACTATCATCATACTGAGCGAGTACATGGAAAGTTCCTCCCTTACATGCCAGGCAGCCAGGACTTTTTCATCTTGGTCCCTGGGACTCCCTTGTGGGCCATCCGACCAGTGCATTATGGGAAGGAAATCATACGCTTTACCATCTACTGCCGGCACGAGAACTTTGCCAGCACCATGAAGCTCTATGAATTGATTCTGAAGAAACAGCTTCATCAGCAAAAGGCAGATTTCTGCGTGTTCCCCATCTATTCTAACATGGACATAGACGTCCAGTTCTCTTTGAAGAAGCTCCCAAGGGGCCTTGTGCCAACTCCCACCGAGTCAGCTGTGCTGGAATTCCGCGTGGAAGATATCCGGAAGCTTTTGCTTCTCTTGCCCTATCCCTGCAGCCCCCTCAGCGAAGGCAGGTGGCAAACTGAGGATCCTGATGGAAATAAGATCCTTTTGCAGGTATGTAGACATGCAATGCACATTTTAGTATTTATTTATTTATTTCCTATATTTTTACCCCACTCTTTTTACTCCATAGAGAACTCAGAGCGGCTTCCAAGTTGGCAAAATTCAATGCCATACAAACAACAAACAAATACAATATACGCAAATATTAAAATAATTAAAAATTTAAAAAAATCATAGCATATTAATATGTTACATTAATACATTAAATTAAAACCACACAAATCCGAAGCCATAGTCCAGGAGCCATTCCAATTGTATTATGCTTACTTCATTGCCTGCTATTTCACTGACTGTTCTCCAAAGTCTTCATCCCATAACCAAGTTATCAGTTTATTTCTGAAGGTCAGGAGGGAGGAAGTGGATCTAATTTCACTGGGAAGGGAATTCCATAGCTGAGGGGCCACCACTGAGAAGGCCCTGTCTCACATCCCCACCAACAGCACCTGTGAAGGAGGTGAGACTGAGAGCAGGACCTCCCTTGAAGATCTTAACCCCTGGGGTGGGTCATAGAGGGAGATATGTTTGGACAGGTAAGCTGGGCCAGAACCATTTAGGGCTTTATAGCGCTTTGAATTGCGCTCAGTAGCAGACTGGCAGCCAGTGCAGCTGACGTAACATGGGGGTGTGCGCCTCCTGTACTTTACTCCAGTGAGCAGTCTGGCTGCCGCCCGTTGGACTGCTTGAAGCTTCTGAACAGTCTTCAAAAGCAGCCCCATGTAGAGCACGTTGCAGTAGTCTATTTGAGAGCATAGACTGCCGTGGCCAAGTCAGATTTCCCAAGGTACTGGTGCACAAGTTGCAAAAGCTGCCCTGGCCACCACCAAAACCTGGGGTTCCAGGCTCAGTGATGAGTTCAGGAGGACTCCCAAGTTGCGAATCTGTGTCTTTAGTGGGAGTTTAACCCAATCCAAAACAGGCTGTAACCCTATACCCTGTTGGGCCTTACGACTGACCAGGAGTACCTATCTTTTCTGGATTCAATTTTAGTTTGTTTGCCCTCATCCAGATCGCAGCAGCTGCCAATATTGCATGAGACAAAAACAAAAACAAACCAGAATAATTTTTTTTGCACTTATGATTTGATTGTATTGGAAGACATTAATTTTTAAAAGCAACTGGAAAGGAATGTTACAGAACGTTTCAGAAAGGAAGTTCTGCAATTTTCGGCTCATATCCATGATATTCCCGCACCTGAAAATCTCATGTTTTCTGCCGTTTGTAGCTATTGCTTCCGCGTTTACAGGAAATGGCATTTGGCCACCTTCCTGTTTGCTGTGGGAGCTCCTGAAATAAAGGTGCTGTCTGGACAGGCCCTGAATACATGTGGAACCTGGATAAAATGGTTAGTCCCCTTTAATAACGGACTCTATTGGATAACATATGTACTACTTATTGGGCAATAGCAATTGGCATCAATCCAGTTCATTCTTAATTAATTAATTAATTTCTACCCAACTATAGATTTTTTAAAAATGTTGAACAAAGAAGTCATCAGAACATTTAAAATAATGCCACAAAGTTCACTAAAAGTTATACACCCATTGACTTTCAGTTTGACTGTATGCAATTTGGATAGAAAAAACAAAGATGGTGGGTTTGGATCCAGAATTTCCTGCTGAGGAGTTGAAAAGAAACTGCTGACAGTATATATTTCCCTCCTCTCCCTGCATTCCCTTCATATTTGCTTCAGATGGCAGGGGGAAGCCAATTTGTGGTTGCAGGTCATACAAGAGAAAGGGGAACGCTTGCTGTGGGAACAAAACTCCATTTGTGCAGCATTGGGTGCAGCTCTAGCAAATTTATTATGCCATAAGCTCCCATGGATTAGTTTTTTTTCTGCTGTTATAGGCTGGCACTGTTAAGTGCCAACATTCTTTATTGTTCCCATCCAATAAAGTTAGAGTTCTTTTCAAATCTCTCTGTTATCAAACTAAAACATGTCACAAGAAATTGGATCTGCTCCAGCAATTAGATTGACAAGATGCAACCTCAGAGATGAGTTGTTGTTGGGTCTCTCCCCCCCCCCCACCATATTTAACAGGGATCACCATGACAGTTACCCAATTGGATTACGTACTGTCCTGCTCTTAACCCATTTTGTAAATGCAGTTTATTATCAGGCAGCTTAGATAAAGCAGTAGAGAGAAAACAAATCTGGCCATGGAGGTAATTAACTTTGCCTTCTTGGTTTGTAAACAGAGCAGCCCTAACACCTTCATGGGTGGAAGTGTGGGAGGATAGATCCAAATAAACCTGGATTCCTGGTCTCATCTTGATCAGGTTAGCTAAGCACGCCACTCTTCTTTTCTGATCTCCACACCTGTGCTGTTAAACAGCAGCTGACATGAAGACTTCTGACAGGGGAAGCTTTTCCTGACATGGAGATAGTCCCAGGGAATGCGTCACGTGCCACATTTCTGTATGGCAGTTGGCCAATAAGAAACAGGTGGGCATCAATAGGATTGCCAGCAAGAAAACTGGAGAGGTTTCCTGTACCTACAATAGTTATGTAAAAGAAGGTGTAGGTGACACTTGTTGAAATACTTTTTCAATCAACCCCCAGTAGCACAATGAGTTAAACCCTTGTGTCGACAGGATTGCTGACCAACAGGTTAGAAGTTCGAATCCAGGGAGAGCGGGTTGAGCTCCCTATGTCAGCTCCAGCTCCCCATGCGAGGACATGAGAGAAGCCTCCCACAAGGATGGTAAAACATCAAAAACTCCAGGGTGTCCCCTGGGCAACGTTCTTGCAGACAGCCAATTCTCTCACACCAGAAGCAACTTGGAGTTTCGCAAGTCCTGGACCCTTACTCATCCATTAAGGGTCCATGAACCTGCTCCAATTTTCACTAGTGGACAGTGATGTTCTCAACTCATTGAGGTAGAATTGAGATATACCCTCCGATGTATTTCCTCAAACTAGAAAGATGTTAGAAGTAGGAATTTTTCTGATGTTTGTCCAATTTCATGAATGTCATAAACTGCTCAGGAGTTGTCAAAGATTGACAACATGGACCTTCAATGTGCTTATAGAGGCTGATAAATGGTTTGACAGTCTCACAACGTTTGGACTTTTGAAAAACTCTCAAGAGCCTCTCCACACCTCCTGGCTTACCTGATTTTTTTTTAAAAAGGCCACTTGCCCTGGAAGCAATAAAATCATAGAGAAAATTACGTGACACACAATTTAGAAGGCATGTGAGTCAGTTGTTGGACCTTCTGAGGCCCCTTCTACACTGTCATATAAAATCCAGATTACCTGCTTTGAACTGAATTATATGACAGTGTAAATTTATACAATCCAGTTCAAAACAGATAATGCGGATTATCTACTTTGATACACTGGACCATATGGCAGTGTAGAAGGGGTCAGAGACCCTATAAAAGGCAAATGTGTCAGTCCCCTTCAACACTTGGCAGTTTCCCATTCCTAACTTAGATAGATTGAAAGATAGTATATATGTATTGTCGAAGGCTTTCGTGGCCAGAATCACTGGGTTGTTGTAGGTTTTTTCGGGCTTTATGGCCATGTTCTAGAGGCATTCTCTCCTGACATTTCACCTGCATCTATGGCAAGCATCCTCAGAGGTTGTGAGACTATCGACCATGTATGAAATTATTAAAAATAGTATCCATAAAATTGCCTTCAGGATATATGTATAAAGTATATATGAGAAATGAATTATGTATTTATACTTTGAGTCTCGTCTGCAAAATATGGTATTATGTATATTCACATATTCCCAAATCCTCCCCCAAAATAAAAAAGCCTTCTAATGGCAAGCTTTTTGGATAGGGATACTCAGCATGTAGCATGGTTGGGAAAGCTGGAGGATTAAGAAAACAGCTTATTGTGTTTCATGTGAATACAGGAATAGAAGAGCCCATTAAACCTTATGTATAGATTGTGAGAATTATATGAAACCTTTAGCAAATGGAGCAGCACTACATGTCATGAAAAGAGTTTTCAAGGACATATTTATTCTTAGGGATTGATGCAACCCTTCCTTTGTGAAGGAGCCATGGTGGTGCAATGGGTTAATCCCTTGTGCTGGCTGAACTGCTGGCCTGAAGTTTGGCAGTTTGAATCCATGAGATGGAGTGAGCTCCTGTCTGTCAACTCCAGTTTCTCATGTGGGGACATGGGAGAAGCCTTCCACAGGATGGTAAAACATCAGGGCATCCCCTGGGCAACATCTCTGCACACCAGAAGCGACTTGCAGTTTCTCAAGTTGCTTCTGACACAATTTTTAAAAAACCTTTGTGAAAATCTGACAATAGTGCAATGAATATCAAGTGGTGCCATATCTAGTAGCTGTGTACCTCACTTCAAAACAGATGTGGCTGTTCTGTGACTTTTGTATTACAGCTGTATCAGTTTGTACACAGAGTGATTGTCCTCTCAGCTGACACTAGTCTAGCACTGTCATTCCTGCTCTGAGGCTAGTCTAGCAGTGTCATTTATACCCTTTGTTTCTGACCGTTATGCAGAAAACAAGCAATTATCTGTCAGCACTATTGGCTATTCAGAAACTAAAAATATAACAGAAAAAGAAATCACATAGTGATAGTCTTTCTTGAAATCATCAGGATACATTTCTTTATGGGGTAAGTAACTGTAAAGATGGAAATTAGGATTTTTAAAGTATATATAATGGTTAATCACTAAATAGACTCCCAGGCTTCCAAGATACTGTTTCTGAAAGAAAAATAAAAGGTGGCAAGAAAGTTTATGGTGTCTTTTTAAAAATATCAGTAGTTTAAATCTCTTGTTGATACCAAATTTTTATTCTATAATGCAATCCAATGCATGCTGTAAGCCCCTTTGTGCCTATCAAGAAGGAATACATAGGATTGCAGCTTAATTTGATCTGTGAGTTAAGATCATAAAGTCAGAATGCTATGAAGACAGCAACATCCACTTGTCTGCTTTCAAAATAAAGAGACAGAATCATTTCTCCAGTTTTAAATACTTGCTTATAATATTCCTAAATATTACTAGTACAACAACAATATTTATTACTGTCCATAAACCCATCAGTGAACGAAAAGTTGTTAATAAATTCTCTCATCTCAGGAGAAGTTCATTTTCAAAGACTGATATACATCGTAATACTCCAATCAGAGGTTTGTTTCTTTCCCAGCCTTGTTGTCACTGTGAGGAATTTTGTCACTATGAGGGTCACCCGGTGGCACTTGCCTCTAAAAGATATCTAATAATCTCCTGTGGGGAGATGCAGAACAAAATCGGATATAAAAGTTGGCTAGATTGCATTGTGTAATAGAGACTCTGCAATAAAATGTGTTCTATTGTTTCCACTTCCTTTCTTTCACAGGGACATAGTCTTTGGGGAGTAAGGAATTCCAAACAATCTGCCTCTTAGCAGAATATTACTAGAATATTACTATGTTTGTAGTCATGTATAAGTCAAGAGCAGATTTGAGGGCCAAAATTATTGATGTGATCTGTGGATAAGTCAAGGATCATTCTGTGGAGAGGGGGAAACACCAATGCTGCCTCAGAGGATTATCAAGTCCTGGGCAAAACAGCTACCATTTCTCCATGGTGTCAGTTTCATTCACTCTCTTTCAATTATGCATCCTGTTTTCTCTCTGGAATTGCTTCAGGTACATCTGGACTATAACTTCCTCTATTGTTTAAAACTTTTCAAACTACTTCGGTGTAGAAATTTAGCACTGAAAATAGATATTTCTTAATGAACCATCTGATCTTTTTGTTATGTTTCCACAGCAAGTTCGTTACAAGAGGTGTGCTCAGCAGAACAAGTTTTGCTGGTTGACTCCCTTGAGGAACCTTCCTCTGACACCACCACCAACTTTTGTTCCATTCAGCACCAGATGGACTCTGAACAAAACCAATGATCCTTCCAAACCCATTCATTCAATCACATTGAACCATGCCAAGCCCCACCTAGGCATTTCCCAGCAAGACTTGAGGAACGATGCCCGTGGACGTTTTCCCAAAAGATCCAGCACTGCCTCGACTGACTCAGGTTCATTCCAGCGAAGCAAATCTCTCGTATGCTTGCCCACTGCAAGCTCTTCCCTGACCTCTGAATCTTTCCATTTTAGTGAGCCAACCTCATTCAGCAACTTCTCTTCTGGGCACAGGAGAAGAGCCAAAGTGAATATTGATGACTTGGAGGGCGTTCAGGAGACTGATGTTGATACGGGGATGAAATTGGCTTTCTCTGATCTCTCTGTGGTTTCTGCATACTCAGCCCCTGAAAGTTTCAGTACTGAGAAGGAAGCAAGAACAGCGTCTCTTCCTCACAAGGGGATTGTTGATAGATTTAAGCAGGCCATCTCTAGAAGGAAATCTCCTTCAACCAAGTGTAACATTCCTGAATTTTCCTCCAGTTCCTTTACTTTTCCATCCAGTTGGTCTTGCAGCTCTTCTCCATCTCTGTCAGCTTCATCAGTGGCTCATTTTGAGATCAAACGTTTGCCAAAAGGAACAGTTTTTTCTTTTGATGACAGCCGAACAACTGGTGGTGGAAGGAAAAAGGAGGAAGAATTCTACATCTGAACTGCTTCCATTTTCATGTCTCTTTGTATAGTTGTAAACATTTCAGAGGTAGAAAGCAGAGCAAGCTCATGTTTAGATTACATGGGGATTCTGGAAATTGTGATCCAAAAATGTGACTTTTCCATTTGCTAGAAAGATTTAGCAGGAATTGGTATTCCACTCTAAGCTCAAGACAAGGTGTCCAAAATTAATTCTGTGAATCCAGAATACTCCTGGTGATTTGTGGTTTTTTATGTGTCTCTCTCCCAAGCTGTAGTAGTTTGGACAGGACAAGGTTCAGATTTGCCTTCATTAATCCGTTTTTCTTTAAGAGTATGTCATTTTTATGCTTTGGAAAAATGCTCTCCCCTCCTTTTCTCCCTTTGTCACTTACACTAAAACTGGTGAGATCAGACCTGGGTCAACGGCATTACCAAATTGTTCTGCCTTCCCTATTTTATACAATGTTCATGGAGGGGAGGAAGGGAAGGGAAAGAAGAAAGGAAGGAAAGCAAGCAGGTTTGTTTGGCATCCTATAGGGAAGTTGCATTATCTTACACTTGTGCATAGTTGAATTGTGTAGTGCAGAACATTTTTTATAATATGGACATAGCTCCACCATTGGTGGAGCAAACAATGTGACTGCTGCACAATAGTCCTGATGCACAATGTGTCCTGTTGCACAACAGGAGTTTGTTAGCATGGTTGAGCATTGTGTCTGTGTTGTAGTTCCATCAATATAAATTCGCACATTGTAGCCCTCCTGAATTAATGGTTGGGAGACACATTGCCCTGACAGGGAAGGCCTACCAAGTTGCTGCAAGGAATTACAGCAACTTGTAAGTCCTTTCTTTTCTTAGCACAAGGATTTTATTGCTATGGTACTTGCCCAAAGTCCCATACTTTGGTGGCCAGTTCTAATAATAACCCAAGCTCTCCCATCTTTCTCCGTATCCATCTCCGTCTCCATCTCCTTCTCCTTCTCCTCCTCCTCCTCCTCCTCCTCCTCCTCCTCCTCTTCCTTCCTCTCTTCCCTCTTTTTCCTTACTTGTGAAAAATCTGAGTACTTGAAGATGCCACTGGGCAGAAGCCAAAAGTTTTTAAGTGAGAGGCAAGACTCATTGAGTTTTTCTAGCAGAATTTAAATAGACTTTATTCAAAGTGGGGTAGGAGCGTATTCCCTTTAACCTAGCAAACACTCAGGATCCAGTGGAATGCTTACCACAACTCACTATTTGGTGCCAAGAAATAAGCTGCCATTCATTCATCAGCAGTATATTTGCCCTAGTTTGCTCATGAGGGAATAATATTGGATGGACTACTGTAGCAATATATGTAAGGCACTAAAAATGCTTTAATTGAATATATATTTTGGATCACTCCTCCAATGAATCAGCACTCAATGGGATGCATAGATAAAAGTCACAAAAAGAATGGTGTGGGTAAAAACCAGTTTTATTTTTAAAAAAATCAGCTCTAAGATCTTGCATTGGGAGGTATAGTAGCTACAATAGTGTAGCCAGATCTCTTTATGCCACCCCCCACAAACCTATATTTTTTAAGTCATGCAATCTTCCCCCCAAAGAGGAATTTCTGAAGCTTTTTAAAGCAAGTGTATGCACAATGACATGTACAGCCTTCTCCTGCTAGTGAGGCCCCTTCTACATTGCCATATAAAACCCAGATTATCTGCTTTGAACTAGATTATATGGCAGTGTAGACTCATATAATCCACTTCAAAGCAGATAATGTGGATTACCTGCTTTGATAATCTGGTTTATATGGCTGTGTAGAAGGGGCCTGAGACACATTGTGACTGGCAGATCTCACTTCTGTCACAATGTTTCTTGCTACATCATTGCTCATTGCATGGCTTCAAAGGTAGCTTTGGGGGTGTTTTGGTCATTGCAATTGTACAATGACTGCAAGTGGGTAACTTACTATGTTATAAATTGAACTTATGACATCGTAATTACTGAACAGACCAAATTTTAAAAAATATAAATCACATTTTAAGAACATCAATAAAATATTATATTTATATTCATTATTTAAAAATACATCTCTTGTTTTTTCCAATTCCCTGTCACCACAAACCTGCCAAACTTGCACTGAAATGAATTAATGGCTCTGCTATGTATTTATTTGTATGTGTATTTATTTCATTTGTGTGCCACCTTTCTCCTGGAGTTCCTCCCATGCTTTGCTTTCATAATAACACTGCTTAATATTCATAATATAACTGTCCGATAGCACTTTAGCATATTTCAACTTCTCGATTTGTTGCAATCAAACCAACAAGCCTAAAGGGTAACTTAGCGACATTCATCCAAAATACAGGGCAGGGGGAATGATAAGGAGAGTAGTTGGCTTGAAGCCTCAAAATAAATTTGTAGCAGAAGTTTGGTTCATGCCATGGACCTCCTGATACAGGCTCAGTCTCCAATCCTATTATTGGGCAAAAGCCTTGCCAAAATTGGTAGGACTTCTGATGGCTGATCCCATGCTTTGGGTTGTTTACTCTGATAAAGATCCAATCACATTTCATAGTGTCTAACGCTATTTGAATTGGGACTCTCCCATTGCAGCCTTCCATCGCACTGAAAAAGGTTTTTCCTCTGCAAAAATTTCCCCTGCATCTTTGAATCTAAATTTATTATAGGCTCAACTCTAGCCGTACATTTTTAAATGTCCTACTACTGAATTGTGGTTTGTTTCACATGCAATAAAGGAATAATCTGACCAAATGTACTGCTTGGTGCATTCAGAGTATGTAAACTATTGTGTAATTTTATTTATTTATTGCTGTATTTTGAGAAATGCTTTTACACTGTTTGGCAAAAGTAACATGTTGTTTACAATTGTTAATTGTAACTTATTACAAAATGTCATCCCGTGTTATAGTATTGTTCCCATTCATCTTTGATGCATGTGAAATGTAATTTGAGTATAAACGCAAATCAGAAAAATGTAATGTGTTTCAGATAAAGTTGCCTTTAAATATACTGGAGCAGAAGCAGGCAAACAGTGGGCCACTGAAAAGAGCATTGGGACAATAGTAGGCTCGGGAGAGGCAGTCCCCAGGTTACAAACAAGATAAGCTCTGTAGGTCTGTTTGTAAGTTGAATTTGTATGTAAGTCAAGATAGGTTAAAGGTAAAGGTTGTCCCCTGACATTAAGTCCAGTCATGTCTGACTCTGGGGTGTGGTGCTCATCTCCATTTCTAAGCCAAAGAGCCAGCGTTGTCCTGTCCGTAGACACCTCCAAGGTCATGTGGCCAGCATGACTGCATGGAGCACCGTTACCTTCCCACCAGATCTATAGAGATACTCACATTTGCATGTTTTCGAACTGTTAGGTTGGCAGAAGCTAGGGCTGACAGCGGAAGCTCACGCCGCTCCCCGGAATCGAACCTGCAACCTTTTGGTCAACAAGCTCAGCAGCTCAGCGCTTTAACGCACTGCGCCACTGGGGGCTCCTGTAAGTCAGGATAGGTACTTTTAAAAGGGTAACCCCAGATATATGTGACTCACACGCACACGCACACACACACACACAAACAAGTTTGGGATACTACAGGGAAGGGTTAATACCCCTGTGGTATTTGTTTTTCTGTCTGTTTCCCTTACTTTTTGTCCCTGAGATAACTGGATTTTGAAAAAAAAATGGCTTGTTGTGGAAATTTGTGATGACGCTTCGGTGGAGACACCTTTTCTTCATGATAACTCTTTCAGGAGTGAATTTCCCTTCTGAGGGTAAGATTTCTCTCACTTCCTGTCATCTCACCCCCTTCTTAGCTAGGAGTAATTTGTAAGTCAGATGTTTGTAACTTGGGAACTGCCTGTATACATTCTGCTTCTTTCTGGAATAATTATGAGAAGTGAACTCATTTGGTGTATCAACATGGCACAATTTTGGAATAATGGCTTACTGGTTTTTTAAAATGATATTATTATTATTATTATTAAAATTACCAACAATATACAGTTGTCCCTCCACATTTATGGTTTGAGATTTTGTAGACTGAATTATTCATGGGTTTGATTACAAATGCTCTCTCTAGGAATCTCTAGGTCCTTTAGTGTGACTCTGGCCATGCTGGAGGACCTAGAGATGACATTATTATTATTATTATTATTATTATTATTATTATTATTATTATTATTGTATGCTGTTGTTTGTTGGTATCCTTGGCCTTTGTAAGCCACATCGAGTCCTTTGGGAGATTTTGCGGGGTATAAATAAAATTAATAATAATAATTAATAATTATTATTATTGAAATATAAGGAAAAAAAAAAAGACAAAATCAATACAAAAAAGCAATTCCTCATCTGTATTTATATCTATATCCAGAGAGCACAGTGAACACAACCAATGATTGATTTGGACCAACTTTTAATACTGGCGTGGTTTGGGGGGAAGTCTCCCGCAGTGTAGGGAGTTGTAGTTCACCCAGCACTGTGAACCCTACCGATGATGGATCTGGACCAAACTTGGTACACATACTCAGTGTGAGCAACTATAAATACTGGTGGGGTTTGGAGAGATGGGTAAGAAATAAAATTATTATTATTATTATTATTATTATTATTATTATTATGCTTCCTATACATGTTGACCATAGAAGATCTAGACATTCCTAGAGACATGGGTAAAGGCAAACACAGAATCAATGCCACTGAGCCAGCAAAAGCAGTGATGGTATAAAAGAGCACTGCCTTCGTCCTGTTTTTCTGAGTTGACTTGGTGTGAAAAGCTCCTACATTACATGGAACTCGTTCCTTCAATATTCAGGTTTTTAAATGTGGGGCAGCACTCAATGTAAAGTCACACTAGAAGACCTAGAGATTTCTAGAAAGGACTGGGCTGTGGCACAACTAGTTAGTAGCCAGCTGCATTAAATCACTAGTGATTGAGAGATCCTGAGTTCGAAGCCAGCCCAACCATTAATAATCCAGCTTGCTGTTGACCTATGCAGCCTGAAAGACAGTTGCATATGTCAAGTAGGGAATGTAGGTACTGCTTTATGCGGGGAGGCTAATTTAACTAATTTATGACACCATAAAACCTTCCAGTAATGTGTGCAAGAATGATGAAGTACTCCATCAAAGACTTGGTGTCACAAGTGGACGGTGAAGTGACAGCTCCCCCTGTGGCTGGAATCGAGCATACCTTCATGAAGCTGGAATGTTAAATTGCCTCGGTGTCTGTCTATATCAGTGGTTCTCAACCTTCCTAATGCCGCGACCCCTTAATACAGCACCTCACACTGTGGTGACCCCCAACCAAAAAATTCGGAAAGGCGTGGGGGGTGGGCAGAAAGGCTGTGCTCATGGCAAGGCCGTGAGCGCAGCCCTCTGCCTGTCCCCTGCGCCCTTCTGAATTGCCCGCCCCCCATGCCCTTGGAAAGGCATGGGGGGCGGGCAGCCCTCCCTTGCCCAAACGGCAAGAGTCGGCAGCCATTTTGGAGGGGGTGGGGCCAACCAAGGCAGCTTCATGGCCCCCCGAAAATGGCCCAATGACCCCCCCTGGGGGGTCGCGACCCCCAGGTTGAGAACCACTGGTCTATATATATGTTGTATGTCCATGGCATTGAATGTTTGCCATGTATAAGTGCAT